CGGTATTAACGCATCTTAAAGTGACACCCGGAATAACGGCTCTCGAGTATGCCCAGCGCCGATCTCGTCTCGCGAACAAACTACCCAAGTATGCTGTCGCTGTGCTGGCTGCTGCTGAGGTTACCTACCGGGCTTCGGGCATCTTCAATGAATACCGACAGGACTCGAATTTCTTTTACTTGACCGGTGGGTGGTACATGGTGTCCTTGTTTACAGGGCAACAGACGTCGCTGACATAGTTCTGTGTATGGATAGGGTTTAACGAACCTAATGCGCTGGCTGTCATCGGTGAGCTCTAACCTACGACATTCGGTTTGAGGACTGGCGCTCATTATAAGCAGCGAACGACGGATCCGGGAACAACCATCTCTTTCACCTTTATTGCAGGGAAAAGGATGCGAAGGCGGAACTTTGGGACGGTGCTCGTTCGGGTACCCGCGCGGCGATTGATGTCTTCAATGCGGATGAAGTAAGAGTTTACTTTGCTAATATTCCTTGATCGTCACTGACACTGCGCTGGTAGTCCGGTGATATCGAACGCATTGGGGACCTTCTTCCCCAAATCCTTGCGGATGCGACTGAAATCTACACCGACATTCCCGCTTTCAACCCCGGAAGGTCATCTCTGCATCGGTACCTCTACGGTCCTACGGGAGCTTCCGAAAAGCTCAAGAAAATAGTCGACCACCGCAAGGTTAAGCCTTTGCGCTCCATCCTCAATGAAATGAGAGTCTTCAAGAGTGAGGATGAGGTCGTGCAATTGCGTCGTGTTGGACAGGCATCTGGACGAGCGTTCACGGAGTCTATGAGGCAGACGTTCTCCAAGGAAAAAGACCTGACTGCTTTCTTGGAGTATAACTTCAAGCGCAATGGCTGCGATAACAGCGCCTTTGTTCCAGTCGTTGCAGGCGGTTCTGTAAGCCACTTAAATGGGAAGGTATTGGTATCGTGCGACTAACGTGTGTAGAACGCCCTGAGCATCCACTACACGAGAAACGATGACGTTTTGAGGTATGTGCCGCAAGAGCCATTGTAATTGCATTACTCACACATCACAGGGACGGGGATATGGTTCTAGTTGACGGAGGTGGTGTACGTGGATCCTGTCCGGCCGCCGATTACCGAGACTAACTGATTTATAGGAGGCAGGCACTTACATCTCCGATATCACGAGAACCTGGCCAGTGAACGGCAAATTCTCTGACCCTCAGCGCGACTTGTACAATGCCGTGCTGAATGTGCATCGCAGCTGTGTCTCGCTGTGCCGCGAAGATGCTGGGCTCAGCCTGGACCGGCTGCATAGCGTTGCGGAGACCGGCTTGCGGGACCAGCTGATACAACTCGGATTCGATGTTTCCGGAGGCGTAGGTTTTCCAGTCTGTCACAAGGTCTTCTCGATGCTAACCAAGATTAGGCCATGGGCATTCTCTTCCCTCACCACCTGGGCCATTATATTGGTCTGGACGTGCACGACTGCTCCGGGTATTCCCGGGGATATAATCTCAAGGCAGGCCAATGCATCACTGTGGAGCCGTATGTATCGACGCCCTTCTGTGAGGTTGACCATGCTAACAATTGGTGCAGTGGCATCTACGTTCCAGATGATGAGCGGTGGCCGGCACGGTTCCGGGGCATTGGTATCCGGATTGAAGACAGTGTTTGTGTTGGAGATGACAGTCCCATTGTATTGACCACAGAGGCAGTTAAAGAGGTAAGAGAAATGACGTGTTTTCGTGGTTGGGGTGACGAACTATTAAGCTGACCGACGAATCTGCTATCTAGGTCGATGATATCGAGGCCCTTCGTGATTAAGATGGACGAGGGCCGAAATTGTGTAAAGCTAGATACCCTTGCATAAGATTGTAACATATATAACATAGTGAACCGAAATTTGAGGTATAGCAAACAAAATGGCCGAGTTGAGCAAGATGTAAACAAGAGTCAAGCCGGTTTTGGTGGTTCGTGTGGCTCGTGTAGACGTCACCAGTCAGCAGTCAGCACTTAAGCGTGGACGCGTGGGGCGTGGATATAGGGACTACGAAGTAGTATAGTTAGAGGAAGCAGAGGAGGTTGGAATAGACGTGCCAATATTTGCAAAAGACACAATCAACAAACTCAATCATTTAGAGACTCCCTCACTTAAGAAAAGGGAGATCTTTGCAGATTGTTTCTGAAGGGTAACCCCAGCAAGCCCCAGAGAGGAATGAATGAATGAATGAAAGGAAAAAGAAAGAATGGTTCATGCTGCGCGCCGGGCGGTGGTTGTCCGGCGCACATCCCGGAGCCAAAACAAACCCGCCGGGGCTCCACCGACCTTCCCTGACACGCTTAGTCGTTTCTCTACTAGTCTAGTCGGGCTTGGTCTCTCTTCTCTTTCCATCATCACCACCACCCATTCAATCTGTGTCTCCCCTAGACCCTTCTCTGTTGTCTTCCTTCCCCCACACACTCTCGCGGGTTTTGCTGCATTGCTTCACCTTCTCCTAGGGCATGGCTTTCTGCTTCTCTCACTAACTCCCACTGCCGCTCTTTATTTGCTCATCTATCGCGTCGACAATGGCCTTTTTCTAACCGAGTAATCACCCCCCGTCGAGACGTGTAACGCATCGCGTGCTCGCCTCCAGTGCCCCTCCTTTTTCTCTCTTGCTGGTGTCCAACTCACAGCAACTCACGCTCATCTAGTGCCTTGTATTCTGTTACCACATGGCAGCTGTATTCGTACCACCTTCGCCTCGGTCTTCGCTTAATATGTCGACTCGCCGACCACTTGCCAACGTGCCGAATGCTACCAATTCCCCTCACAGGTCAGGCCTCGTGCCTGCCAAACGTCTACGTCCAACGAGTAACCAGATCGACATCCCTTACGGCCAGCCTCCCCCGAAGAAGCAGGTAGTGGACGGTCAGGAGGCGGACGCTCGTTCCCCATCTCGGACGAGGGCGTCCGCATACCAAAACACCGACTCCAAATTGTTCTTGCGGCGCACGAATAATGCTCAGCCGAGTGCATTCGAAAGGAAACTGGTCGCTGTGAGAGATAAAGAACGACAGGCACAAATGAAAGGCACGAGGCACGAGAGGCCGTCCGCGGAGACTCTCGATTCCATCCGGCAGTGGCAGAGGCATTACCGCAAGGCGTTTCCTCAATTTGTTTTTTACTTCGATAGCATCCCGGAGGATGTTCGCAGCAAGAGTTCTAGGCAGGTGCTTGCATTGGGAGCGGTAAGTTTGCGTCTGGCTGACATCTCCAGCACTTCATGATCCCCTAAAGGAACTGCGTGCGGAGGGTCAACGATGCCCCACCGGTCCATGGTGGCGGTAGTCCCTATACGACTGCGTGACTTTACTGACTTCATCCGTCACAGCGTGAAGAAAAATTCTTCTCGCGTCTAGTGACCCACGTCGTCACGTCTCGTCCTATCCCTCCGGAGAACGGTCCCACGAATGCACCTGAATACAATGCGGAGTCGGCGGAGCAAGCGGCGGCGGATGGTTCGCTGCAGACAGTAAATCCATCCCTGCTCGAGAAGTGCGCCGATACACACCTTCATATGACCTTGAAAAATGATGCACGGCGGGAGCAGAAGGGCATGGACGTTTTACACAGAGCCCGCCAAATGGGAATGAAGATCTGGGCGATTGAGAAACTGCAGCGCATGATTACGGCGATCAATGATGGCGATGTCGGAGGGCATGATGGCCACACGACGCGAAACAGCAATGTTGCTGGTGGTCATGCTAGGGCTCGGGGTGAAAACGATCTTTCGCAAGTGCTTCAGAATGAGCTGAATGGCCCGTCGGATCGCAATCCCCTCTCGGTCCTGAAGGAGCTGGTTATGTTCAAGGGTCCTTTCATATATGTCCACGACATGGACGAAAAGACGCGCCCTGTGATGGTGCGAGAATACCCCAAAGTTGCAAGGCGGCAGGATGGTATATGGCCGCAATTCCGAAGTGCACGCCTAGGAAAATGCCCGTTCATTGAGGACCCCCCTACGCAGAAAGACATCGACCGCCAACGCGCCCGTATAAAAGAGAGGACGGAGAGACAGGAAAGGGACGAAAGAGCTGTTACTAATGCTGCTCCTGTACAAGACATTCCAGCCGCGAAACTAAATGCACCAGAAAATCATCGGAAGGGTACAAAGCCCGAGGATAAGACTCCCGAATTGGGCCAAACAGAAGAGACGCCCCTTGAGCCCCAGCCTGAACTCCAGGACACTCAGTCGACGAAACAACTATCGCCCAGGAAAAGCTCTGAGAGCTTTGTGCCTCCGCCTCCGCAACGGAAGGGGCCATTTTTCCATGGCCGTGAACCTGCCGCATCAGGTGTACAACCCTCGAATATTACGTCCGCCATTCGTTCGCAAATGGTTTCATCGACTGCTGCGGCACCCGGTGCCAAGGCTGGCCTGAGCAAGGAAGTTCATGAACTTAAGAGAAAGGTGCTCGAAAAAGGAAACGGAGGGCTTGCAACGGGCACTATGCCTCCATCACACCACGCCGTAGATGGATCCGCACCGCTGAAGACGAAACCATTGGAGAACAGCCTCGGCAATATGCAACCGCCTAAAAAGCTTGTAAACGTCCCAGAAGAGGAATCAACGCAATTGGAGAACAGTGGCGCTCCTAAGCGGCGGATCGGTGATCGAAAAACCATAATAATACCGAAAAAGAAGGAGAGACGGAGAGACCCTAAGCCAGGCTACTGTGAGAACTGCAGGGACAAGTTCGACGACTTTGAAGAGGTTAGTCTGGAAGCTCTAGATTCCGAAACGACAATGCTAACCCTTGGCAGCACATTGTGACCCGAAAACACCGCCGCTTTGCGACCAACCGAGCGAACTGGGCCGAGCTCGATGCCTTACTTTATCAGCTGGAGAGGCCTGTGAAATCTGGTGCGGAAGGAGTCCCAGGGTTATAAGCCGGCCGTGCGTTCGAGAATGAAAGGAAAGGATATGAAATTCGTTGCGGCTCGTCTATTTCCCTGGACTGAACTGGCTGCAGCGTTGCCCGCGGAGATGATCTGCTAGCCGCTCAGCCGTGTTAATATGTGAAGATATTCAGCTCGTCTTTTCATAACACTGACATATACACCCGTCATCCAATCATTGTCCAAGCCTACGTACAACTATCGACAAACGATGCGATTAATACTGCATTTCTATTGCTTCATCCTCCCCTTTCCTTATTTGCTATCACCACTTCCATTTACAATTCGGTCCCCCTGTAATTGGTGCACAACCGGCGTCCTTGGATTCTGCATGCCATATCCCTGCATACTGTTGACCGATGAATGAAAAGCATCTAACGGCCTCGCCAGCGACGAATTTTTGAGAAGATTTCGGAAACCCCACATCAGTACAGAAAAAAAAAAAACAAAAAGAAAGAAACAGAATCAGATTGGAAATGAGGAACCGGAAGGTAAAAACAAAACCAAAAAAACAAAACGAACCAATGAACAAAGGCAGGTGACACATGGGATTCCTCAACAACCAGGACATACATACATACATTCATGCATGCATCCATGCACACACACCGCGCGCATTGGGAAGACAAGCTTATACTTCAATGGTGTCGAGGATTGCATACATTTTTCTTCTCTCCCTTACTTTCTTTTCTCTCTTTTTCCTATATAGTATCTTTTTTTTTTTTTTTTTTTTTTTTTTTTTTTTTTTTTTTGCATTTTGCCTTTTCTTGTTCTTTACCATACCATGGGCAGATGGATGGATGGATGGATGGATGTACTCGAATAAACCGAGGGGAGGGTTGGTTGCATACAAAAGACATGGCGGTACATGTCTGGACTGGTGTTGATGTTGAGTTTTTTATTTGTTTGCTGGCTGCTTACAAGCTTGGTGGTTATTTTCTTTTCTTCTTTCACCTTTTTGTTTTCTTTCTGATTGATGTCGTGTCTCACTATGAGTTCAGTTCGTTGGCTGGACATGGTGTGTCACTATACTACTACTAACTAGCCTTTAGCTATAGCATAGGCTGTAGGCATAGAAATGGAACCTCCTACTACTACATACACCCACACATCATTCAATTTAATTCCACCCTTGCAGCAAGAAAAAAAAAAAAAAAGAAACCACATAAAACCTTTCAATTCTTCAATCTACACAGTAACTTGTATCACTACTAAATCGCACCAACCTCGGCCCACTCCCCAAATCCTCGGTCCGGAAAAACAGAAAAAGAAAAGGAAGAAAGCAGTGGAATCACCTGCATGTAAGTATCCGCCCTTAGACGGGCATAATCCATCCGCATCGGGTAAAGCGTGAAATAATGCCGACGAAATGTTGGGGGATTGGCACTAATTTCATTAACTAAGCTAAGGTTTTTTGGAACTTTGATGTTCACTCTGGGTGGATGATCCGGACTACGCGGCATCATCTATACCAGGGCTTGGGTTATATAAGAGAGACGGGTCGTGGGGGTGGCGGGTAGGAAACTTTTATTGGGATGTTATGTACTGAACTCTTCTTGTGAACCCTTGTGTTTATTCTTTTGGTGTCAACCATTGTGCCTGTGCCAGGGTTTATGTGGGGTATTGAATAAGTTTCTTTTTTGATAACGATCCAGAACCTGAAGGAACTTCTTTTCCCCTTCCCTTTTATTTTTTTAGTTTGCTGCCCACGGGTAGTGACGACATTAGCCCTTTTTTTTCTTTGGCCCGTCGCTCCGGTTTTCCGACTCGGTCTTTCCACGCCCATCGGTGCTTGTGCATACCTGCGTGTTTGCTGCTTTCGGCTTCTTGCGGTTTGCCTCCGGCTTTCCCTAGATTTGCCTCTTCAGGGGCGACTAGTGTTGTCGCTCTTCTTTCACCTTTTTTGAAGACGAATCCTGCTTCGTTTCATATCTATACTTCGTTTTTTGCTATCATCATGGCCTCGAGATTCTCGGCGCAATTGCTAGTGCCTTTGGCGAGGTCGTCCGTTCGCTGTCGGGCTGCATCCGCTCCCGTCTTCTCGGTTCTCGCCGGCCGACATGCCATCGCCACTCCTGCTCCAACGGAGCTTCAGAAACGGTATAGCTCTCATTCTCCGCTGGGGGCCACCTCGGCCAATCCCCGGAAGAAGGTGACCATGCAGACGTTACGGAACCTCTACAAGAAGGGTGAGCCAATTACGATGCTTACGGCGCATGACTTCCCCAGTGGCCATGTTGCGGAGATGGCGGGGATGGACATGGTCCTGGTCGGTGACAGCTTGGCCATGGTCGCCCTCGGCATGGAGGATACGAGTGAGATCCTCATGGACGAGATGTTGTTGCACTGTCGGAGTGTTGCACGTGCTGTCAAGAGTGCATTCACGGTTCGTGCCCATACCATTCTTCTTAAGAGAAAGTGCATACTAACGTGCGGTTTCCTTGCAGGTCGGCGATCTCCCTATGGGATCTTATGAAGTATCTCCCGAGCAGGCTGTTCAGTCTGCCATCCGCATTGTGAAGGAGGGTCGCGTCCAGGCTATAAAGCTCGAGGGTGGTGCTGAGATGGCTCCGTCCATCAAACGTATCACGCAAGCTGGTATTCCTGTGTGCGGTCACATCGGGCTTACACCTCAACGTCAACATGCTCTTGGAGGATTCCGGGTTCAGGGCAAAACGACCGCCAGCGCAGTGAGGCTTCTGAAGGATGCTCTAGCTGTCCAAGAGGCTGGCGCATTCATGATGGTTCTGGAGGCGGTGCCCGCTGAGATTGCCGCCCTCATCACGAAGAAGTTGCGTGTCCCCACGATTGGCATCGGTGCTGGAAACGGATGTTCCGGACAAGTCCTGGTCCAGATTGATATGACCGGAAACTATCCCCCGGGCCGGTTCCTTCCCAAATTTGTCAAGAAGTATGGCGACGTCTGGGGAGAGGCTATTAAGGGTATCCAACAATACCGTGATGAAGTCAAGAGCCGAGCGTATCCTTCCGAAGAATACACCTACCCCATTGCGAAGGAGGAATTGGCCGAGTTTGAAAAGGCCATCGAGCATTTTCACAAAGAATAAATGCTCAGGAACCCACCCTGAGTCCTAGTGTCTCATGCTGCGAGCGTTGTTTGATTCAAATTCTTTGAAGCAGCATATAATGCATATCATGTCCAGCAAGTCGTTTCTGTGATACCTTGGTATTTCATGTTCATGTCCATAATTCTCATACAGTGTCAAATGACCTTTGACGATTTTTGCGCATAGTTGCCTTCCTACTCACATTTCATGTTAGCTTGTTGAGATGTATCTGGTTCAGCAAGTTTACCTGTAAATAGTCCAGACAGCCGTTGCACTAATACACATCAACCTTTGCTCATCATTAGCCGAAAGCGGGCGTCATAGAGTAAGCAACGATAAGTTGCTCGTCAGTCTTGAAACACTGAATGTTGTAAGTAAACGAGTGGCTTAGACCCATGTATCAAGACGGCTTACCCTCCATAAACCACCCACACCTTCGTCTAAGCCAGGAGCAAACACACTGTTGACATAACAGAATACCGAGTCGGATTCTTTACAGTCCAGCTTCTTCCTGAGAAACTTGACGACTGTTTCGAATTTTTGTGAGGCACTGATTTTGAACACACGGTTCTTCAGGATGGGAGCTGAAGGCAGTGGCTGAAAGCGAACGGTAACTGGTGCACCGTTAGTCTTCTGTCAACATATGGCTTATCCTGATAAGCCGCATGACGTTGATAGATATGGGCGCTAGCAGTGAGGGGCCAGTCCGGAGCCCGAAACAAGCTCATTATTGTAATCGATGGAGCATTTGAAACAACTTGAGGCAATAAAGATGTGGTAGTGCGGGTAGTAGGTTTACTTGCCTTTCCCCGTATCGACAGCCTCAGCGTCCGCCAATGCTTGATGGGCATCGCGGGGTAAGCTGGTTAGCACGACTGAGGCGGACATGGTCATTGGCAAATCCGCACCGTGCTTGTCGTCTGGTATAGGTGCATTTTGGGTATTCGAGGAAGAATCAGAAGATTGTTTACGATTGGCTGGTCTGTGAGTGAGTTTGGCTTGGTCGGGTTTGGGTGAGTTTTGGGCCGAGGGGCCCTGGGGTGATGGGGAATCCATGTTTGGCGTTAGGGGTTAACGCTGGGTAGGGAGATTTGTGCTCGAGGTTATTTGAGTAAATAAAATAGCGGACAGTTTAGTATGAGTAGAAACAGCGTGAGATGATAAGGAATGTGAAGAAAGAGTGTGCAGAAGATGTTGGTGTTGATGGTGAGGTTGATGCGAGTTGTTGATGTTCCATTCCCTTGGCTAGGCGCCGATGGACACCTGAGGCAGGGGTGTGGTCCAATCAAATGGCAGGCACCATCATCCTTCCATCAACGCTTTCTCTACCATGGTAAGTTCGAATATGAAGAACAAAGCGATCTTCAGGGCTGCCAAGATCCAGATACCACCGGTACATTCTAAGCAGGGGTGGACTGTCAGCCAATCCAGATACTTTATCGCTTAAGAGGTATACTTCCATTCCACCAAGCAACACCTTTACTACCTTTCCTAGCTGTTTAGCACTACAATAGCACAATATCACTACCCTGAAAAGCGGATTTTAAGACCTTTTTTGGGGCAGAGTTACATCTGTCAAGCGCCAACAGAGAAAGACCCACTGCGAATTTCGACTTTAGTGCCATGAGGTAGCGATGATGCATGCATATCATCGGGCCCTTGTCTGCATTGGAACACTCGCGTTGTCTTGAATCTTGGTCAATCTGCACTGAACAAGGCTTTCCGACGTTCATACGAATACAGTAAGATGCAGAGATAGGTGTGAATCCAGATACACCAAGCAACACTGTTCTTGAATCAGATAAATAGCCAGTTCACTATTAAGATCAGTATTGTTCCCCGGCGTTCCGCTAGGGGACCCATTAGCGACGATCATCCATTCCCGGCCGGCTAGATTGAATTTTGGGCATCGGGTAGCCCTGTCAATGCGTAGACAAGAGAACTATTGGTAGTCGGAGAGTGCCTTGACTGTTCATACGAGCAGAGAGATAAATTTCGGGATCTTTAGTAACATGACAACAGAATCTTTCACTTACAGAAACTATAAATACACCGCGAACGTGACTCCGGGGCCAGCTGACTGGAACATTGATTGATACGCGCCGAATGACTGGGTGGAAGCGCTGCCAGTGACCACTTGTTACCGGTCATTACCAGCGCCCGTCACCTCATCCCCCCCGTCCCCGCTATCAGTCATACTACGTACTACCACCACCACAACCCATTCTTAAGTTCCCTCTCTTCCCTTTCTCTCCCAACTCTTCCGCCTCAACAACTCGCCCACTTCCTTCTGATCAAGCGACTCCGCCTCTCGTCCCAGCCTTGCTCACTTCTTCTCTCTTTCCTCGGTCTTATTATACCCTCCTTACTGCGATCCCTCTCGCCCGCACTTTTACCGCTTCCTTTGATCTGCCCTATCTCTACCCAGAGTCGCCCCGCTCATTGCTTCCCCGCTTCGACCTTGGGGATAGTTTCGATTCCACCCACTTGCGCAATTCGCCTTTGAATCCAGATATTTCAGTGTCGACGGTCTCGAGGTCTACTCTTGTTTTCATACCTGCTTTATCTGCAAGTCATTCAAGATGAGTAGCCCTAAGCGGAGAATTGAGACAGATGTGAGTACCCCTCGGTACCTCTCATGCCCTTGCGGCGAAAGTGGTGGCGGAAGGAGACTAACGCTTGAGATTCTTCCACTTAATAGGTCATGAAGTATGCACTCGCACCGCTATTGCGCTCTTACCTTATCGATGACTGACTGACGTTCTGGCAGGATGTACGCACCCTTCCCCGTATCCGGCACCTACCATATTCCCTTCGACTGGGGTTGGAATGAGATCGCATTTTCGGATATGGGACAAATCAACAGCTTTCAGGGGGACTTGTGCTGATGTTTCGCATAGGTTGATGAGTGATTATGAGGTGACTCTGGTCAATGATAACAGTGAGTGCCCACAGCCTTTTGCCACCGACTTTTGGATACTGACTCTGAATTGTAGTGTATGCAGACTCGGCTTGCCTTACCATCGTTGGATACCCGACTGATATTGACTGTTCTCCTTGTTAGGCAAGAGTTCTACGTGCGTTTCAAGGGACCGGAAGAGAGTAAGATCCATACAAGGTCTAACTATTGCAAACCGGACCTGCTGACATAGCCAGCACCCTTCGCCGGTGGCCACTGGAAGATCCACGTCGAACTACCCGATCAATACCCATACAAGAGCCCGAGTATCGGGTTTGTGAACCGGATTTTCCACCCGAACATCGATGAGCTGTAAGACGGCTTTGACAACTCTCATGTCCTCCGGCTAACGCCAGCTGCCTAGGTCGGGTTCCGTTTGTTTGGATGTCATAAACCAGACATGGTCGCCCATGTACGATATGATCAACATCTTCGAAGTCTTCCTTCCTCAGCTCCTGCGCTACCCCAACCCTTCGGACCCTCTGAACGGTGAAGCAGCTGCTATGCTCATGCGGGAGCCGAAAAGCTACGAGGCAAAGGTCAAGGGTACGTCATCACACCACTTGCAACATGCTCTCAACCAAGCTGATCTGTAATTAGAATACGTAGCCAAGTACGCCAGCAAAGAGGCCGTCGACGAAGCCGGAGAAGACACAGAGTCGGAAGACGAACTGAGCTCGGCAGGCAGTTACGAGTCCGGCGGCGAAGAGCCAGCCGGTACAATGGACGACGTTTAGTTCTGCCGCAGTTCAGTCTGTCTTAGACCATTTGCGTCTTGGTTTCAACATTTCACACCAGTATATTGCATAGGCATCGTTGTCTATTATCTGTTTTCGGTGTTATTTACTATTGCTGCTTTTATCTCTTGGGTGTCAGGCGGGAAGGCGTTTCTGGCGGAGTTCTGTCGTTTCAAGGTGCAGCAATCGTCTACGACGGTCGCAAGAGACGGTGGCTAATGGGCGATCGGATCATGTAACGTGGGGGTGTGCAAGTGCAGGAAGTCGACCGGCTGATCCGTATCTCTTCGACAGCAGCGTGACTTCTGCAGTGTCTGTTCTACTTTCCACCTCTCGCAGATGTTCCAACATAAAGACTGTATATCGCTAATGGAGCATTATTGTTATATTGTAACCGTACTATGGTAGTATTATAGCATAGAATAGCATAGCGGATTTTTTAAATCGTATTGTATGTTTTCATATCATACAGCAAGCGTTTATTTCTCAGCTGTTTAGTAGTGCTACTGTACTGGCGTTGAGCGCGATCTGTGATCCAACTCAACCAAACTAGACAACACAGGAACGAACAAAGGAATTGAATGCACAGTGAAAGATCTGGAGAGAGAAGTAGTAAGTAAAAGCCTCAGCAACAGCCTAGGCACAGAACAAGGGTATAGAATAGAAGAAGAAGAAAAAGCTGAGAAGAGAAATGTAATCAACAGCGCCGATGGCAAAAGAAAGGTTAAAGAAAAAACCAATATAGTTGACCCCGTCGTCGCCGGCGACCCATCGCGATGCGCGAAGAAAAGAAAAGGGGTATTAAGGGGGGAGATGTGTAAAAAAAAGGAGCAGGCAAGAAAGAGGAAACGAGTAAAAAGCAGGAATAAAAAAAAAAAAAAAAAAAAAAAAAAAAAAAAAAAAAAAAAAAAAAGAGAGAAGGGGGTAACAAAAACATCAGTCAAACACGTCAAGTCAAGTCAAGTGCGATAAGTGCTGTCACGTCCGTTCCGTCACGTTCGTCCATCTATCCATCCATCCATCCTAGTAGCCAGCCCCCCTCCCCATAACACAACACCACACGGTACCTATCACATTTGACCTGCTGCCTTCTGCCACTTTCCGCCCCATTTTAAATAGTTACAGTAATCATGTAACCTTCAACACTCCGAATACATCCCTCTTAGCAGCACCGTCTTCATCCGTACTCGACCCCGGCCGCGACCGATTCTTGCGCGTATTTATCACCACTTCGCCCCAGTGTTTCGGGACCGTGCCGCCTGCCTTTGCAGCCGGGGAGGAGGGTTTCTTTGAGCGAGCCGGTGGCGAGTCAGTTGTTATTACTTTGACGGGTGGCGCATCGCCATCGGAGGATGAAGGAGGGGGGACGGTGCTGGGGAGGGTGGCGCGAGGTTGGAGGTGCGGTTGGGGTTGGAGGGACCAGATGTCGATGACGGAGCTGTTGCACATTGTCAGTCTTGGGTTCGATATCTACCATACTGGTGAAGAGCGGCTCACTCTGATGTTCGTTGACAGATTGCTTCGAGGGCTTCTCGTTCGCGCTTCAGGTAGCTAGGGTCTGGGTGATTGCCTTGGGCGCTTTGGTTAAGGGCGCCGTAGCCGTAGCCCGGTTGGTAGATGTCTTCATCGAGGAGGCGAGAGGATTCGGGATGGTTGGGCTGTAGGGAGGGAAATAGGTTAGTTATGAGGTCGTAGATGATGGATGCGAAGAGGGCTGGTGGAGTCGGGCGCAAAGGGCGGGAGGAGTGTTGGCTGCGTGCGCTTGTCTCTTTTTGCGGCAGAAGAATATAGTATTGGACTTACATCGTGGGGTTCCCGACGATTACGTCCTAGACATGAGGCGCAGATACCCATTTGTGCTGATCAGATCGGCGGATTAGAGGTGGAGGCGCAGGAGAGATGTTCAATGACGGTAGTAGTGGTGGTGGTGGTGGAGGTTGGAACGGCTTGATTATAAACGGAAGTGTCGGGCCGTGGTGAAAAAAGAGCAAGGCGAATGAATGACTGGAATGAGCGTCTGGATGCTGGATTGGATAGTAGAAACGCGCCGGGCGGCGGTGCTCAAGCGAAGATGATTTGCGAGGGTGAACTGCGTAGTTGGTTGGTTAGGTGATTGAGATCTTGGGTGACTTGAAGGGAGTGACGGTTTGGATAATTCGGTGGGTTGGGAGTGGCCCGTGCGAGCCGATGTCATCGGAATCGGGTAGATGTAGTATGAGTGCCTTGAATGGCATCCATTGAAGTCACTGGAGGTTTTATATCAGCCAACTTGAACTTCTAAATAGTTACAATGGTCTCAAGTGTTGCATTTATGCTCCGTTGAATGTCACACCAGGAGGTGCTGTGGTTACTAGAGGGTTATACTGTCACATGCCTGGTGGAACAATCATGCCGTCGTATGATCTTTGACATCCAGAGTAGACAGCTTATACTAGGCATCCTAGTGCAATGATCATATCTCTAGCAGCAAGAGGTAACTCTATACAATAGTTTACTGGTCGCTTGAAATCATTTGGGCCTAAAACCCGGAACTGTTTCACCATAGAACAGAAAACCCAATTGCATGCTTCGCAAGTACGTCCGACAAAGCAACAATTATTATTCTTACTGATATAATAAATCGAATATCTCATTTGCATATCACATATACTAAATTTTGAATACAAAAGCAATAAAGTGTCAAGTCTAATATCAATCAACTCTATGCCATACTCCATAGGGCACCGAGATACCAATCAATCCTCCGAACGCGTGGCCGCACCACATCCGCCCGTGGAAATAACCACTCACCAACATCCGCCGACATTTTTCACTCCACACCATCAACCCTCAGCTGTCACCACCACTCTTCTCTACCAACACCAAACCTCACACAAAATCACTGCAGACAGACATGTTCGACCTTCCCAGCGCAAAGCGGTACGCCACTACACCACCCACCTACCAACCCCAATCCCAATCCCATTTTCAATCCCACTAATCAACCCCCAACAACAGCGTCCGTCGCGAAGAACTCCTATCCCGAACATCCACCTCACCCTCACCCTCCCCACCCCCGGAATCTTCCCTGACAGACGTGCACCAACGTCTCGGCGCCCTCCTAGACATCGACTCCCTTCTCGCGCCCCCATCCGACGACAACCCAACACCACAACCCACCACCTCCAACCCAGCCGAAGACGAAGAAGAAGAACAAGAGTTCGAATTCCGACTGTTCAGCGCCCCTGCCAAAACCGATTCCAGAAAGGCAGACCAAGCAGCAGCCGTTGAATCATCTAACACAATCCAAGCCCAGAAATTACGTATCCGGGTACGGTCGCCGACACCCGGCGCCGGGGGCGTGGAAGATGGACGCTTTGTGAATCCGTTTCGGGGATGGGGGTATTATTTCTCTGCGCCGGGGAGGATGATGGCTGGTGGGGAGAAGGAGAAGGTGCAGGAGGAGGAAGAGAGGTTGAGGGAGAAGAGGAGACAGTTTGAGGATGTGGCTGTTTCGGGGGTGCAGGTTGTGGGGTTTTCAGGTGTTTCCTGGGTGAGTTATCTATTTATCTATATGTTCTTGGGTTCTTTGTCACGGGGGAGGTTTTGCTGACTCGGTTTGCGTTATCTAGCCTGGGTGCCATTTGCCCTGGAGGGTTGTTACATTGAAGAGTGAGAAGAAGAGTAAGGGTGCGGCGGTTACGTGCGCGAAGGACCCCGCCGAACGGGCGCCGACGTCGTTGAAGAAGCCCGGCAAGAAGCGCCGGATTCAGTTGCGGAAGCGGGTCTCGGCTGCGGAGGAGAGGAAGAAGAAAGAGGAGGAGAAGAAATTGTTGGAGGCGGAGAAGCGGAATCGGAAGAATCGTGAGAAGAAGATTAAGCGCAGGCAGAAGGCGAGAGAGGAGAAGGCTGCTAAGGCGGCTGCAGCTGGTGCAGCTGGTGATGGTGATGGGCAGAGCGCTCCGGCTGGCCAGATGGATGTGGATGTGTCTTCGGATGAGGGTAGTGATTGAGGGGGATTTCAGTCATGGTTCTTGGATGTATGTATGTTCTTCTAGCTCAGTTTCGGCTTATGATACCCAGGTTGATATCGAATCATTGATTTGATTAAACAGATTTCTTCTAGTTTTACGAAATACGCTGCGAGTGAATTCAGATACTTGCTTGACGCGGACAGACTGAATTATTAGACTATGCGAATACGCATGGCTATTGAAAGCAGTACAGGGTATATGAAAAGAGGTGGATATCAACAAGAGAAGAACAACAAAATGAAATCAGCGCAGTCTATGCTGGGGTATGAGAAGATGATGCAAAGGGTAGGAAAATGATGCCACGGGCGAAGGAGTGGATGATGCACGCAGTGACAGCTGCATCAGCTTGAAGCCTAAGGGCGATTATTTGGTTTCTTTGTCTGCGCATGGTCAGTCAGTCAGTCATTCTTCGTTACATTTGGCGAGGATGGGGTGTGTCCTCGACTTACCAGCTGCGTCTCCAGCAGTCTCGGCGGGTTTAGCAGCGGCATCAGATGCACCGGCAGCGGCTTCCGCATGGGTTTCCGTCTCAGGCTTTGCCTCGCCAGCCGGGGACTCCGTCACCTCGAGGGTCGGGGGAGCGGCGGAAACACCTTCGGTCTGAGCCTGCTCAGCGGGCTTGTCGGCGGCTGTATTATGACATGGTCAGTAACTGGTCGTGGCGAAACCTGTGGCAGTTGCAAGAGGGCAAAAAAAAAAAAAAAACGTACCAGGAGTGTTCTCAGCAGGAGCGGCAGCACCTTCAGGGTTCTCCTCGGCAGTCTTCTTCTTCTTGAAGATAGCCTTGAGCTTGTTCTTAATGTTCTTGAGGAAGGCTGGGATGGGAGGTCAGTTGAGAAGTCCATACGCGCCGTACGCAAGACGATCTGCGGGGTTTCACTTACCAGGCATGTTGGCTGTTGGAGGGGTAGTAGTAGGGAGATAAGGAGGGGAAATCCGTTCGGTATACACGAGTAGATGAGGGATGATGAAAGGAAGGATCAACAACCACAACGGTGAGATGTAGCAGTAAAGTGTAGTATAGAGAACAAAGAAAAGTTCAAAACACAGAAGACAAGGACAAGAAAGAAATTAAAAAAATAGAAGGCTTTGTATGGCCGTAGTTATGTGTCCTCCACGTGACGGGGGGCACGGTCCTGATGTTGATCGCCAGCGCCCTTAATCTGTTCTGCTCTTCAATGCCTCCTATTCTTTTCGCTTCAGGGACCCTTTTTCCTACTAGCTACCGAGTAACATCCTGCCTCATCTCCCACCCACCCCTCTTACATGTCCCCGCCGACCACTGCTGCTGATCCACTGGCGCCGTCATCTAAAGGTTTACCTATTAGTCATGACAACTTAACTAGTTCTCTAGCTAGCTAACCCCTGGGTCTATCCAAACAACGACTCTATCTAGGGAGTTAATATACGAGGGATGGGCAAGTGCATCGGCACCCCGCCGCGTTAGTAACCCTCGGTTCGCGCATCTATTGCCAACGGAGCAGTTGATCCCGGCTCGACTATCCTGTTCTTGCAGTGGTGGCTGCTGCTGCTGCTCAAGAATAGCAACTTAGCAACTCGAATTATGGAGACCACCGTACTTTCTGTCCAAGCGCCAGGGGGTGTTGCATGAAGAGTGCTAGTCAGGAGTAGACTGTGACTGACTGACTGTATCTTCTGCTTCCCTTCCTCCTGGAAGCGACTTTTTCTTTTCCCCCCTCATGGCCATTCATCTCAGGGGCAACCCTTATCGTGAGATTGACCAAGCGCTGTCAATAAAACCCCGACAGAGAAAATGTACGAGGATCTAGTAGTCCATCACGGGCCCCACTTTTACTTTCGCGAACAATCCTTATTCTGCGCTTATTTGGGACTATTAGATGAATTGGGTTGCCGTGAGTGGAGACCTTGTATGTAGGGCACGGAAATTGCCCTACTTCAGGTCAATGGACTCACATCGCCATGGTGGTTTTTTTGTTCTGAGGGTTGGAAATTGCTGGAGCACTCTATCTTAGAAGGTCCGGTTGACTCCGTCAAATCTTCGCATATTGTTAGTTTGTTTCATCTCTGCATGCACGATGCGCCCGTTAGCCAGTGACAATCTTGGCGGCGCGCCGTTTGCCAGTCCATAGGTAGACTTTTTGTTCAACAGTCGGCCGACATGGTGTGTGCAGCACTCGTTAAGGCTATGGTCCTGGCTTTCAGCTGTATCTAATATTCCAGGTCACGTCCATTGGTGCTTCATTCATGCTTGCAGTCGATGTCCAGTGACAAATGAGTGGTTGTCTACTCCCTACTGGGTGACATGACTGACGAGGCCAGAATTAGAATGATAGGTCGAGTGCAAAAATAGGACTTGCCTGTTTGCCTCAAGTGATTGTGAGATTCAGACCTGTTCATCGGATCAGGGGGGAGGAATGGAACTAGACCAAGCGTCTGTTCAAGTCTGATCCATCGTAAATACGACCGGGTCTAAAGAGCCATGGTTAGAAACCCGCGAAAGTCGAGGATAGCTCACATCAAGGTTCAGTAATAACCGTGGAAGGGCAAGTGTCCGACCGCCCCATTCTCAGTGCCCTGGGATTCGTCGAGGGCTTCAGTCTGCCGAAAGCTACGAAGGGGGGGAGACGAGCCGTCATGGTGGATTTGGATAAGCTTGGAAGCGGCAAATGATCGGTCGCGTTATCGCCCGCTCTTTATCGGAGCGCCGCCCGAATTACCGCCGCTCCGCCAAGTTGCGTTGCACACCAACCTAAACCCAACCCACCGGTCCACCACTGTATATCCGACCAGAATATTGGTGGTACAGGTATGCGTGTTGATCAATCCAGAACAGCGGCTTCAAATGGACCTCGAGGAGAGCCGGTGTCCGAACAGACGCCCCTCCTTGGGGATCACTCGTCGAATGAACAAGCAGTGCCTTCGGGAGACTCCGAGGTCCCCTTGGCCGATGAACCCAGCTCGAAAGAGCTCATCCTCGTCCTGGGAAGTATCTGGGTAGGAGTCTTCCTGGCTGCCTTGGGTATGACCTGTCCTACTACAGGTGCCTGTTCCGCTGGAGCTGACCGTGTTAGACACTACAATTGTCGCTACTCTCACTGCTCCCATCTCGTCTTCCTTCCAGTCCTTCACTTTGCTATCCTGGCTCGCTACCTCCTACCTGATTTCTAATGCTGCCTTTCAACCGCTGAGTGGGCGTCTTACTGATATCTTCTCTCGACGGACTGGGCTGGTCTTTTCGAATATCTTCTTTGCAGCGGGAAACTTGATCTGTGGCCTGGCAAAAACCGAGGGGACTATTGTACTGGGGCGCGTCATCGCCGGTATCGGTGGCGGCGGACTGACTGCGATTTCGACCTTTGTCACCTCCGACTTGGTGCCTTTACGTAAACGTGGGGTCTGGCAGGGCATTGGTAACATCTGCTATGGAGCCGGAAGTGGACTGGGTGGTGTATTTGGAGGTTGGATTAATGACACTCTGGGATGGCGATGGGCCTTCTTGATCCAGGTACCTTTCGTCGTGGTGTCCGGCATCCTCGTAGCGGCTACGGTACGTGTACCGGTAAAGACCACTGACAACGCCAAATTGAAACGGGTCGATTTCCTCGGAGCTCTCACTCTGGTTACCAGTCTCGTTCTGCTCCTACTGGGGTTGAACACTGGAGGCAACCAGGTGCCGTGGACTCACCCTCTCATTCTTGTCTCGTTGCCGCTCTCCGCGGTCTTCTTTGGCCTCTTCATCTACGTCGAGGCCAACATCGCGTCCGAACCGGTCATTCCTGTCCGGTTGCTTCTGGATCGCACGGTGTTCTCAGCCTGCCTGACCAACTGGTTCAGCACGATGGCGGTGTTTGGGCTTTTGTTCTACCTGCCGTTGTTCTTTCAGGTCCAAGGCTTGTCCGCCACAAGTGCGGGTGTGAGACTGATCCCCCAAGCCATTGGCACCTCTCTCGGCTCACTGGGCTCGGGGATTCTGATGCGGTCGACCGGACGATACAAGATCTTCAGCTATGTGTCCATGACTCTGATGGTTCTCTCCAATGTGCTGATCTGCACGCTGACCCTCACAACCCCGTCGTGGCTACCCTTCATCTACTTCTTCCTGATGGGTACTGCCTATGGGAGTATGCTGACCATTACGTTGGTGGCACTCATCTCTGCTGTAGACCATGAGCACCATGCAGTCATCACATCCGCATCATACGCATTCCGCAGCACGGGGAGCACCATTGGCATCACCGTTGCCTCTGCCGTGTTCCAGAATATCCTCAAAACCGGACTATGGTCTCGGTTTGGAGATCGCGAGCACGCTGGCGAGCTGATTGGACGGATCCGCGATAGCCTCGAGGAGATCAGGAAGCTCCCCGCAGACTGGATCCCGGGGGTGTTGGATTCATACATGGATTCTTTGCGCGCCGTGTTTCTGACGTTGCTGGGACTCAGCGTACTGGGGGCGATAGTCAGTATGGGAATGCGCGAGCACAAGCTGCATTCGAACTTGGCGCGGAGAGATGAATAGAAGAAAAGAATGGCGATTGATTGTGGGCGATATGTAAAATTGGAGACAGCGTAAGAAATAGAAAACATACTACTCAGACTTTACTTGTACCGACCATTCCTACTGAACAGAACAGTAATAGCGACATCATCATCGGGTCAAGGCTGCAGGGTCCACCGCCCACCCGCCAATAAGCGCCGGTCTCTTCCGCAGACGAACCAGGAGTTCCTCTCCACCGCAGCCTTTGGATCTTCCGGTAGTTGAAAGACGAAAACATATTCCTCTCCACTGAGGTAGTTAGCAGTGGCACGACTCTCCTCCTCCTCCTCCTCCTCCTCCTCCTTCCTCTTCGCTTCTTTTTTTTCCTCTCCCTCTTTTTAATTTCCTCCATTCCGATCATCCCCGAGTCCCCTCAAATCGATACTTGGACGATACCCTGGGTGGCGTTGAAAGTTGCGCTGCAGACGTGGCGACGGCAGACATCTTGGACATTTGACGCCCAAGCTCCGTTGCTAACTGGATTTCATTAACAACTAATTAATTCGCCCTGCAAGTCCCGCTGCTGCTTCAAACCCGGCACACCGCTTCCTCCCTAGCCTGTCCGATCAGCCCACCCGTCAGTCAACACGTACTGCCTCCAGATCCGCAGTGCGGTCCGGTTCCTGCCCTCGTCTTGCTGTGCATGGCTTGGGTTTCCTAGTTCTTGGTCTGGCCTGGAGAGAGAAAGTGACAGAGAGAGCTTTACTTTGGGTTGCAATTGATCGACCGCTAGCCCCCGGCTGGCCGACTTATATTCATACAATCGTCACCTGCTTGGATTTACTTTTTTTTGTTGCAGGGCATTCCCTTCGCCGTTCTTGCGCACTGGCTGCGATTTCTTCCTTTCGACGGTACACCAAAAGACTAATCCGGGGTTTGCTGGCTGCACAATCCCTGCAGGCGACAGGTTCTGGGCGCTCTCCCTTTCCTCTCCAACGAATCGAATTGTGACGTGACTGGACTATATTACCGCGGGATCTGCGTCTTAGATCGTTTCCTACGACATAGTATTTCTTTTTCCCCGTTCTTTCCTCACTGTCATGGCTGTCGGTTTCGGCGCAAGTTTCCCCTCGACCTCGACTGGTGTCGCAACGGTGGTTTCAAAGGGTGTCTGGTCGTCGGAAATGGAGGTCACTACAGAATTGGGAGGAAAGTTGACGGAAAATACCACCACGACCCCCATGCAAATAGATAATCAAATACAAGAAGCCCCGAGCTCTTCTCCTCCTCGTCGGAAACGCTTACTTCTCTCCACCGAGAGTGCTTTTGTCGACCACATACTTCCATCGCTGGTTCAGAATCCCGATATCGAAATACGCTTGATCACGGACGAACCCTCCGCCCTTCTGTCGGGCGCAAGCAAGGTTCCTCATTATATGGACACGGTGGATAGTCAAACATTCGAAAAGAAGACTGGGGCTCGGAAATGGCTCAAGGCCAAGGCGGCGGAATTGTGCGAGTGGGCTGATATGCTGCTGGTTGCGCCGATAGATGCGGGAGCGTTGGGGTCGATGCTATATGGGCTGACCAACACTTTGACGTTGGCGCTCCTGCGGGGTTGGATCTCGTCGAAGCCGGTGGTGCTGATCCCTGGTATGACGGTTTCAGAATGGCACCATCCACTGAGTAAAAGGCAACTTCGAGAGGTGGCAGAGTTCTGGCCATGGATAAGTGTGGTGTCACCGGTGCTGTGGGAATCGGTCAGTCCGGAGGAGCTGGTTCAGTTACCATGGGAAGGCTTAGAAGAACTACATGAAGTTCTCGAACGAACTTTGGGTCTATCGTTCTCTCAGGTCTCCACTAAGCCTGGCCAGCTTACAGATTCTACATACCCGACCGGCATTTCGGAGCAGATGCCTGGTGATGCGGCGTCCACGATATCGCGACACCTCCTGCATCGAAGCAATAAAACGGAAAATGGCCCGCGCTCACTACCCATGGAGCTATGGCTCAATATCTTCGAAGACCAATTACATGACTGGGAAATCGCAAAAGCAGTCGGTATTCCAACCAACCTGCCCGTGCCGAAGGAATGGCAAAATCACCTGTTAAAGATGTCGACCCCAGCTTCCTTGGAATACACCATTCTCAGAGGATCCTTCGCCGCAATCAAAAAGCGCATTGACAGCCTGCCGCGATGGAAGCCCCTCTCTGACCTTGTATGCCACCTCATCTTCAAGTTCTCTCGAACCGATATCCTCTCCTACCTCACCGAAAACCATCTCGATTTACTCTGGACCACCTCCCGACTCACGAACCTGCCATACCGCGCATCCGCCATCTACGGAAACCCCAACATCCTCACATGGTGGCGCGATGCCCCGCCCTCCCCACCAAAGAATACATCGCCGATGCAATGGACGGAGCCTCCCGCGCCGGCTTTGTCAACGTCCTAGAATGGTGGCGAACCTCCGGCCTTGAACTTCGGTATACCGAGCGCGCCCTTGAAGCCGCCAGTGCCGAAGGCCGAGTAGCCGTCCTCGCTTGGTGGAAAGCCGCCTCGGCCAATGCACCCCCTTCCAACCCCATCCCCCTCAAAGTCGGCAAATCCGTCCTCCTTGCTGCCCAATCCGGCCGTACCGCTTCCCTAGCCTGGTGGGACGCCTCTGGCATCCCCTACACCCATGGCGAATCCGTTGCCCGCATCGCCAGCACACACGGCCACGTCCACGTCCTCGACTTCTGGTACCGTCTGAAAGGCGCTAAGATGATCTTCGACAGCCAAGTTCTCGTCGGGCCCACCAAGAATGGTCACGACAACGTCCTAGAATGGTGGCGTCGCAGCGGACTCCGCGTCGAGTTCAAAACCTGCGACATCGAAGAAGCTCTCGAAGACGCGGACCCAGTCTCTGGTGCTGAAGAACGTGTTCGCAAATGGTGGGCCCGGAACGGGCTCAACCTGGGTGTTGGAACGAGTGAGTGGATGAAGACGAAAGTGTTGTAATTGATAAGGTTTTTTTTTTTTTAATCTCTGACTTGTTAAGATACCTCTTTTTTCTTTCTCCTTCTTGCTCTTTACTTTTTTGTCCATTCACACAAACATCATCGAAAGTTTACTTCTAATACCCCGTTCTTGTTTTCGTTTCTTCTCCGCTGGCGTCATTTCTACCCATTCCATCGTCCTTCTGTCCATACTTATTTTTCTATTACTTTGCATGGAGGGCCTGGTGGGCTGGTATATATTATCGCATTGCATGCATGCTATCGTGCATGGGGAAGAAATATGAAACTCGGTATTTAGCGTTGGTTTGATTGTTGTACCTTTTTGTAGGTTAGGGTAAAAGGCAACTCTTTTCTCTATTTTTTTACTTTCAATCTTTCGTTCAAGTAGTACGAGATTTGGGCCTGTTAAAAATCTAAATTTCACTAACACATCTCACGATAATGTGGCCCAATGTCTGTTGGAAATATAGATATGTGGAAAGTACTACAGAATTATCGGTTTCTGAGAGGGAACCGAACATATATAATATTCGATAATACTAGTTGATAACCTATGAAAACCATAGTACTACTGTTCTAGGAACCGGCCTAAATACCCATCATGGTCAATGAACTAAAACCGTAATTTTCTTTTATCATATCGATTAAACTATCATATATCAAACTACCCTATTCAAGTAGTAGTAGTATAGTAGTGGTAGTATTGTACCGTGACATTTATTAAATCCATTTCACTTTCATTGTGTAGTGACTGTCACGAGATATATAAGTATGGTACTAGAGATGAGGGTACAAGTAAGCGCTCACGAATCTAGGTGAGTGCAGCAGGGTACACCTTTTATACGAATCTACTGGAGGTTCTCCAGTCCCCTTGCCGAACTGATTTCTTTCCGTGACATTGGTATAGCAGAATCAATCATAGGGTCCTACTTCATACAGAAAATTCATTCTAACAACTACCCCGTGCGCCTCATGCCATGCGGACACCAGCCGGACAAAGGTCAATGAAGAATAGGGAAATGGAGTGACGTCAAATGTTAGGCCGTCATTGCGGAGTTCATACTTCTTTCTCTTGTCGTAAATGAAAATGTGCAGGCCGTTTCAGAATGGATTGTGTGCTTTAAGTTGGGTTGATGTGATATCAAGTGATGCGATAAAAGGCAGGGTAGGCAAGTGTTCGTCTAAACTTCTCTCCTGCTGGGGTATTAGGCGTAGATCTAGTTATTTAGTAGGAGACAAACCTACCAGGTAGGTTCATGCTTCTCAATGCCAGGGGTGCGAATGGCGTTGCGGTCGCCGAATGGATTGTCCTCATCATCGTCGTCTTCCGTCTCTGACTCGCTGTCATTGTAGACTTTCCTTGATGAGGATGGTACGGATATGCTCAAGGGGCGAGGGGGACGAGGTGGCTTCGGGGGATTGACAACCAGCCCTGCGAATGAGTCGGGCAGGTCGTCGCGGTCAGGGGTCCATCCCGTCTCCAGGACGTCCTGGTCGCTGTCACTGTCGTAGTCTACACTCTTGTCTAAGACTTCGAATGCCATAAGTGAGGTGACTAGCTCTTCGTTTGCGTGAATCAAACTACCCAGAAACTCCTCGCTTTCCACGTGCTGGATGTATCGCAGGATTTGGCGCCGTAATGTCTTGCAAGTCTCAAACCGGTTGAGGACTTCGGCATCTTCGCTGACCCGGTGCGTTTCGCGGTTGACTAGCTTGAGGGCGTTGAGGAGGTTGGTGCTGGCGACGGAGGCTGATGCGAGGGTCTGTAGCATTTCCGGCTTCTCTTTCTCGAGGTTGAAAGACCTGCTTAGTGTCTTCTTCTCCTTCTTCTCCTTCCTGAAAGATGAGAGTGACGATTTGCTGGATGTGTGCTTGTGTTTGGGGCCACTGAGAACTGTAGCAGGTCCATTTCCGGCTGACACAGACACCGTATGGCCCATCGTAGGTTCGTCGGATTGCCCCTCATCTCGCAACACTTTGGCTTTTGCCTGAGTAGCCGGCTGCTTACGCTTCGGTAATTGTCTGTAGAGACCTGTAACCCGCTCCATGCCGGGAGTGTTCTTGTATGAAGCAGCCCATTGCCCGAAGAGCTGCTTGCATTTCTCTTTCACCAAGGGATCGGAAACCGGGTCGGTCGCAGCGATTCGTAGTCTTTCCAGTAAGGGCTCATCTGCAAATTCCCGCAGGAAGCGGTCGCCGGTGTTCTGGATTAGGAAGTCGAGGATTGTAAGGGCTCGCAATTGGCGGTGAAGATTGCCATACTTGCTGGGAGGGTGTTAGAGCGCTGTCGAGCAGAGGAAGTGAATACACTGACAGCTTCTTACGCAAAGCGCGACTCGCTTCCGTAGGGCCACTGGCCTGGATGCGAATGGCCTCGATAAGATCCACAATCCCACTGGAATCTTCCACCTCATATTGTTCGCTGGTGAGGACCTCGATCTGGACCGTCACAGCCGAATACGGCTTCTATAAATGAGCACATATATTAGTCTGTGAACAAGGGAGTGATGGAACCACAGTTATATTTGTGAGTTTGCAGATAGATGTGAGTGTTGTGTAATTGACACTGTTCTCAATGCCAATTGGGCTAGGCCGCGGGAAGTTGCCAAATCGACTTACCGACGAGTGAAACATGGTGAAAGCACCGGATGAGAAAGTGTATGGAGTCGATATTCAATGACAACGAAAGAGAAAGACAGCCCCGCAAGTATTCGGATATGTGAAGACAGTGTTTGGAACTCTCACATGCGTATCGAATTGTTTCACCAATACATACAGGAGGATCGACCCGGTTAAGGAGAGGTGGGTCGCGAGACGAGACGCGGTGGTGATTTGAACCCCCTTTGTCCTCTTTGTGCTCACAATTATATCCCACCGACAAGCAAGAGAGTGAGCCCACAATGGTCTTACCCAACAGGGACCCTTCCCGGTGCCTAGAGAGATAGATATCTATCCAGCGCGCAGCGGGGAAGAAGCAGAACGGTGACGTGTTAGGCCAACTGGATAGCCTCTGTGCTGCCTTGGGCGGGGGGTTACAGAAGGACCTGGTGCACTAAGAGGAGTAGCTTTGCATTGGCAGACCACTCGGCAGTGAATTGATCTCGCAGACCAGCAGCGTTGGAGCCGTTTGAGCTGCAGCAACTGCAAAAGACGAAGGATTGGACCGGCGCCTCCAACGTCATGCGGTGTTGATTCCATCCCGATCTCGTGACTGCCCCTCTTGCCAGTCCCAATTGGGACAAGTGCGGGGGAACTTTCCGACTCAGTGCCTGATTTGCCTGATTTGCGCCTGGGGCACTCCCATGGCCCACGCCGATCCCGGGCTTCTTCATTCCTGCGAGTTTGAAAAGGTCAAGCATAATCCCTCGAGCATCTCTGACCCCCAGTGGTTGGACCTCGTTTGACGCAGGAACTGCTCGAATAATTAACACGGACGGTTCGTATCCTGTTGCTCAACCATTCGCCACTCGTTAGCATCCCAATTCCATGGGTCTCTGGTCAACGAATTCGGCAGATCCTTGCTCCATTCGCAGGCCGCGTACTATCTCCATCTTCTCCCGTCTGGTCCTCTGCTCCACTCTGCTACTGGGTGTCAGCTTCATTTTAAAAACCCGCCCTCATCTACTCCCATCCCTCCCCCACCTATCCCCCTCCTTCTCCTCCTATACCCAACCCACCACCATGTCCTACCAACAAGAACGCTACATTGCCGAGCTGGCCGTCCAGCGTGCCACCCTCCTTACCCAGAAGGTCTTCAATGAGAAGGCCAAGGGCACCGTCTCCAAAGATGACAAGTCACCCGTTACCATTGGCGACTTCGGCGCCCAGGCTCTGATCATCCAAGCCATCCGCAAGAACTTCCCCAATGACGAGATCGTCGCCGAAGAGGAGGCCAGCAGCCTCCGCGAGGACAAGGCGCTGAGCGCCGAGATCTGGAGACTCGTTCAGGATATCAAGTTGGTGGACACCGAGAGCGACAACCTCCTGGGAGGCCCTTTGCCTAGCGAAGAAGCGATGCTGGACATCATCGACCAGGGCAAGAGCGCTGGTGGTGCCAAGGGACGTATCTGGGCTCTGGACCCCATCGACGGCACCAAGGGTTTCTTGCGTGGTGGTCAGTACGCCGTCTGTCTCGGTCTGATTGAAGACGGTGATGTCAAGGTTGGTGCCATTGGCTGCCCTAACCTGCCTATCAACGACGCCGAGACCATGTCCGCGGGCATTGGCGCCGAGCAGTCCAGCGGCACCGGTAAGGGTGTCCTCTTCTCCGCCATCCAGGGTGTTGGTTCTATCAGCCGACCCCTCACCAACGGTGCTCTCGCTGAGAGCAAGTCTATCTCCATGCGCCCCGTCCCCGATATCGCTCAGGCCGTGTTCTGCGAGGGTGTCGAGGCCGGTCACTCCGCTCAGGACGACAACGCCGCCGTTGCTAAGCTTCTCGGTATCACCTCCCCCAGTGTGCGTTTGGACTCGCAGGCCAAGTACTGCTCGATTGCCCGCGGTGCTGGTGACATCTACTTGCGTCTGCCGGTGCGGAAGGACTACCAGGAGAAGATCTGGGACCACGCCGCGGGTGACCTGATCGTGCGGGAAGCTGGTGGTCAAGTGACGGATATCTACGGCCAGAGACTGGATTTCACCAAGGGCAGGACCCTGGCGGCCAACAAGGGAGTTGTCGCGGCCCCCAAGGCCCTTCAGGACCAGGTCATCGGTGCGGTGAAGACTGTCCTGAAGTTGTAAGGGCTAGGTGACGACGATAAAGGGATTTTCTATCATGAATGTAATAGATTCTCGATCAGTTCTGTCAGACCGTGCACGCTCGATGCGTCTCTAAAAGTACATAAAAAAGAAAGGATACCAATTGCGAACCAAAAGAACCGTGCTCGGATATACATGTACAGAAATAATAAACACAGTTTCGTTCCCCCAAAATGTAGACGCCAATTTCAACGAATCTTCTTGTCCTTGAGCTTGATCGTCTCGCCGTTGACGAAGATACCCTTGCCCTTGTAAGGTTCCGGCTTGCGCCATTCGCGGATCTCCGCCGCGAACTTGGTCACAAGCTGCTTGTCCACACTCTCCAGCAGGATACGAGTCGGCTGAGGTGTGCTGGCCTTGACACCCTTGGGAATACCCAGCTCAATGGGGTGCGAGTATCCGACCTTCAGGGACACGAACTGCTGACCGGGGTATTGGGGCTCCACGGTGGTCGCCGTGGGTTCAATGGTAGCTCTGTAACCGACACCAACGAAACTCAGAATGCAAATGTGACCTTCCGAAACTCCGAGGATGTGGTTCTGTAGATGGGCGCGCATGGTTCCTAGAAAAACAATCCCTCGTCAACTATGATCCAGCAATGAACTCATTTCCAACAAAGTAACGCACCCCACATAGCACGCTGGTGAGTGATCTCTGAGTCTTGAACGGCAAGAGTAGCTTTGCGAAGGGCTTCATCGTAGTCGATTTTCACGTAGGAAGGGACGTTCAGCGACAATTCACCTAGCGCTCAAATGTCAGTTTCGCTCCGCTTTTCCGCTGCCGCCGTTATGAAGTGTAGCCATTGCTCCTTACCCAAGGGTCCTTTGACCTCAACGGCCATGTTAGGGAAGTCAACAGACTTGGCCTTGGTCTTGGGCTGAGGGAGGTCGATGAACTTCAGGGACACCTCCGGGGGCACCGTGATCGCGGCGCCGCCAACTCGCGATTGTACCGGGGACGTGGTCGAGAAAGGTTGTGTCCGGAGAGGGTGAGAGAAGGCAGGGACGAGGAAGTTGGGCAGAGGTCCTTGTCTCAAAGGACTCCGCGCAAGCTGCCTAAAGCAGCTCTGAGACAAGTAACATGACATGGCGACGGTAATTGTGGGTTTGAGGTCTGGATGAGTGCTTGGAACTCCGATGCCGACTGATTTTGTCCGGAGATCTTGCACTCCCGATGTGGTTAGTGCGGCGTCACGTGATAGGCTGTATAGATGGCACGCTCTCACTTCCCTTTTACTTCCTCCACATCGCAGAATGTTGTCTGTGTAGCTGTGGAATTGTTCTTATCTAAACCCTAGTTTGAGTTGATTTCTTGTTTTATCTACTGTTCTGATGTGATCACAGGGTGTCTCATTCTGGTACTACAGCTTCAGATGTGCTGTTGCTCTGACTCTTGCTAAGATATCAATTGCTGCTTCGTACTTTTAGCTTGCAACTTGTATACCATCCAATCGCTATTCTTTTCTTTTCTATCTTCTCTGCTTGATAATATTTGTTATTCTAATCAGCATAATCTCTGCGCTTTTCTACCGCTAACATCCCCAGGGTTGCGACATATCACCACAGCCAAAATGTCGGGAAGCTCAGGCATTAGAATGTCCTTCACTTTGTTACGCTACCTAATATTAATACTAAACATCTGCAATGCCACGATTTCTGCTAGTTCAATGGATGGTACGTCTGCTTACACCCTTGGTCTTGCTTACGCTAACCTACTAGCAAGTGCTTTCGGCCGAACACCGAAATTCGAATATGGACGCCGATCTAGCCTCTTTATTGACTTCCAAAAGCCACCAGCGTGAAGTACTATTTTCAGATGCACTTGGACTTCTGCAGTCAATGCAGACTCTTCCATCTTGCCATCAAATGGCAGTTTCAAAACTGGTTACTTCCTGCCAGTCGATCGGGGGCAGATCTGACAAGCCGGATCCACACACATTTACGACGCTGGAGCACATCCGCTCAATATACGCGGCAAGGCTTGCCATATGCGAGCTCAATGAAGCGGGTGCCGCAGTTCCCACTTCATGTCATCCTATAACTATGCGGCTGCCGCAGAAGAAAGGGCTCTTCGGGCTGTCCACCGGTTATAAGACCCGCTTCAATGCTGCAGAAACCGTAACCAAAGGACAATTGGAGACCTGTCTCCGTTCTCTAGAGTCACGGCCCCAGTGGTGGACATCGTATAGTAACAGTAGGCAAAATGCCGTGGTCATATGTCAGGCAGCCAGATTCGAGAATGAAAGGGAGGAAATCATTGAACTCCACCGGTCTATTATTGAAGGCACGATAAAGCTTGATCATGGGCTTCAGGAAGCATTGAAAGTGTCCGCGATTGGGCTCTCCCAATACAAGGAGTTCCTGCAATCAGTCGAAGACATGAGAAGCAAGCTGGTCGTCAGCATGGAGGAGACGGAGCTACACTTCAAAACTAGGTTCGAGAATTTGATCCTCGACATGGGTGTCCACGTTGGCTCAATCATAGAGCCTGTGGTTTCCACTATAAGGAACCTACATAGCAGCACGGCGTCCCTCGACAAGGTTAGTAGATCACAACTTGCTAGTGCTATGGTTGACATATAACAGAATATAGCGAACGCAGCGGAAGGTGTCAACAACTTACGGGACATCTTGAAGCTCGTTCGGGATGAAGGCATAGCATGGAACCAACAGCAAGCAGTGATTCAACAACAGGATGCTCTTGCATTTAGTGGCCTAGTTTCAGACATTCAAGGCGACATGGAAAAGCTGTCTGGCACGCTAGCAAACTTCGACTCTGCTCTAGTAAGCCCTGCCCTCCTACATAACTTCTAGAGATTGACTATGTCAGGAATGGCTCGCAGGCAGGTTTGTCCAGATACTTCAGCAAGAGCAAGACATATCTAAGGTTAGCAGTAACCTGTTGGAATGGGTAATTAGCTAACCTTCTTAGCGCCTGAGTAATCTTGAAACTGCCTTAAGTGGTTCTCAAATAATCGCTGAGGACCTGCGCAGCGCTCAGCTAGGGCAGAATGAACTTCAAGAGCATCTCCTCACGAATATGCTGATCTCTCAAGCTCTTGTCGATAAAACAACGGCCGCAGCTGCGAACCTACAAACAATTGTCGACGACACTGTGAAACGATTTGAAGAGGTGCCTGCTTCAAGACGTCTTTTAGGCTCATACACTACACCCATGTATAGCCTTTTAATCGGCTTTGTTGGTGCACAAAGCCCCAGGGCAGCCATATTGCTACTCGTTGCTTCCATATGTATGTATTCAATAGTCTAAGCATGACCTAGGCTTGTTTCTAACAGTGTTGATCACAGATCATTTCCTCCTTGATTCATGACATCATGGTCACGAGCATAATGTGGCGTTCTATACTATTGCTGTCATATATCTATAACATGGTAATCAGTGATCAAAATGGTACACTATACGGTGGTCTGGCTTTTAGCCTAGTTTGCAGCGAGCGATATCACCTTAATGTAGCACGAATAGACTGTCATGGCCGCTCCCTACACTGGTGTAAGAGAACAGTGAACCTCTGAGTAAAGAGAGAATTATAGCAGATCCTGTAGAAATAAATGTCATTTACCCAGATGTCAGCTACCTGAGATTAGAGATATTGACTACGTAGAGTACAGGCTCCAAGCATAGTATGAACAAGGGATGAGAAGTTAGTCCAGATGGACCCTGAGCCTTTAGGGTTAAACTGGGCAGAAAACAGCGGTATGATGCGGCAGAAAAGCGCCCGCCGATCAGCAGTCAGTCTCCCTCCACCCTTCGCCGTTTCCTCCCAGCCTCGCTGATCTCGATCTCAACCTCAATTGTCTGAAGAAAATCTGTGACCAGGCGAATAAATATTTATACAGTACGTGCTTTATCCCTACACAGCCATTTATATCCATTCCCCCGGAGACATCAATCGCAACCCCCGCAGCAAACGTCTCCGATCCACACGCAGACCGCCTTCGCAGCTGGAGCGGGCATCTGGGGTTGCGGTGTTCTCCCCCAGAGCGCCACCTTCGGAGCAAGGTTAGCTGGCTTATTCTCCCCGAGACATTGCTGTGGATGGCGCAGGGGGTGGTTGCACATTCTGAAGGTGGTGCGAGCTCCTGCTCGGTGGAAGATCGAACACGATGCGTCTCCTTTCTGCCTGGTGATAAGCTGACTTGCTCCCCGCGACTAGCGTTGAGCCTTAATCGCTGGTTCACCACTCGAGCTACCACGGATCGTTTTTATTGGTCGTATCGTCCGGCATCGTGAGCGCGTACAGTCGCATTAAACCCGCGATCGGAGCGCACCCAGCTTTTTCACTACAACGTCACACACAAGATAATGACCGATCCCACTTCCGACGCACCTGCTATGGACGAGTTCGCGCAGACTCGAGGTGGCGATGACCTCTTCGACGATGAGATCGTCCCCGTTCCCGCCGTTGAACAGCAACCTGAGCCCGAAGTCCATACGGAACCTGCCCCCGCTCCTGTTGTCGAAAGCGATGCGCCGCCACCTGCTCGAACTGATACCCCATCATCACGGTCGCGTGGAGGCGAAAGGCGAGGCCGGGGTCGAGGCAGAGGGCGTGGTGGGCGGGGATCGCATAACGGAGGCCGTCGTGGGGATGGGGCTGTGAAGAACAAGCCCGTTGAAAGTGCTCCTGAGCAGGAGAACAAGAATGGAGAGGGTTCGACTCCGGAGTCGCCGGCTGAGGGAGATCAGAATGGCAAGGAGGAAACAACGGCATCGGATCCTAAGCAGGCTGCAGCTCCAGAGGGACCGCGCGTACCTGCGGTTCGCGGAGACAGAAGTGCTACAGGTGGTTTAAAGAAGGTAGGAGCATCTGCGATATCTAGATGTATGCTTGCTAACTCGCTACTAGCCGAAGCTTACGGAAGAAGAACTGTCCCGTCGCATCGCTGCCGCCAAAGAAAACGCTGCCAAAGTTGCCGCTGCACATGCTCGAGCTGAGGCAGACCAAGCGTCGTTCCTTGAGCGCGAGAAGGTTGCCGAAGAGAAGCGACGCCAGGAACGCCAGCATCGCAAGGCCATGGATAATGAGCGGGAGCGTAACCGACTGCGCAAACTGGGTGCCTTGAACGGAAGGGAGTGGGACGCCGAGAAGAAGGAGGAACATTACAATCCCCGTGGTGGCAGGGGCGGCTTCCGACGAGGTATGCACGGCGGTGTGTCTGGATATGCCCGGCGCGACTTTGATTCCCAGCCGAGTGAAGAAGCCAGTGAAGACGCCCGTCCTCCTCATCATCGGGGCCGTGGACGTGGTGGTCGAGGTGGACGTGGCCGCGGTGGACATCGCGGGCCTCGAGGAGATATTGCAGCGTCCGATGGTGCTGCTGATCAGCCTGCTTCGGGTGAAACCAAGTCTAAAGCATCTGCTCCAGTCATCAATAACGAGTCTGAGTTCCCATCTCTACCTGGAAGTGGGAAGAAAGAGAAGGAGAAGGCTGGTGAGGAAGCACCCGCTACCCCTGATCTGCTCAAGTCGGACTCCTTGTCACCAGTGGCGGGAGCTTCCTGGGCTGATCAAGTCGAGTCTCAGTAATCATACATTTACGAATCTGCCCGCTTTCCTAATCATTGTGATATGACTTCAACTCTAATCTGCGCCAAAGACACATGAATTCTTGCACTCATATTCCCCTAAACAGTACTTGTTACTTGCTTTGACACGATATCATTCGGATGGCCTACGAAAGCCTTGCCCGTCATTATGCGTCTTTTCCAATATCCTTATCCTTCAAGAGATGAAAGCTTTGCTTATACCTGCTTGGTTAGCTATGACGTTATGTACATACCTATACCGCACCGCAATAGAGGCGAGTCTCATCCCACTGCCTTGAGGTATACAAGTGAGCCGTACTAGATATTAGGACATCACCTGCATGAACTATGCGATCATCATTCATCTAAGGATCATCAATACAGTCCAGAACGCCCTCAATCGTGGCAGTTCTTCTGCGTAGGAGCTTCCATGGATATAACATCCTGACTAAGCCGAGTGGCAACAACCGGCCAATCAAGTAGACCCCTATGACGTTTGTTCATGATGAGATCACTGCCCTTCATGAGAGATTCTCGACTATAAATCGTCCAATTCGATCATAGAAAAAGATAACTTTATCATTATTATCTACTCAGCTCAAGTTGAACATCTAGGTAAGTTATTAGCCATCTGGTTATACGAAAATTAAGATATATCATATCCCGACCATCTACCCCAAACTATATATACATATACAACGTCACCAACATCGCCCCTAAAAACCAACTGTTTAAACCAACCAAACTAACGAATTCATCCCCAGAGCAAAACATCATATCTTACTTTTTTCAGACCGAACACACACATATCATAATATACACTCAAAATGTCCCAAAACCGTCTCCCAGGCTCCACCCGCGGCGGCGCCAGCGCCCAACCCACACCAGCCAACAACTCCGGCGGAGGCAGTGGCTGGGGCGACGAGGGCTATCCCAAGGGAGGAGGCGGAGGAACAGCGAACCAGACATCGTCGGACGATGGGGTTCCTGTACGTACTACCAACCGCCCCCTTTCTTATCTATCTTATTTTCTTGGAAAGCAATGCTAATAAATCTGTGATTAGTCCGATATCCTCACCACGCCCGCCCTCCAAGGCATCTCGCAGCAAAAGCAAGCCGCAGAGCAAAAGTTCATGAGTCGGTGGGATGAAGGACATGATCAGCGAGAGGGCACTTGTGCTACGGAAGATCATAGCTTCATGGGCACGAAGCCTGGTGGGTCGGATGCGTTGCCCGGTTGGAATGTGCTAAAGGATAAGTTGGGATTGTAAGCTTGCCTGCCTGCCGCTCCTTCCTTCCTTCCTTCCTGATGCTCTGGCTGTTCCGTTTCTGGGATGCGGGCTGATGGGGTTGGGGTTGGGTTTTTAGTCTTTATCCGGAGTAATTGGATTCTTTTTTCTTTGGGGAGGGGGTGTGCGTTTATGAATGATATGAATGAATGGTATCAAATGAAATATGGTTTTGGGAATTGAGATTATGTTATGATGTATTTATTGGGGAGGGATGTTAAGATGGATTAAACAGGCGTTGATAGTGAGATTGATGTGATGTGGTTGGTTTAGTGTATTGGTATAGCATGTATGTCACATTCAAGATGGATGCATTGTTTATGATAGCTTTTCCGTCTCGTCTATTCTTTCTTGGCTGTCTTGCCCTTGATTCGGTCCCGTAGGGCAACTATTTTGCCCCCAAGGCGTCCCTTGAGGGTTTGCGCAGTCAACGCGGAGGCTTCTTCGGCCGTCACGAAGCGACGGACAAGGAGGTTGAAGATACTGCCGAAGGCGAGCGCAACGACGGTGCTGGTTAGGATGATCACGTTGTAAGGCATGCTGAAGTCGGGGGTGGGAAGTGGGAGAAGAAGGCTGGTGGTGCGGATGTAGATCGGGTGGTTTTGGCCGTTCGCTGCGTCGAGCTTGATTACGGCGGGAGCGACGTTGAAGCCGCGGTTTGCGTCCGGGGGATATTCTGTGTATCGCAGGATAGCTTTCTCAAAGTCGTATGTGAGAGTCACGGTCGACGCGGGAGGTATCGTCATTGCCAGCTCTAGCTGTGTTCCTCGTTCTCGGTCGATGGCCGGTCGGTAGAAGGATTCACGGATAAATTGGGAGGCGGGTACTTGTTGGCGTAGTCCATCGCGGCCTGTGATGGAAGCCTGCAGTGTGTGGACATATGGTCGTAGAAACCATGGTAGGGTCTCGAAGTAAATGAAGTCGACAGAGTTGGAGTCAGACGGGTTGTCGAAGATGATCCGCATGCCACCGCGCTCTTGGCCGTGGCCAACAATCGTTCTCTCCGCGCTCAAGACAGGCTCATCAAGTGGCACATGAGTGGTAACTTCTTGTTCAGGGATGGTGAGGTCGAACGGAGTAGAAGGCTTTAGAGTGAAACAGCGAGTGAAGCCATCCGGCCTCTTGGTCTCCACTGCACCTGGAGTAACAATTACCTCGCGCTCATGCGGCACCCGTAGGCAGACCGGCTCTTGAGAAGCATTATCTGTGAGAGGACAAGCGCCACTGAGGGTGCGTCCAAAGATTTCCGTTAAGCTCCAGCCTTTTTCCGATGTGCTTTCCAAAGGATAGCAGGTATCATCGGAATGGTAGGGCTTGGATGTATCACATGCAAGCTGATCAGAAGGTACAGGTCGCGGAATGGGATTGCCTGCATAGTCATTAGTATATGAATCAGACCTCTTGTGCCATTAAACTAACCGCGGGGTCGCTTCGACCGGTCAATATCAAGGACAATGTCCACAGTCTGATCGACATGCACGTAACACTCTCCTGGTTGAGGACAGACAGGACTGACATCCACAGACATGCTCTGCCAAGAGGCGTCAAACAGCTTATGTCCATCTAGAAGGCTAGAAACGCCTGCCTTGCCCTTGCACGGAAGTAGCTTCAGGAATGGCGTAAGGTTTTCTGTGCAAACCACCTCGCCAGGAAGTGTCCCGTGCAGCAGATGCAGATTACTGGAAGCTGGATGGTCTCCCATAAGTTCGAATGAAGCAACAGGGCGAGTGGTTCGGGTTGAGTCGATGAAATTCAGCGAGGCGCAAAACAATCCCGACAGAGACTGAGTCAGGGTAATCCATTTCGCAGAGGCCCTAATGCCCATCAGTATCGTTACACATGCTACGTCGTCCTCTCCTTCCCGGTCACACATACGCTTCATCATTGGGTGCATCTATCCATGCCCATAGCTCAACACCAGTACCACCCTCTTTGCTCCCGTTCCAAGGACGGGGACCCCAGCTCTCAGCATCCCATCGTCCTGTAGTGAACCGCAGATGAAGCTCCTTCGTGTTGGCGTGCTGTAGAATCTGGCCTAGCGCTCTCGGAAAGTAGCGGAAATGCCGTTCATCGAAGGACTCTTGGGACTCATTGCCACGAAAGTTGAAAGATGCTAACAGGGATGACTGCGGGAGTGGTTGGAGGTATAGGCTCTCGTGGTAGTCGGAAGTCGCTGATGTGAACGAAGAGAGCGCGACAACGAAAAGTAAAGTAAGGAGAGAGAGGACCGTCATCACGTCATGCTTGCCGATGCAGAAAGTTCTAGATACTGTGTAGTGATTCTATCGCGTACCTCACTACCACTAGCGAGCCATACACGGAGTGTAAGTTCAATCCTCCGAGCGGCGGAGCAAGAACGGTCGATTGCGATTTATATCAAGCAAAGCTGAATAACAGGCTGACCGGACCGCGCGACAGTATCAAGCCTGCATAAGATGTATCAAGCGTCAAAGTGTCCAGATCATGGCACCGATGTCGCCAACTAGTAAGGTGGAAAGGCCGAGCTGTACTCCGCAAATCAGCGGGAATCGACAGGGGGACTCCGGTTCAACTTATATAAGCGCCAGCCGCGGTTAGCGCCACGCCCGCAGAATCTCGACTCTCCATCGCAATCTCCATTCAATCTCTCAGTTACGCTCTGACCATTCGTGCTCTCCCCACCCTTCATTCTCCCTCTGGCATCATCCCATCATGGCGGCGGAACAGAGAAAGCTGCTTGAGCAGCTTATGGGAGGTAAGTTGCCCAACCCCAGCTTCTACCAAGCTCTAAACAACAGCTAATCCAATTCTTTTTCCAGCGGACCAACTCATAGGTACCGGCGCTCCCTCTCGCAATGCGCAGCTCCAAATCACCGATCCGAAAGTCTGTCGCTCGTATCTTGTCGGCACTTGTCCGCATGACCTCTTCACCAATACCAAGCAAGATCTGGGTCCTTGCCAGAAAGTTCACAGCGAAGGATTGAAGACGGAGTATGAGACCGCCTCGGCGGCCGAGAAGGCCAAATGGGGATTCGATTACGACTATATGCGCGACATGCAGAAATACATCGATGATTGTGACCGACGTATTGATACCGCTCAGCGACGCTTGGAAAAGACTCCGGATGAGATCAGACAGACCAACAACTTGGTAAGGCATACACTCACTCCCATCTACAGGATACTTCAAGCTGCCAAGAGAAGACATCGGGCTAACCACATCTCCAACAATATAGCTGAAACAAATCTCCGACCTAACGAAAACCATCAACACGGGCCTCCTCGAGATCTCGGTGTTGGGCGAAACCGGCTCTGTCGCACAGGCCCTGAACGAACTGCACAAGATCCGCACCGCGAAGCACCAAAAGGAAACATGTGAACGCGAATTGAAGAACCTCCAAGATACCTCCGGTCCGTCGGGTCATCAGAAGCTGCAAGTGTGCGATGTCTGCGGCGCGTACCTGAGTCGTCTCGATAACGATCGTCGGTTGGCCGATCATTTCTTCGGAAAGATGCACATGGGATACTCGGACATGCGCAAGGGGTTTAAGAAGCTCAGCGAGGAGCTCAAGGGACGGCCTCCGCCGGTTCGTCACCACGATGACGATGATGGTGGCTGGGGTGGACGCTCCGGTGGTGGACGTGGTCCTCGGTATGGCGGTGGTGGTTACAAGAAGCGCGGTCCTCGCTGGTAAAATATTGATGAAGCGTCTTGTCTCTTTCTTTTCTTGGAGTTTATTCTGCAATGCTGTTGTAATTTGTCTGGATTTGCATAGCGCAGGCGTTTTTGTTACTACTACGTCTGGGATGTTACGGATTAAATAAAAATATAATAAACATGTACAGGCTGACTGCAGTTCCTTTCGACTTTCGCCCCCGTATTCCAGTGTGAATTTGTGGCAATGGGACTGAGTAGTAATAGTATTCCGATAATATCATATTGGCAGTACGCCAAGCTGTTTACTTAAGTATATGAAGTCTTCATAGAGAAAAATGGTATGAAATACTAGGATAGTGTTCATTTTGACATACAAATTCAACGCATGTAAAACAGCATGCGGATAAGAACAAGATGAGATGAGGGGAAATTCCAGAGTAAAAAGGAAAGAAAAAAAGGAGAAGGGATAAAATAACAAACCCAGTGTTGGAACAAACCTCGCTGGGGGTACATAAAGTCCATTGTTCATGGCAAGCACAAAAAAAGCAAAAAGAACAGATCAAATAGATAAGCAGTCCGTAAAGTCGCCCAAATACCCGTTTTGGAAAGGAAAGCCCTACCCCAGCACATGGGAATAGCAGTGCGGGAAAAAAAAGAAATTACACCAAGCCCCCTGAGATAACCCTGTAAAGAAAATGGAAAGCGAAGATATGGGAGAAGAAAGACGTTACTGTACAGTAGGCAGTGCTGAAACACCCTTTTCCCCCCTTTTCTCTTTTTTATTTTTGTTGTATTTGTCTCTCTACCGTGCATTCTGCTGTGGACCGTGTCCATTGGTCCTGGTCGCCGTTGCTAACTCTTCTATCAACATCGTGTAGTTCGAGCTGACTTCTGGTCGACGTAGGAGGATATCCCGGACCACGCTCAGCTGGGAAGCGTCTGCGTTCGGGGCATGGGATAGAAGTTGCTGAATAGCGGGTGTATTGGCTTGCGCACCGAGGACCTGTATTGCGGCGGCGAGCCCGGTGAGGGGGGGTTGATTGGGCTGTGGAGGCTGGTAGGGGGTGAATTGTGGAGCTGCTGGTGGTGGCTGTTGTTGGTGTTGTGACTGAGCTTGATGCCCATAGGGTATTTGCGTTTGAGGCGTTCCGTCGTAAGATGATACAGGAGTGGGTGTGAACTGAGACGCAAGCGGCGGTCCAGGAGTCAGGAAATGCGCCTGCTGAGGCGTCCCCGCTGCCACGGTCAATGGACTGGCAGAAGCACCGGGCTCCTGGCTCGGGAAGTGCGAAGGAGGCTGCACGGATGGCGGATTGGAATCGCCAGTCTTGACGGCAAAGACCACGAGCATCACGCGCTCCGGTGTCGGATCTTCAAGAGCGTTGTTCTCTAGAAGCTCGATGAACTCCGGCTTCTTGGTGGAGCCTGCTTCAATAGGGATAAGGTAGGTATCCTTGACGGCTGGCAAGGGATGTTTGCCAACAACACCATATCTCGAACGGTCTTGGAAGTAGCTGAACAGCTTGTCGAACCCTGCACGGTCCTTAGGGGAGTCAGGGCGGCTGATCGAGATAACAGTCACATCGGTTGAGGAGCTGAAACGTAGACCGCAAAGGTACTCGCTGGCGAGAGCAATCTCAATCCTTCCGTCAATCGACAGTGTCGGCGGAGCAAGCTGACTCCATGGTATGCGTCCGCTCAAGTCAGCTCCTCCGACATGCTTCGCGGAGGAAGTGAACTCTGTGATCGGATTCATGACGACCTTGCCATGCCAGATGGACCCTTCGTCATGGAAGTCCTTTGGTGAGTAGGGGGGTGAGTCGGGCTCATCGTCTCCTAATAGTTGATCGATCTCAGCATCAGCCTGAGCCTTGGCTGCTGGCAGCTGCTCACGGATATGAGCAGACACTTCGGGGAAGACCTGCTCATGGCTGGTGCCACCGGGAGAATGAGCCCGCGCGGGGAAGTGGTCCTGGTGAGTGGTGACACCATCGGTCATCTTGGTGTCAACATCCTGTGATTTCGATGCCTTCCGGGTGTCATCAGTCTGAGCCTGGGGCCCAGGGGTGGTTGGGCTCTGGCCAGCGGAGCTGCCATCAGGATCAGCCAGACTGCGTCGAGCGGCAGCAGTAGAGAACACGGGCTCGCTGGCGACATTTTGGTTATCATCTTCAATAAACTCTTCACCCTTATGGGTCCGTCTAATGCGAGGCCCTTGTTCTTGCACGATGATGTGCTGCCGTTCAGCTTCCCGCTTGATTTCGGCATCCTTCTGCTGCAGTTCCTCACTTGCCATGTCTTGGGTGCTCATCTTAGAGAGGGCATCGGGAGATAAACTACCTACGAGCAGACGGTCCCGTAGAGAAGGGTTCTTCTTTACGTTGAACATGATCGTCCGCAATTGTGACCTATACGGCTCTGTGGGCTCCCCAGTTCCTCCGCATATATTCTCATACATAGCGCTCTCAAGTGAGAGAGAAAGCTGCCGGGCAAATTCCTCCACCGATTTCACCCCGGACCCTTCGGGGATTTGGAACGATCCTCGTTCCTGGGCCTGAGTAATCTGCTCTACAAATAACTTGACTAGAGCTTTGGCAACACTCTTGCGGGACGGATGCGTAAGCTGGTCCGCGGATTTCGAGCTATCAGTCACTGCTGTCCCTGCAGCAGAGCTTTTCCGGGAAGAAGGCGCACTGGGCTCCTCCTTCACTTGAGCCGGTTTGGCAGCGGGAGCTGGCACAGGCGTCGCAGGTGCTGGCGGTGACATCTTCTGCTGCTTCGGTTTCGGTCCCTGGGTGTGTCAGTGTTAGCAGAACCCTCCTCTACCGATGATACTGAAATAACGAGAACTTACCGGTTCAGGCACTTGGGCCTCTTGGTGCTCATCGAATTTGCGCTTTTGGGCGCTTGTCGACTGGGTTTCAGGAACATGTCCATTCTTCTCAGGAGCTGGCGTCTCGGCTTCAGGAACTGGTGCAGTCGGCGCAGGAGGCGCATCAGCCGCATCAGGGGCAGCAGTAGAGGCTGGAGCGGGAGTTGAAGAGGTTGCAGCGCGCGCAGGTGTGCTCGTCTCTGTCTTGGGCTCGCTAGCCTTGCGCTCGCTGGCCTGACGCTCACTTGCCTGAGACTCACTGGTTTTGCGCTCTGTCGTTGGAGGTTCGCTGGTCTTAGGTTCGACCGATTTAGATTCGCTTGTCTTAGGCTCAGCCGCCTTGGGTTCACTTGGTCTGCCTCTTCGGCCGCCCTTCTTGCCCTTTCTGCGTCGAGATGCCCTCTTCTCCTCAGCTTCCTTGCGCCTCTTTTCAGCAGCTTCCTCCCAAGGCTTTTCACCACGCGCGATCTTTTCAAGAAGAACTTTGTGATTCTCTGGCTTGCATTGCTCACAGAAGTACTCGTCCGGTTCTTCCCCCTTCGCGTATGTCAAACCCATACAGTCATTGTGTTGCCAGGCCGAGCATCGATCACAGCAGATCATGTCGCGTTCAACATCTTCCTCCTCTTCATATTCGCCACAAATGCATCGAATGATTTCTTCTTCTTCGCTGGGAGCAGGCGTCGGTTCGACGGAGGGTTTGGGGGTTTTGTCTTTCGGCTGGGCTTTCGCCTTGGACTTCTTCGCGGGCGTTTCGGTGATCATGTCGAGGTTCTTGTGCTGGCCCTTGGTCGAGCGACCGGAGCGTCGTGGTTCATCTGGCTTTGTAGTTAGCTTTCTGTCCCGACGAGAAGTGGAGTGTGCTGCCAGTCGCCACCCATCGGGAAGGCCGACAATGGTCGCACGACTTTCGGTATACAATAGCTTACCAGCCATGATGGAAGTATATAAGGTATTCAAATTTCTACGGCGCGAAGCTTTGGGGGTTGTAAAAGGTCTGAGATAGAGGGATGAAAAAAAGGATTGCGCACGCCACCCAAATCTCGTTCTACGGCATCAGAAGGGCTAAAAGTAATACACAGAGGAAGGCTCTGGAAAGTGGCACTTTTTGTTTGTTTGCCCGGTCCACGCAGGTATTACTTCGTCCTTGCACTTCCAGCGAGTTTTTAGTCTAGAGACAACGCGTGGGCGCCGGTGGGTGGTGTCACACCAAGCGGTTGGGTGGTGCTGAGTTTCGTTTGAATGCTGTCGCGCGCAGCGTGAATGCTTGGCGTGAGCGGGGTCGCGTGTAGACTGCGCAGCGCCTGAGGCGGCTTATCCCCGGGTGAATCGAGAGCTGACGATGGAAGTTTCGCAGGATAGCCTCGCAGGAGTGTCTGGTGATGAAATGAACGTCCAGCGACGAGCAGCGGGGGATGCTGGGAGATGGAAGAAGACAGATGGTGGGAAGAGAGGAGATGCTGTCGCGGTTGGATCGGGATGCTGAGTCATGGGCACGTGACTGCGGCTCCGCGGAGAATGGCTTGGCAGGCGCCAGTCCGGCTCCTTCTCGTCGCGTCTATTTTTCGGCGCCCTCGAAAGCTTCTCCAGATCCCCACATAGACTGTCTTTTACTTTTCACGATCTTCTTGCCCGTGCTACTTTCCCCCTCTCCAAAGTTGACGTGTTGTTTAGAGCTCATCTTAAAATCAAATCAATACCTATAATCTTTTACTATCCCACCGTTACTCAGTACAGATCATGGCAGATGTTCGATCATTACTCCGGAATGAGCTCGCCGCCCGCAAGGGCTCATCCCAGGCAGGGAGCAGCGCAACGAACCGTGTGACCAAAAAGCGCAAGGTAGACCCAGCAGATGACTTGAGGCGCAAGAGGATGAGGGCAAACGTGCCATCTGGTCCGTCGACCGCGCATACCGTACAACCACCCAGTGCACGAGCTATCGAGGAGGAAGAAGAAGAGATCGAGGGATCAGAGCAAGACATCGCCGGACCGCAGCCGCCATCTGACATCGCACTTGAGCAGCCAACTGCTCAACCCGATGTACAGCCATCAGATACGTCTCTTGTAGCCGCCGAACCGCCTGCCCCGACCACTCAAACCATCGATGAGGATGAATGGGCCGCTTTCGAGCGCGAAGTTGTCGCCCCCACCCGCATGCCGCATAGACCGGCTGCGCTCGCCGCAGAAGCGACCATATCAGCAGCGCCAGTATCTGCAGACGAGCTCGCTGCCCAGCAGCAGAAAGAGACCGAAGCGATCAAGAAAAGCCGTGAGGCCGAGGTCGAAGGAGAAAGGGAGGATGCAGCGCGATTTATGGAAGACGAATTTGATGAAATGGAGCAATTAGAAGAGCGCGTCAGACGTCTGAAGCACAAGCGTGAAGAGCTGAGGAAATTAAGGACCATGGAAGATGCAGAAATGCAGAGAATGGACGAACCTCCTTCCGCTGCTAGCCCGTCAGGGGACCAGCAAAATCCACCTGCAGGCGACGCAAATGAAGATGAAGACGATGAAGACGACGATGATGATTATGACGATGACTGGGACAATTGGAGATTCAAATGAATTTAACGCGGCTAAGGGTCGGGTGTGGGAAATACAGGCGTCATTTCATACGAGGGAGGTCCCGGACTTTTCTTACTTACAGTGATACCCAATAAGCTATGTGAAATCACAGGCCATTGCTCTTAATTTTCTTAATGGGCCACATTACACTTTTTATCGGCGTGGGCGATATCCCGTGTTTCATGATGGGGCAGCGACATATTGTACTCTTAACATACTATCTACGATGAAACTCCTATATGCGACAGAATGTATACTGGAACAGCCAGAAAGGATGGAAATGTATTTTTACAGTCATTTGTAATCATAAGTATGCTTCATATATCACAGAGGTTGCCGTTTCTGATTCTTCATGGCTGTTGACTGGCGTTCTCGCCTTGGCCCTTGGAAGACTGATCTTCGGCTTCTATGTAGCTTCGAAGTCCACCCCTGTTGATCCTCATAGCCTCCTCGATCTCCGCTTCCCCTTCTCTCAAAAGATGTTTACCGCGAACAAGCTCGCCCTTTTGCTTTCTTTTCTCCTCTTGTACCTGCTTCTCTCGTTCCGCCAGCGCTTTCTCGCGTCTGTCACGTTCAACCTTCTTTCGTTCTAGCTCTTCTCTTTCCTCCGCGGTCATGTCGCTTTCCGGGGCAGCAGGCAAGGTAGAGATGTAGGCCTCAATAAGCGGATTCCGCACTTTAGGCGTGAGGGCGATGTATCTGAGATCGGTGATGATGGATGGAGGGAGAGCCTCCAGATTAGATGACCGATTTAGTTCGTGTAATGGCACAGATTTTAGTAGCGCTGACAGATCAGACTTTCGCGTGCTTTCTGACTGTTTCAGTCGAGAAACCAAATCGCGATAGTACTTCTCTCGATCTTTGTCTGACATTTGCGTATCCTTCATCTCTGGTTCCTTTTTGTATTTGCGCTTGAACTCGGGCCAATACAACTTTGGGGTGGCGTGTTCCTGGAGGAAGGCCAGGTACTTGATGCGCGGGTCCTTCTTTTCTTCCTTCTCTTTGCGTTCTTTAAGTTCTTGAATCCGGTCACGACTCCAGTCGGACCAGACCTCCCGGCGCGTTTTCATGTTTGGTAGCACAGTGTAGCGGGTATCATCAATGATTCGGCCTTCTTCGATGATCTTTTCCCACGTGGAGAATGGGTTAATGCGATAGTCGTCAAGAAGATCACGGAATAAGGCCGTGGCATCCTCCTCCGTGAGCGGAAGCCCCTCTGCGCCCTCTTCCCATTCTTCTTCTCCGGGTTCGCCGTACTCGCCAGGGTCAAGACCATATTCTTCTCCCATTGCCGCCAATTGGTATTCCATATCCTCTTCCGTGAACTCCAACGGCTGCTGGTCGTCCCCTTCTTCGGTTCTCGGTCGTTTAAAAGGCTGCTCTTCCTCACCCTCGCTGTCAGTAACTTCGACCTCCTCATATTCATCGCTCTCTTCCCCAGCTGCCGGAGCAACACCAGTTTCTGCTTCTTCCCGCTGTGGTTGATCGGACACCCTAGCTTCCGGTTCTTCTTTGGCGACAACTTCCATATCCTCGCCCCGCTCCTTCCTTTCTTTTGCCTCTCTCTCCAAGCGATCATATTCAAGAACCCCTATCAGGACCTCTGGGGGGATCTTCCAAAAACTTTCATTTGTTTCGGGGTTGTGGACAAATCTCCTTCCTAGCTTCGTCTTCACGAGCACCCATGGCGCGCAGCCAGGAATGTCATGTTTGGTTTTCGGCCTATCCTGTGGCCCACGGGGTTTGCGGTCATGGTAGCCTCTACCCCCACGAAAGCCTCCACGTGGCTGACTATCGAACGGTGCTCCGTGTGGTGCAGCACCAGGCCCAAAACCATGAGGAGCATAGGGAGTCGAAGAGAAAGGAGGAAGTGTATCCGGGGTTAGGAATGGCGCTTTATTCGAGGGTTCTGGTGCTGCTGCGGGCGGAGGCTGTACGGGGGCGGCCTGAGGCCTCGTATATGTGGATTGCTTTGTCTGCGAGTTGTAGTAATACAGATGACCTAGGTTGGATTAGAGCGACTCTAAGAGGAATCCGGGTAACTGGTAATCAAACCTGAAGGAGCTTTATGTTCGGTCCATCCTGGAGGTAACGGAGGGGGCGGGGTATACGTAGACTTGAGCATTGCAGCCACAGAGGATCCAAGAAAGTGCGCGAAAAGGTATCAATTAAGTGACAATAGTATAACAAGACATTCGGTTGCAGTTTGAGGCGCGAAGGAAAGATTTCCGGAGCGGGATCGCGCAGGCCGAGAGCTTTCGCAATGAGAGTTCGGGTGGTCCGAGCTTGGCGGACTGACGGTCAGCCCGGACGCTCAGAGGTGGACGCGCCAGGGCGAAGTTGCCTGGTCACCACTCTGCGGGAGCTCATCCGACCTTCCTGCACAGCTCGCCCGTCACTCATTCCTCATCTCCAATCCTCCCTTTCCTCTGTCTGTTCTCCTCCACAAATACTATTCTTCCATAATCTACTCAAGTTGACGTCGATTTCAAGATGTCACGGAGATACGATTCCAGAGTATGCCTGATTCCCAATTCCGTCGTTCCTTGGGAGCTTTAGCTGACCCGATGACGTCCGTCCACAGACTACCATCTTTTCCCCCGAAGGTCGACTCTACCAGGTTGAATATGCGTTAGAAGCCATCTCGCATGCCGGTACCGCCCTAGGAATTTTGGCCAAAGATGGAATCGTCCTCGCAGCGGAGAAGAAGGTCACCAGCAAGCTACTGGAGCAGGACACATCTGCGGAGAAGCTATACACGCTGAACGAGTATGCATCACAGCCCCATCGAGTTGCAGGTCTTTTTGTGAGCTGGAAATCTAATGTTTGGGCAGCAACATGATCTGTGCTGTTGCTGGTATGACGGCAGACGCAAATATCCTTATCAACTATGCCCGACAAGCTGCCCAGCGGTATCTTCTTACCTACAACGAAGAAATTCCTTGCGAGCAACTTGTCCGTCGTCTGTGCGACTTGAAGCAAGGATACACCCAGCATGGTGGTCTCCGTCCCTTCGGTGTTTCGTTCATCTATGCCGGCTACGACCCTCTCCGGGAGTTCCAACTGTACCAGAGCAACCCCAGCGGTAACTACGGTGGCTGGAAAGCAACTAGCGTGGGAGCAAACAATGCTAGTGCTCAGAGTCTGCTGAAGCAAGATTACAAGGAGGACTGCGACCTGAAGGAAGCCTGCGCTATGGCCGTTAAGGTTCTTAGCAAGACGATGGACTCGACCAAGCTGAGCAGTGAGAAGAGTAAGTCATGACCGATCCTTGTCCGTGGTTACTCGTACATGGGTACCACGCTATCACGGTACCGTGACCTATGCTAATGCGTTGGCCCCTACAGTCGAATTTGCTACGGTGGGAAGGACGCCGGAAGGCAAGATCTACCACCACCTGTGGAATGCTGATGAGATCAATGCCCTTCTGAAAGAACATGGGCTGGCCAAGGTTGATGATGAGCCCGAGGCTGGCGAGATTAAATAAATGAGAAGACGACCCCATTTTGCTACTTGACCAGATAATCCCACATGTTTCCTGTGCAATAATCGCGCACTTTTCTGCCCAACGTTGACGATGTAGATTCTCTCCAGTCTCGTATATGTACACTCGTATGACAGGTCGCTTCAAATCACTCACGGAACGGGTGAGGCCTATAGCTGCATCTGAAGCGCAACTGACGTCGGCCCCGGGTGACGTGGCAAGCCTTGATGTCGAATTAAGCATCGGGCAATTCATTGCAGGTCTACACTTGCGTTTGTCGACCGGAAATGCCCAAAGCCATCACTGATCTTGGGACATGAATGGTCCACGTAGTCTTCAAGCCCTCGAGCACCCTGGGCGCCTGAAGAAATGCTGAATGTTTCGGAACTTTAATGAGATTGTGAGGCCCCATATATATAAGAATCCCCAGAATTCAAGCTGGTGTCTCATTTGCAACACAACCACATCAACACCAAGCGAATGCACCGGCTGTGAATGTGTTTCGATGTCAACCTCTCCGGTCTTCTTGCGAATTTGACGGCCGTGTCATGGAAGCATCGTAGGCGCGGGGTTATTGAGAGAATCTCTATGCATACCCCCAGGATCACTCAAAGATGAGTCAAGCCCACCGAATTAGCCATAATGAGATATCAGTGTTAGCTTGCTTTCCGGATTCTAATGAGACGATTGAAGGCCGCAGAAGGCAATCACTAACTCAGTGCGTTGATGTGGAGAGGAGGCCATCACGTGCGATAAATTGCCCAAACGCGGGGTACAACAACTCCATGTTCAGCTCCGTATCTCCCTTCCCAATCTCGCCAATCTCTGCTATCAACAATCATGATACAACCATGGTAAAAAGAATCGGTTCGTACAGTTGGCCTACTTGATATGGTCTTTGGTTGACGACTTTCCGACTCTAACCCCACTTCTCACAATGGCCCCTACTTCTGTTCCAATTGTTATGGGAGTCTGGTTACCTTGGTCTGGCGAGCCGCTCGTTAAGGACATGGGCGCTTATGATGTGGAACACCTCCTCGTGAACGCTGCACGAAGGTACCAGATTTGCACAAATGAAACCTTTTCATTGGATGTTATGAATTCTCGACAGCAGATTGCTTGATTCACACTTTCCCCGCCAACCATTGCATGGGCCTGGCGTGAAGAACCAACCTCGATTCGATCATCAGAAACAAAAAGGAGAAAAAAAGAAATATTAGGAAAAGAAAGGTGTCAAGTGACACAGCCCCTGTGAGGCACCGAATTTACAAACAGGAACATGGTCTGAAACCGAAAGACAATACCAAAGAGGGAATCCTAAGCACAAATGAAAGCAACAGCAAGTGGCCCAACGCATGGCCCCTGAAAAGTTCCAATCCTTCTTTCACGAAAGTGCCTTTCTTCTCTCGTCACGCTCCCGCTGCAGTTGGCGAATTTCCTTTTCGAGCTCCATGACAAGCTTCTGTGACCGGTCCATGGACGCTACGAGAGTGCTTCCCTCCCGTTTCCATCGGTTCAAGCGTTCCACCTCGGCGCTTCGCCGCCGGTACTTGGTTTCGATCTTCTCGCACAAGCGGCATAGTGTTGTTTCAAACTCGGTCATATTGACGAGCCTCATACCGCAAGTCTCCCCGGTGCGGTACTCATAGTTGCAGCGGTGAGCGAAACTTGTCCAGCTCCAGTCTCCGCATGCAAATCTCTTCTGGTTGTAGAAACACATCCCTATCATTCAATTGTTAGCTAAAATACCGATCAAGCCGTGGTCAAACTCACTTGTTGATGATACAGTTTGTTGTTTCACGTCGCTACTTTGAGTTCTATTGGCTCTGCCAAATGCTCCTGCCGCGCTGCAGAGGTTTGATAGGCTAAGCTTGCACGAGGCCTATGGAAGGTTGCCGGTTGTTTTAAAACGAAACACCTTATTCTGAAGAACAACGATTTAGATCTCGCGATAACTCTTGAAGAAGCTGAGTCTGAAACGGATAATGATCCAGATTCAATCGACTGGTAGGCCCCGGGTCCTATTTATGTTTCGCAGGAAGCTTCTATGTTACGGCCCAGCCAGTTCTCGTACTCTACCAGTCAACCGTCGATCAACCCCTCAACATACGATGGCTTATCGACTACGGCATTCTGCTATCACTTTCACATCACATCCAGTGCTTTTCCGGTTGGCTATGCTGGGGTCTTCCAGCTGTGGAGACACAAGTTATCCACAACCTTCCTAATCAGGTCAGTTGTAGTCAGTGGATGCTTCACGGATGCATGCGTGTTGCTGTCGTGGCGGTACCATTTCTCCTGAATCAGGTTGACCCCTCGAAAATCCCTCATTTGATATGGACGGTTTTCGTCCTCCTGGCTGGGATTGCCATTGCAGCCTTGGTTGTTCCAACGATCATCCCCGCTTCCTTTCTGCGTCTCCGTTGCGTATGGAGTCGTCCTTCGAGAAGAAGACATGCCTCACCCTTACTGAATCAAAGCTCCTGCATGAGAAAAATAAACCGTTTCTTTATTTTGTGCCAGCTGTCAGGCCGTCCGTCTCACCGTCCAAACCTTTTTTGCCCCCTTCTGCGTCCAAGAAAAAAAAAACCTAGTGTTCCGTCTTGAGTGGATGGAAAAAGCAGAGTTTCGCTTTGCAGGACCAGCGTGGTTACGGCTATGATCATTTAGTCTGGTTTGTTAGATGCCTTACCACCATAACCTTGTGGCTAGTCACTCACAACCAATTAGTCCGCTCGCGAATTGGCCTAGTGTGTCATAACCTCTGATACGGACTTTGGGCCGAGGGCAGGGTGACTCCGAGACATCTGCCCAGTTGGACTTACTTTTTTTTTTACTTTTTCCCCTCTCAACTCTTTACCTGACACCTAGTATGCCCAAAGTGTCAGGGTTCTGTCACCTGGTTGCAACCCTACCAAGTTCCTTCTACCATGTATCCCGAACACTGGTCCACACAGGATTCTGGCCCCCGTGCCAATGGTCATCTCGTGTACTCCGCATGTTTCCGTCTGGCTGATATCAACCAGATGTTTCTGCATTTAGTGGCGAAAGACGCGTCACTAGAAGCCCTTCATTGGCGTCCATTGCTTCCTTGGATTTTACCTCGGGAGTCAACATGACATGCAGTTGCATGATGAGCTCAATATTCCATTAGGGACTGATTCTCTTCAGCTGATCTCCCACATCTGCAGACGAATAATCCCGCATTTGTCCCCGCTCGGGTGCAGGGTTTATCTTCATTTGCCTGCCTTCCTCGGCCAATATGATAGGATGTCGGCTCTGTACATCAGCCATGGCAGATACTGACTGTGGTACGGTGCACCTACTGTCGAACCCGTGCAGCTGCACTAAAGCTCGGAGACTGACTGACGTGGCACGCTTCGTCTGGTCGAGGTGCTCGAAAAATCGGCCTTTCGTGGTGAAGAGGGGGTTTTTCGACGAGAAGATGGTGTACAGAATCCATAGCAACTCGAGCAAGGCAGCCTTCAGTTCCTCAGCATTGGCCTATAGGGGGTCAATGTACCCGAATTTCCGCTTGTCCGGACATCCTTCGAGATGATTGCATGAAACTTTCTCATGCGTCTGTACATCCATCACAGCATTGGATCGTCGGTCAACCTGACTAGATTCCCTGTGTGCTGAGAATATGAGCATGGAATGATGTCGGTTGCCAACTCAGCGACTATCGGTTCTGGCTTACAGCCGCAACCTGGAGGCAACACCGGTTACCAACTGTTCTGCCACTCACGAGCTGCTCAATCTCGGACTCGCGATGCGATTTGCCACCCATCTGCCTTCTCTTGCGAGCTGTCTTACTTCGGATGTTTCTAGTCCAGCCTTGCCTGTGGCAATTGTACTTTCGTAACCAGGATTTGGCTCGATAGTTCCGGTAAATCGTCCTTGCCCAACCTGCCAGGATTTTCGATTTACACCTGATGTTTGTGAGTTTCTTTTGGGCTACAACTGTCCGGAAACTCTACGTTGTTTCTACTCTGAAGCCGAGTGATCTATCCACGACGTTGAAATTGGATTTTGTGACCCACATAATTGCACCGAAATACTGGGATCTTTCAATCCCGTGACTGTAACGTGACCGCAGCCCTCTGCGCATCTACGCATACATGTTTTTCTTGCAGTCAACAAATGGAATATGTCAAACGACCTTTCGAAAATTTAAGGTAAGGAAGCGTTTCCCTCTGTTTCCGGCTTACGAGTTTGGATTGGTCAGTGGATGAAAGCATATTCGACGGTCTCAGCACGCTGTAGCCAATGAAGTGGTTCAGCTGGACGGGAGATATATGCAGCTAAAGAGACCCCTGTCATTGCTTTCTAGCCCGCAAAACGTCTAGACTAGACAAGTCCGATTGACTTGAGCAGGGAAGAATCATAGCGGGTCCTCGCATCTGCACGTTGGCACCTGCACTTATTCCTCTGCGGCCTCAAGTTTGAGGCATTCAGCCTTGCATGTTGCACAAGTCGGTTTGTGGCTTTGACCCAGTGCTCTTCATCCTGTCCATCGATCCGCCTCGACCGGCGTAAGCTCCCTGTGTTTCTCAATCGGGTATGATCTTTATGCGTGAGGCCATGACCCAGCCCATAAACATCCAAGCCTTGGGGATTAGCAACGTCCAGCACAGAAGCCTGAACCATGAGGCAACTTCAATTAGCCCGGGATCTTTGCATGATCATGGTGATTACATACTGGAGTCTTGCGTCAGGCGGTATTTACCGAATGCACGGAGACTGTGCCATCGCATTTCCATAGACTGGGCTTAATTGAGGCGGCATCCGCGTGTAGCATGATTGACGTGTCAAGTCTATCACTCCGATGGACAGACCCTATTCATTTTGCTTTTCCCGGTTGTGGCGACCTGATGAGTACAGCACCGTCCATCTTCCCGGCACGATGAGAAGCACAAGGCATCCACTTTTACCAGGAAAGCTGCCTATGATCGGAGAGGGGGGAACAAGAATTCTGCCTTGCTCCATGTCTTTGAGGCGAGGCGATCACGCAGAAACGTTCCCCAGGTGGTAGGTGATGGGCTGATGCCATTTTCCCCTGTAGTTCACATAATCCAAACATTGAGACGCGTTTCTCTTTCACCAGACTATCTGGAAGGACCTTGTCGCTTATCGTCTTTTTTGCCCTCGTAAATCAGAGCCCTTTCCTTCTTGTGTACAGTAGGTATACATCCGGTTATACATCGGAGATCACGTGGCCGCATGCACCCTGGCAAAGTAGATGACGTCAAGATGATAGTAGTCCAGCCAAGTTCCCTCTAGAGTCCTAACCCAACCCCCGAGTATTTCTCTTCAATATCACTTCTCCTAGAATTTATTTCCAAGATACTACTCTCAATAATGTACGCGAAAACACTTAACGCAATTCCCCAAAGCCCATTTAATCACCGGCTAACCATTGCTCCCAGAACCATACACATCCGTTACTACTACTACACCACCATCACCATTAGACCCAACATTTGAAACACATTCCACTCCAATCCTCCCAAACCAAAACAATTCCACCAAGCTACACACCACCATGCTCAACCGCATCACCCCGATCGGCCGCCTGGCCCAACGCACCACCCAAACTCAAACCCGAATTCGAACCTTCCAACCCGCCACCCGCACCTTCCGCACCATCGCACCGCTGCGCACAACCCACCAGCAAAAGAGCGAAACGCAATCCGGAGACCGCAACGTCCTCGATCCTCAGCGATCTGAGAGCTCCTACACCGGCACGGACAGCGAAGTTGCGGGCCACGACGCAGCCTTTGACCCTAGTAACACATCACCCGAAGGCCAGGTTGAGCAGGCGCAGAAGGAGTCTGAGCAGCAGGGTAAAGTGAGTAACCCGTTGGATATGAGTCCTGGGAACTCAGAAGTCAGTCATGCGAGGCCGCCGCAGGAGGGAGGTCCCGATCATAATGCTGAGAAGGAGGGGCCGAGCTCGAGGGGGTGGACGAAGAAGAATCGTGAGGTGAGGGGTGGGAATAGGAAGTATTAAAGGATTGAGGTTGTTGTATAGACTTCGCATTTAGTTTTTAAATTGTCTCATGTGTGAAAGTGCTTGTTTGTTGGGTTGGGTTGTGTATGGTATAGTCCTGGATATAATAAGAACCTTGTTTGGTCTTTAGTGGGATATATATATTTCGCAGGCTTGAGAGAGTAATTGGTGTTAGTAAGTTGTCACTTCATTGCTGAAATAGAGGACATTTGAACCCAAAATTACCTCATTAAAGCACTGCGGATAGCATATATAAATAGTTTATAGTACAATACCCCTTCTCGAACAGGCTACTACTCCTTCCCATACTGAATAATATCCTTCCCATACATCACCCACACCTTCTCACTTCCAGCCGGAACCTCGCCATTCAAAGCCTTAACTCCCGCATTGACCGCCGCCTTTGCTATAACATCCGCATCCTGCGCCCATCCATCCTTCAATCCGGAATGAATCTTGCCAACAAGACCCGCAAAGCCCCGCATCACCGCCTCAGCAGGCCTACTCTCCTGCCTCTCCCCGGAGATAAGTCCAGGGCGCAAGATGACTGTCCTCTCAAATCCCATCGCCTTCACCTCTTCCTCAATCTCGCCCTTCATCCGGGGATATCCAAAGGATGAGTTCTTGTCAGCGCCGGTCGACGAGATCAGCACGTACACCTTGGTGCCGGCATCGCGCGCCGCACGGGCCAGCTCAACATTCAGACCATGTTCGATCTTGTATTGGTTCTCGAAGCCGCCAGCTGCGCCGCGGGTGGTTCCAAATGCGGAGATGAAGATGTCTGGCGTTGGGGTCAGGGAGGAGAGCTGCGAAGCCCACTTAGAGGAGTCGTCGGACACGAAGGTGGTGAGCTTTTCTTGGGGCGCGGCAGTGGCGGGTTGAGGGGTGCGACGGGAGATAGTGTCGATGCGTGCCACGGAGGAGTTGCCCAGGAGGTGGGTGAGAATGTGGCTCCCCTGTAGATAAGTATATTAGATAGATGGTTTTGTTTTTCGCCGGGGACTACATGGCGGATTTGAAGGGATAGGTTTGACTTGTGCTGAAGGGGCTAGTTTCAATTTAGGTAGACGTAGAGTGAGTTGCTTACCACCATGCCGGTGCAGCCGATCAGTGCGACGTTGGCCATGTTAGACTAGCAGCTGTTATATACCAAACTGGATTGGTGCAGAAAGGGATAACTACATGTAAGGAAGATGAGATGACGTTTTCCACCGACTTATCGTGGATGAGTAATCACCACTTATCGGCGGGTCCAGATGGCTGATGCCTCAGGATACAATCACTGACTAATGCGGGGAAGGCCGAAAGCGGAGATATTCTGCCACCGGATCCCGCCTCCAGGATCTATCGATAAGAAATTGCGTGATTGCCACTAGCCGGATGGGGTAAGATCCCCTGGGATTTTCTATAGAGCGGCGGCGGCGACGGGCTTTTTATCCCCCCATCGCCCCTCCCGATCCGGCGCTGCTGATTCCTCTCCTCTTGTCTTTCTTGTCTTCATACTGGTGGTATCGGCTGGCTGATTCCCCCATCTTCAGACAAGAATCCCCCGCCATGGGCTCCTCTTCTCCAGCCTTGTCGACCCTCGGCGGTCCGACTTATGTCACTGCCCAGACCCTCATCCAGCAAGTCGCTTATGTCTTGAGCGACAAGATCTTCTCTTACTCTCCGGAGTCTTTCGAGTTGGATGCTGCTCTCCGGGAATGGTCCTCCAAGCAGGAGATCAACGCCAATGGCGAGTCTCCTGAAATCAAGGCCATGGAGACCCGCCAGGGTGCCGGTAACATCGCCCTCGGTTACATCTTCTCCCAGGACTTCGACCTGAAGAAGCGCCACATCCCTCAGGGTATTGTTGCTTCCTCGGCCACTCTCCCTTATATGCGTGCCGCCCTGGAGCAGCTGTCTCTCCTGTACTCCGTTGCTAGCCCCGTTGCTGCCCATGTCGCCGCTGTCGACTATGCCGGTGAGGATGGCCTTGTCTCCGACTATGCCTCCGCCCTCTCCCTCGCCGAAGAGCTTGGCCTGGGTCTGGTGTCGAGTGCATCTGTCCACGAGTCTCAACACATGGCTCTGCTCACCACCCTTCTGTCCTCCGTTCTGCCCTCCGTCCACATCTATGACGGTGTCCGCGTCGGCCGGGAAGAAACCCGCGTCATTGACGTCCTCGACCAGGCTGGTCTGTCTCGCACCTACGAGGCCGTCCGCAAGACCCTTGAAGACTCCCGCAGTCGTCACCTCGACACTCAGGGCAAGCTCCTCGAGCTCCTCCAGTCCCTGAACGGTGAGCTCGGAACCGACTATGGCCTCTTTGAGTACCACGGCCACGCTGAGCCCGTCTCCGTTCTGGTTGCTTTCGGTACCGTCGAGGCATCCCTCACTGCTCAGATTGCCCGCTCTTTGGCCAAGGACGGTGTTCGCGTTGGTGTCATCAACGTCCGTGTCTACCGTCCTTTCGTGGAGGAGGAATTCCTGCGCGTTCTGCCCAAGTCTGTCAAGACTGTTGGTGTCCTTGGCCAGGTCTCTGACGAACAGGCTGTCCAGGAGCAGGGTGTTCGCTCTGCTCTGTACGAGGATGTCCTTGCTGCTTTGACTTTCGCCACCGATCGGGAGCAGACCCCGGCTTGCATTGATATCAAGTACGCCCGCTCTCAGCGCTGGGATCTGATCAACACCGCTGCCGCTTTCCAGCTGGTTCACGAGAAGCCTATCGTCCAGGCTGGTGCCGAGTTGGAGCCTCTGCAGTTGCTCGACCCTGCCACCGTGCAGGAGTACACTTTCTGGGATGTTGACACCTCCGTTGGTGGCGACGTCGCCACGACTCTTTCCCAAGCCTTGGCTGCCGATTCAGCAAGCAATGTCACCACCAACAAGGTCCACGATAACCTCGTCCAGGGAGGTGTCGTCCGTGTTGACATCCGCAAGAGCTCCAAGATTGTCGATGCCCCCTACTCCATCACTGCTGCCGACACTGCCTTTGTTGGAGACGTCAAGCTGCTTGGCGACGTCGACATTGCCGCATCTGTCAAGGACAACGGCAAGGTCATCGTGAACGCCCCTGGCGTGAAAGACGATGAGCTCGAGAAGAAGCTGCCTGTTGCTTTCCGTCAGGCTGTCGCTGAGCGGGGCATCTCCCTCTACTTCGTCGACCCATCTGTTGCCGGTAAGACCGCCTCTGAGTCCTCGGTCCTTCAGGTTGCTTTCTTGCGTGTGGCTCTGCCTTCTCAGGAGAGCGTGGGCATCAAGAAGCTGGCTTCTATTGGCGGTAATGCCGAGGCCCTGGAGAATGTTAGCAAGGAACTTGAGAAGGTTCTCCGCCAGATCGAGGTTCCCGAGGCCTGGAAGACTCCCGAGGAGGGAGCCCAGGTTGCTCAGCTCCCCAAGGACATTTCCCCCAACAGCTTCGTGTCCTTCGACAAGGAAGAGACCGAGCCTGCCTCCTACCTTAAGGACTGGCAGACCGCTGCCAAGGGTCTCGCTTTCAAGGAGGCCTACGGCACCAAGAATGCTCTGCGTCCTGAGACGGCTACCAAGACCTTCACTGTCCACGTCAAGGAGAACAGACGCCTTACTCCTGTCACCTACGATCGTAACATCTTCCACATCGAGTTCGACTTGGGTGACTCTGGCCTCAAGTATGACATCGGTGAAGCCCTGGGCGTGCACGCTGAGAACGACCCGAAGGATGTCATGGACTTCATCGCCTTCTATGGCCTGAACGCCGACGATGTCGTCGAGGTGTCCAGCCGCGAGGACCCCGCCGTTCTGGAGAACCGCACCGTCTACCAGGCCCTTGTCCAGAACGTCGACATTTTCGGTCGCCCGCCCAAGCGCTTCTACGAAGCTCTGGCCGAATTCGCCGATGACGAGAAGGAGAAGACCGATCTTCTTACCCTCGGTGGCCCCGACGGAGCTGTGGAATTCAAGCGCCGTTCCGAGGTGGACACTGTTACCTTCGCGGATATTCTGCTCCAGTACCCCTCGGCCAAGCCTGACTTCCACGACCTGATCCGTATCGTCGGTCCCCTGAAGCGTCGTGAGTACTCCATCGCTTCTTGCCAGAAGGTGACACCCACCACCGTTGCTCTTATGATTGTTGCGGTTACCTGGTCGGACCCCACTGGCCGTGACCGTTTCGGTCTGGCCACCCGCTACCTCAGCCGGCTCCAGCCCGGTACCCCCGTCACCGTCAGCGTCAAGTCCAGTGTGATGAAGCTGCCCCCCAAGTCCACCCAGCCCCTCATCATGGCTGGTCTCGGTACTGGTCTGGCTCCCTTCCGTGCCTTCGTCCAGCACCGTGCTCTTGAGAAGGCTCAGGGCAAGGAGATTGGTGCCGTTTTGCTGTACATGGGCTCCCGCCACCAGCGCGAGGAGTACTGCTACGGTGAGGAGTGGGAGGCCTACCAGGAGGCCGGTGTCATCACTGTCCTGGGTCGTGCCTTCTCTCGTGACCAGCCTGAGAAGATCTACATCCAGGATCGCATGCGCCAGACTCTGCCTGAAATCATCCAGGCCTACATCCGCGAGGAGGGTGCTTTCTACCTCTGCGGTCCCACATGGCCCGTGCCCGATGTCACCGCCGTGCTGGAGGAGGCCATCGCCACTGAGGCCAAGAACCTGGGCAAGAAGGTCGACTCTCGCAAGGAGATCGAGAAGTTGAAGGATGAGGAGAGATACGTCCTTGAAGTGTACTAAGGAGAGGTTGAAAAAAGGTTATGACCATAGAAGAGTGGGGATATCTAGCGCCGTGCGTTGTACATGATGTGATGTGATGATCTGTCCGTCCTGTTTGAGTTTAGCGCATACCAGCATAGAGACACCTGATCTACCAGTTCAAAATAGACTTTTGCATTTTCTCTATGATTGACTCTATTCCTCTTCTCATAATCATCATCTATCGTAAAATTTAAATCCATGGGTATCTGCTATATCCATCCGCCCTTGTCCATCTAGCAGCCAAGTAGTAGTTAGTCTAAGCACATCCAACTTTTTTTTACCCCGCCAAAACGGAAAAGGAAAAAAATTCGTAACCATAACTATAAACAAGAAGATATCGTTGAAAGCAGCCGCAATGATAATCACTTCTAATTTCAAGCCCGTCCCAAACTACCCAACTTCGTCTTTCCATACGCACCACCCTTCTCCTTCCTCAACTCCAACGCCCGCCGATAAGGCGGCGCAGTAGGCGGCTGCACCGGATCCAAACTGACATGATCCGGCGGCAGCGTGTACGAGGCGTCCGAATCCCAAGCCGAGAGATCACCGCACGCAATGAACCTAGGAATCCACCTGTTCTCGACAGCGAACTTCTCACCCGCAGACTTATACGCCAACGGCGTAGGCGTCACCGACGCCAACGAGTCATCGTGAAGCAGCCGCGCCTCCGTCTGGCTAGACTCCGCCGAAGCAGCGCCTAGAGTCGCCTCGGCCGGAGCAAAGCGGGCCAGCTTGACGGGGCGTGCCTCGTCGTCGTCGCTCTCGACGACCTCCACTCCGACGTTTCCGTCCGCTGAGACAGGAGGCGGGACAGCCACGCCTCCGAAGATAGGGTTCTTCAGCGCGTCCGTGCCAGCGTGGATGGAAGGCGGGATGAATCCCTCGCACACGACGAACGCCTCCAGACTACTAGCGCGACTACTCCTCGGCTTCGCGACGCTGACTTTCTCGAACACAGTGCGGAGTTGCGCGTAGAGGAGATCGACGTCGCGGCCGCGGAAGATCTTGGCGACGAATTTGCCGCCGGGGCGGAGGACGCCCAGGGCGAGGTTGAGTGCCGAGTAGAGTAGTTGCGATTGGATGTAGATGTCGAGATCGTGCAGGCCAGTCACGTCCGGGGCGCCGTCGGAAATGACCAGGTCGACGGGGTGAGGGGGACGAATGGCGGAGGGGGTGGAAGAGGTGGAGGTGGAGTCGTAGGCTTCAGGGTCCAAGGCGCGCAGGAGGAGGGGGATGGTAGAGGGGTGGGTGATGTCTGCTTTGAGGGTGGTGATGCCTTCGAGGGGCGCCATGGGTTGGAGGTCGATGGAGACGATTTTGACGTTCTTGCGGGGTTTCAGTTCGGTCATGTCGGTATCTTCTGATGAGGTGGTTGTGGTGTTTGAGCCATTGCGAAGTCGTTCGAGGGCTTCCTTTTCCTTGCGCTTCTTCTCGACCCAAGCGCGGCGACCGAAACTCTCGCCCTTGATCAGAACGCGACTCAGCACTTGACTCCAGCTGCCCGGGGCGGCGCACAGATCGACGACTCGGGTGACTTTGTCTGGGTTCTCGTGCTCGAACAGATCGAATTGCTCGTCGATTTGGATCAGTTTGAAGGCGGAACGGGCGCGCCAGTTTTGTTCCTTGGCGAGACGGTAGTAGGCATCGCGCTTGTCTTTGGAGGATTTACCCATTGTGGCGGTGGGTGGGGTGTGGTTTGTGGTGGTGGGAATTTGAGGTGATGGATTGTCTGGAGGAGGGATTTGAGGGGGATTTTCTCGTGGGGCGGCGATAAGATTAACTGGTGCTGGGCGGTATGGCGGCTTTCTGCCGCTTTTTTTTCTTCCCTTCGGCGGCTGCAACTTACGCTGCGGACGTTTGTTTCTCCTCGCATCTTACAGTTTGTGTATTCGGTCGGGGTTCATTTTTGCAATTATGGGTCAGAAGAGACAGCGCGGCTCGAAAGGAGCTGATTTGCAGGCGAAAAAGAGGAAGAAGGATGTCGCCGCGGCTGAGGAGAGCGAGGATCCGCTCGTCACCGTCAATGATCTTAACTGGAAAGAGGTCGCGCTGCCTGATAGACTTGAGGATGCAGGTGGTTTCTTTGGATTGGAGGAAATTGACGGAGTAGAGGTTATCAAGGGTGGTAGTGAAGGACTCCGGTTCAAGGTATGTGGTGTTAACTGGCGGTGTTCGGAGAGTGCTAATGGATCATCCAGGCCGCACATGGCAAACCGAAGAAATCGATCCTGAAGAAGAAGGCGCCAGAGGAGGAAGAACCGCAGTTCGACGACGACGAGTGGTCCGGTTTCAGCGACAACGAAGCGACCGAGAAGAAGGACACTGCACCGAAGGAAGACCAGAAAGACGAGCAGGAAGCCGGCAAACCCACAGCTGAGGAAAAGAAGAAGGCCAAGAAAGACAGGCAGGCAGAGCAGAAGAAAGCCAAGAAAGAAGCAAAGCAGAAGACTACACCAAACCAGGAGGACAAGAGCATCAAGGCTGGACTCTCGTTTGCTGCACTCCAAGATGAAGAGGACGACGATGGCGTGGATGTTTCGGCTTGGGAGTCGCTTGGGTTGTCTCCTGAGATCCTCACCGGTCTGTCGAAGATGAAGTTCACCACACCGACTCTCGTTCAAAAGTCCTGCATTCCCCAGATCTTAGATGGCCACGATGTGATCGGCAAGGCGTCAACAGGTTCCGGAAAGACATTGGCGTTCGGCATCCCCATCCTCGAGCACTATCTTGAGAAGAAACGGGAGGACTTGCGCGCTGGCAAGGAAGAGAAGAAGAAGGACTCCGCCCCGATTGCTCTCATTATGTCTCCCACCCGTGAATTGGCACACCAATTGGCTAAGCATATTGGCGAGCTTGCTCTCCACGCCCCCGGCTCCAGTGCCCGCATTGCACTCCTTACAGGTGGTCTGTCCGTGCAGAAGCAGCAGCGAGTTCTGGCTGGTGCTGACATCGTCATTGGTACCCCTGGTCGAGTATGGGAGGTGCTTAGCAGTGGTCAGGGTTTGATCCGCAAGATGAGTGACATCAAGTTCCTTGTCATTGATGAGGCGGACAGACTTCTCAGCGAGGGTCACTTCAAGGAAGCTGAGGAGATCCTCGGTGCTCTGGATCGCGTTGAGGATGGCGATTTCGGTGGCGACGATAGCGAAGACGAAGAGAAGGAGGATGCTCGTGCCCAGAGGCAGACGTTGGTCTTCTCCGCTACATTCCACCGTGACTTGCAGCAGAAGCTAGCCGGTAAAGCGCGTTGGACGGGAGGCGACATCATGAGCAACAAGGAGTCCATGGAATATCTCCTCCAGAAACTGAAGTTCCGCGAAGAAAAGCCCAAGTTCATTGACGTCAACCCAGTCTCGCAGATGGCCGAAGGCCTCAAGGAAGGCATTGTCGAATGTGGAGCTATGGAGAAGGTATGTGCAGTCGCTGCAGAAAGTTATCCATATGCTAATCGAACCTAGGATCTTTATCTTTACACCCTGTTGCTCTACAACCCCAAGCACCGGACACTTGTGTTCACCAACTCCATCTCCGCCGTCCGCCGTCTCACCCAATTGCTCCAGAACCTCGGCCTTCCCGCTCTGGCACTCCACTCCTCTATGGCCCAGAAAGCGCGTCTACGTTCAGTAGAGCGATTCTCCTCGCCCACATCCAATCCCAGCAGCATCCTCGTTGCCACCGACGTTGCTGCGCGTGGTCTCGATATCAAGGGCATTGACTTTGTCATTCACTACCATGCTCCCCGCGCAGCCGACACCTACGTCCACCGTTCTGGACGTACCGCTCGTGCGGGTGCATCCGGAAAGAGTGTGATCATCTGCGCTCCGGAGGAAATGGTCGGAGTGGTTCGTCTGGCCGCCAAAGTTCACGCCAACATGGCCAACGGCAAGAAATTGCCACTCGAGTCGTTAGAGCTCGACCGTCGGGTTGTCCTCCGGGTCCGTGACCGCGTGAACTTGGCCGCCAAGATCACCGACTCTAACATCGCCAAGGAGAAGATCTCCGCGGAAGATAATTGGCTTCAAAAGGCAGCAGAGGACCTTGGGGTTGAGTATGATAGCGAGGAGTTTGAGAGCGCCCAGGGCCGTGGTCGCGGCCGCGGACGTGGGCGTCAGGAACGGCAGCGCAAGGCCGGTGAAGTTACGAAGAATGAGTTGGCGGCCATGCGGGCAGAGTTGAAGCACCTGCTGTCTCAGCGGGTAAACGTAGGTGTGAGTGAGCGGTACCTCACGTCCGGACGGGTGGACATTGAGGCGTTGCTGCGTGGAGAAGGCAACAATTCATTCCTGGGCCAGGTGGATCCATTGGATTTCTAATGCTTGTATCTATTACGTTGTACAGAGTTGTTCATATACCACATGCAGAGAGAATCAGTCAAAAGGGATTAGTAGATCGTTCATACACTTAAGCTCGACAAAAGTAAGATTATGTTGTTGCCTCTTCAACTTTCTGGGGTCCACCATGCGGATAAACATGTGGTGAAGTTGTAAAAAGTATGACTACTACTAGTAGTCATGGGTCTGAAAGCACGGAGTCAGTTGAGTATGACTTCATCAAAGCGGTATATCACCAATGTCCTAATGCATTCCGTTCGACCGAGCAAAGAAGTGGAGATAGAATAGTATAAATCCACCTACTATTATCCCCTATTCACCTCGACTCCATCACATCATATACAATATAAGTACGTAGTGACAAACCTAAAAATACCTCACCCCTAATAAACCATACCCACCAGACACCTCCCCAACCAGGAAACCACCTAGAACCGGCAACACCTTCTATCCTCGTCTCAAGCAACAGGTGTTCCTCAAATAAAACACACCGGCGCGTCTAAGCTCAACCAATCCCAACACACCGGATCCGCCCCACCCACCCGATCCCTGCAAGTTGGGCGCCTCATCCCTGCAAGCCATCCCAACTAGCGCCCTATCCCAGCCTCCTATTGGCCATACCAGACCACGTTGAAATTCCACGTGGGCGGGGGCCCACTTTCCCGGATAGGCCAGGGTTTTTTTTTCCATCTTTTTTTTTCCCTGTTCTGCCCGAACGCAATTAGGCCGTCGCCTGTTGCATATTGCAGAAGCAGAGTCTCTGTCATTCGAGCAATAGCAGATACCCTCAGGTTACTATATATATGTGAGTTGAACTAAGGAAAAGGTAGGCAACAACCACAGACATCATCCCGTCTATGAAACCTACACATACATACACACATACTATCACTACCACTAAGTGTCCATGATCAACGCTAACCACCACCAAGTCACACTAAGATCAAGACCACCATACCAACAGCATTGACTACTACATCAATCAAAAAAATGTCCCTCCCACGCACTACTACCACCTTCACCCGCCTTCTCTCCAAACGACCACCCACCCACCTCATCCCTCACACCCAATTCCGCACCATCAAAGCCGGCGCCGCCTCCTCAGCCATCGAATCCCCCTCCACGCTCCCTTCCTACCATGACCGTCTCGAGCAGCCCCCAACCCCCCCTCAATCGACGCTCTCAGCAGCCGAACACCTCATAACCACACACCCTTTGGTCCAATCCCTGCGCTCGAACCCCTCGTACAAAGAATCCCGTCCCCATTTGCACATGAAATCCTCGCACCGGCCGAACCACTTCGTCGCGGGGACGCTCTCCGGCGCGAATAAGGTGACCGTGCCGCCGTATATGTTCACTTCGATTGTCAACCGCAAACCATCCTCCCAGGAGGGAACAACAAAAGAAGGAAAGGAATCTCCGCGCGCGCGCCTCATCTCGGTCTTTCACATCGGGCCACAGCTCTGCGGACATCCTGGGTATGTGCACGGAGGTTTGCTGAGTGTGATGTTCGATGAGGCGTTCGCGAGATGCGTCTCGGATTCGTTCAAGAGTGGGTTGGGCATGACGGCAAATTTGAATGTGGATTTTAGGAAGCCGGCGTTGCCGGAGCGGGTGTATGTGCTTAAGGCGGAGACGGTTAAGGTGGAGGGGAGGAAGGCGTGGGTGGAGGGTGAGATGAGGAGTATGCCTGCTCCTGGTAGTGGGGAGGGTGAGGAAGGGGAGACCGTCGTGGCGGAGGCCAGGGCGTTGTTTGTGGAACCGAAGTTTGCGGAGGTAAGTTCTTTCTTTTTTTCCCCATTGGAGACAAGTTTGATGGAGGGATGGGATGATGGCTGACTGATTGGTGTTGTGTAGTCCATGGTGCCGCTGTATCGGAATTGAAGTGTGAAAAAGACGGAGACAGGAGATAACAATACCCTTTCATTTTTTTGTGCGATAGACTATAGACCTATGTAATCAACAGATAGATACATCAGCAGACTAATAGACTCACTGGCCTCGGATACGAGTGGCATTTCTATGTAAATGGAAGCATGAAGTAACACCCCCGGACGCCCTTCCCACAAAGGCACAGAAAGCAGACAAATGTGGCCCGAACGCAGATCCCCCCCCAAAAAAGACAAGTGCCCTAGGCATTGCATGAATACCCCCTTTTGCAACCATAAGGGTATGTAGTTAGCTATCGTTCCGACGCACCATCAGTGCTCATTCGTGTTCTTTTTGCGTCATTCGAGACCCTCCATAGCATACTTTGAGTAGATCAACAGATCTTATGTGCAACAATCAGGACAAGTGGAAGGCTCCCTGGCCTTCTTTAATGGCAACTGACAGCCGCTCGCGGAGTACATCCAGGCTGCTGTAGTCTGGAAGCTTCAAGTAGTTGACACAGGTCATGACACTCGGCAGGTAATCATCTGGCGTGTAAGGCGGCTCGCTGGGACGGCACACCACCGTGAAGATGGGGGTGAGACTCTTGAAACCTGTATATTCATTAGTATATAATTCCCATATAATCACAACGCAAAGTACGTACCGCCAATCGGAAGTTTGGGACTGCCAGTAACAAATTGTAAAAAGTCTCGCCGTTGTTGAGGGTTCAATTCACTCATTGTCTGAAGCAGATTCCGCACGCTCCGGCTGTCCATGTTGAAACCGTGATCGGCCTTGATCGAGTCCATCAGAGCTGCAGAAAAGCCGTTAGCTATCTCCAGAGATACATGTACAAGCGGATCCTTACTTTCAATAGTCCAGTCCTCCTCAGCCCGGCCAAACAACATGACAAGCTCCTGTGGCGTGAACGTCCGAAGCGCGGAGTAGGGGAACACCTGAGAGAATCCGGCCTGGAAGGCCTCTACCTGTCGCTGGACACCGCTACCCAAAGTCATGTCTATCACCCTTTCGACATACAGATCAACGTTCTCGTTTGTTACGGGGATGTTGGAACCGTTCTTGACCAACTCGATGGCCGGGTAGCCGGGCAGGGTGAAATCCAAGCTCAGGTCTTCAACCTTGACTCCACCCACCTCAATCTGCTGCAGCGCTTGAGCCTTCTGGGCTTTCGACAGTGTCCGGTTGTCGTCCACGGCCTTCTTAGCGTCGGCAAACGACTTCAACAGAAGCAACGATTTTGCCAGATCATGGTCAACTGCTTTGACCGTGCCAAGAGAGGGGGCAACAGAAGATGAGCTGGCAGCGATTCGGAAGAAGGCCGGGTTGAAAGAAATGTCAATGATTCTCGAATCGAGCATGGACCGAGCAACAAACTTGCCCAGACACTTGAATAGCTGAAGCTGTTTTTTGCCAGATTCGGAAGCGGCTTGCTCCTCACTCATGGGTGCCGGGAAAAGGCCACGCTTGCCAAAGGCATACTCATCGTCGTGGACGGACTCATTCTCACGCCAAAGCTTGAGCTTCTTCTTTGAGAACTCCTTCGATACGGTAGAGTAGAACTCCAGTGTGGGACCAAGACCGGTACCGACTTCTTCGAAGTACTCAACTTCTAACACGCTGGGCGAAGAACCGTACAACTCCATTACCTTCATAGCAGAGTCGAGAATACGGCTTCTCGAGATTCGTACTTTTTGTCGCTGTAGCCGCCCGAGAATAGGCCGATCATCGCGCCGGTGATCGTTGCGGTTGTCGTCGTTCTGAGAGTTGTGCCATCTCATCATCGCGCGAGAGTAGCCAAACGCCGTCGACTGAAGGAACAGATGCCGTGTCTCGAATGGGAAGAGGAACGGAAAGAGGCGGGCGAGATCTTCACTCCAGCTGGGAAGGCAGCTGCTTGCTACGATAAGTGGCTCTTCCAGTTGTCGATTGAGCTTGGCTGTGAGTTTCGTATTGATGAACTGTGCCAATGGCTCTGGCGTGAGAGCGACCAGGTCTTTGGTCTCTGCAAGTATATCATCAAGGGTGGTGTTCATCTCATGCAAGACACGAAGCAAGTGGAGGATGGATGCCGTCGTTTGGTCTTGACTGAGCGACGCGGGCATATCATTGCTATCGTCCCTCGGTGTAGATGTACCTTGGGTGAGCGTGGAAGGTTCCGGTGGGGGCGGGCCTGGTGCCCGTCTGAATTTGACAGTATGAACGGCAGACCAAACATTCCGGGCATTGGGCTCGGCGTGCTGGCGGTTGTGATGAACAGCGCGATAGATGGTGGTCTCGTTCGAGACCGGTTCACCGTCCACGCTGAACTCAATATGCCAGTCAGTCGGAATCGATGCCATAGCAGCCGCATATGAGGCGAAAGGCCGCCCGGCCATTGCCAGCGAACTGCCACCTGGAGGATTCTGCGCAGAACTAGAAGCAGACGCGGATGATTTGGATGCTGGCGTCGTTTGCGAGGGAGTAGCCACGCGAGTGCCGTCTTCCTTCCGAGCAGTGACCTTACCCGAAGATGCCACCTCCATGTTGACGGCAGTGGGGTCGTGGACGTTATCATCCGAGAGATCGTCCTCCAAGTCATCAACGATGGCGTTCAGTTCTTCGTCCTCGCCGTCATCTTCTGGATCTTCGTCATCACTCATTTGCCGTTCATCGGCACACTCCAGGGGTTCATTCTCGTGCTCATTTTCACCTTGAGGTTGATGCCGACCGGACCGCCTAGACCGGGAGCTGTGGTCACGTCCCTCTGCTGGCGAATCGTTGGAACCTGAGCGTGTCTCTCCTGGGCGCTGCGGTCTCCCTGTGTTTGATGATGCTCGAGGCGTGGCGGTGGCATCGCTAGTAGGGAACTCTCCACCGGCCAGCTGATCCCGGAGACGCGCCGCATTAGCGATTTGGTTGAGGATTGTTTCACGCGTGCGTGATGGTCTGGGCCGATCTGTAAGACTGATTCTAGGGTGAAGGAAATCATCCAGAGCCTTGAAGGTTGCTATGGCGTGGATGGATACCATGATGTTTCGATACGTGCGAGGAATATCCGAATCTTCGTCCGCCACCAACTTGAGTCTGAGTTGCTTGCCCAGCATGTAGGCGGCATTGCTACGCGTATTCTCCAATGAATTATGGCTGACGGTGGAGACCTCGAAATGCTCAGTCCGGCTGAGTAGATCCTGTAGCTTATGAATGAGAACACTGAAGGGCGTGGTTGCTGTGCTTTGACTCTGGGCTTTTTCTGATATGGTCGATCCCATGAAAGCTTGTAGGAAAGCCGCGCGAGCCTCACGCATGGAAGTGGCTAATAGACTAGTGAGCAAGGAGTCTCCAATGAGATTGATACATAACTTACCTTGGAAATCTCCGAATACAGCGAGCAGCACCTTGATGATACCGGAGTTGAGGAGTTCAGAGCTCGTGATGCTTTCCAGTGCATCGCCATCAAAATAGATTGCAAGCTTTTTGAAAAGCGCAAGGCCGTCTTCTTCACCTTCGCCAGCATAGAACGCCTCAATCTGTGTTGCAAGGGTCTTGAGTTCATTCAGGGTCTCCAGAGCCTTGTCCCGCATATCTCTTCCCTGGCTGGCTTCGTAGAGATCAACGAAGGCACGAGCATCGCGGATAACAATATCTCGCATAGCGTTCTCAATTCTGGCAGAAAGGGCATGACTGGAGAAGGATGAGGAGCTTGCAGACTCAGACATATCATCGTTGTCTTCGTCGTCTTGTTCATCATAATCATCTCCTCCATCGGCATCGTCGCCACCATTGTCTTCCGCGCTGCCAACCGCATCGTTTCCACCGTGGGATGGCTTAGCATCCACAGCAGCATCCTGGGCAGGCGATGAATCGCTCGCTGGCTTCCCCTGCTTTTCTGTGGATAGTGGTCCCTCGGCAAGCTTGAATATCTCGGAAATGACACCTTCACGGTGGAATTGGTGTCGATAAACATGCTCCAAGCGCTGAAACAAGATCTCTGCACAGCGCAACGCAGAGGACACCAGACTCGGGTGGTCCTTCTGTGAAAGGATGGCCGCTAAGAACGACGCATATGGGACCGTCCGCAATGCCTCTTCAATCAGGCTGGCATCTAGGTTATGCAGCATCTTGTGCTGAGCGGTCAGGACCTTTTGGCGCACCTCAAGGTTAACAGTACTAGAGTAAGCATCGGTCAAGGTTGGCAGCAAGATCATTGCGAAGCGCTTCAATTCCGTCTTGCAGTCCACAAGCAACGAGCGCCGTTTCTCTTCAGATTCCTTGGCCTTGGGTGATTTTGGCTGGCGAGCAGCATCGCCCTCAGCAGGCAAGCCAGCCAAACCATCCGCCGAGAGAAAGAACCGGTTCGGCGCACCCGGTAAGAGCTCACAAATAACATTGAGAGTTTCGAACACCTGTTCGCGGGGGCGATGAATAAGCGCTTGCATAACAAGAACACTGTCCATCTTGACAGCGGTGCCCTCTAGGTTTGTAGGCGGCGATACTCCCGTCAGAATCTGATAAAGAGTGTCGACCACATCCATCTTGAGCAATTCAACGGACAGTCTCGGACTCGCTTTTGACGTGATGGCCAACACGCGGAGGAACTGAGTATGAATGTGTGGCCCGATGAGATTGGTGGTGCCGGGCAACAGCAGCCGAAGCACAGCCTTGAGCATGGCAGGTTCGATGAGCTCTTCCAGCTTCTCTGGCTTATGCTTAAAGCTCTCAACAATGCGAGAGACACATAGACAGCCCTGCTCGACAACCTTGGGATCGTTGCTGGCGAGAACATTGAGCAGAGTGGGCATGACGTCTCTAACCACGGGGAACGAATCGTGAGGAAGGTTGCGGCAGCAATTAGCGGCTGTTGTGACTGCCGTACGCTGTGTGCTAGTTGGGAAGAAATCAAGATACGTCAAGCAAGCTGTTAAGCCCCCTTCGCGAACGATAGACGCGGGAAAATCCACGGATATTTTCGCCAGAGTCTGCAGCGACTAGTTAGCTTGCCAACCCAAACAGGGGCATACAGATAACAAAGATCAAGGAATGACTTACGCTGAGAGCTTGCTCAGCCAAATCGATAAATTGAATGTCCAGCAGCTTTTGACAAAGGACGGGGACAGCTCCTCCGTAAACAACGTTGGCCACGGAGCCACGTAAGGCCTCCATCAAATTGGCCAGGCAGCGACATGCGAGAAGCATGATCTCCGGGTTTTCCTCACCGAAATCGCTTGGCTGCATCAAGGCGACCAATTCCTTTACATACGGATCTGGGGAAAACTGGCCGGAAAGATTATCCTCATTTGATACAAGTAGTAGATCAGAGAGCTCCTGCAGAGCGATCAGCTGAATGGACGGGTCATCCTTCATTCTCAGGTTGCATAGAATATCTCGCAAACGCGAAGACATGCCCGACATCATGCCGCTCAAAGCACGGAGGGTGCTTTGCAGACCCAAGGGGCTCCGCGACCCAAACAGACTGTTGTGGAAAAGGTCCCCATCATCCTCGTCGTCATCGTCATCCAGACCAGAGGGGATGGTTCCCTCGTGGCTATCACTTGGAGGAGAAGAATCCCGTTCTTCGCTTAGTTCTTGATCTTCCATCTCCTCTTCCGCCTCCTTCATAATCGTGTCGGGACTGGCTCTGGAAGGGCGCTTCTTTTGTCGACGAGGCGATGACTGAGCTGCTGAGGCATTATCTATCACAAGAGTCAGCTCGTTCTATCCACGGAGGCGCAGACATGTGCCTCCCAGGGTTGGAGAAGTTCTCCACCGGGCCCGTTCCATTTTCTCACCTTGTGACACCTTCCCGCTCCTGCTTGATTTCCGTCTAGACGCGGGAGGGGAGGTCTGATTCCTTGATGAATCCTCGGCGGGATGTGATGAAGGACTAAAATCACGGTACAGTCAGCCCGCATACTCTCAAGATCCCGATCGTAACTTACCCAGATTGGGACATCGCTGGACGATTGCGAGTACCGCGGCGGGTGGTTGCAGGTGACTGCGCCGCTCGAGGGGGAGTTGCACGTCGCTGTCGCTTGGCTTTTCGGGGAGGTGAGGAGGGATTTGACTGTTCCGGGGCGTCTACCGATCGATCACGTCGCGCAGGGGCCTTTCGCTTCCGGTTTGAAGCCGAACCAGCGGCCGCGTTCGCAGGAGAGGGACCAGAGCCGGTAGACGGAAGAGAGTCTGCAGCTACTCTCGCGGCGGAGCGAGTGATTCTGGAGGACATGAGAAAACGTTCACTTCCAGGATGTGGGTGGGACAGAGGTGGAGAGCGTTGTGTGTGCGATCAGGATGAAGATGACAGCAGAAGAACAGCTTGTATTGTGATGAGGGGAATTCCCACCCGATCCCCAGATAGCAAACGATTATGACGGTGATGGTTCCCGTCGAGTACGCAGCTGGTGGGTAGAGCTCTCCATCCACCCAGACAGTTGGATAGGCCTGTAGGGAACGGGCTCTTGCGGGGGTACCACGAAAGAAGGGAAGGAATCCAAGATCAGGTCACAGGGCACAGGGCCAAAGAGTGAAGGGAAAAGAGATCAAGTATGTACCTAGCGGCAGTGGCGGAAGGTCCAGCAGAGGTTGGCTGAGTGGAAGAGTCCTCAAGAGGGTCCTGGCGGTGAGCACTGGGCCTTTGTCTGGCCATATGTCGATTGCTAACGAGAGCTAGATAAGGAGGGCTCGCTCGTCACTTGTCACCGTTAACCCGCCATCCGTTACCCTAGGGAATGTTGACCAAGCGTGGGTAGAATGGCGAATTGGGTTCCGTCGACGATCCGGGGGAGGGTTGTAGCTGAGGGACGGCCGATCGGGGGAGGACGTGAAGGGGGCGATACGTGGAGAGAACAGAGGTGTTCACTGGTAACAAAGGAGTGATCAATTAATAATATATACCAGAAAGTGCAGATGATCGTAAGGGTCGTTGTTGAGAACAGAGGAACATGAATCGGGGTGAAATGGAAGTGGTGGTGGATGAGGTGATGGTGAAGGACGGAGTTTGGGGGGGAAGATGATTGACGTGGTTGGCGGTGGTGAGTGACGCCGGCCTGAGGAAGCCAGTCCGGAAGGCGTCAGACAGCCAAAGTGCAGCCTCAACCACTACTACCACTTGAGAGATTACGGCACTTTTCTACAGAAAGCCCCAACTGTTGGGGTTTTCGGTGAGGAATGAACCACAATTTTGACCTGGATTAACTTATCTAACTAGTTCACCTGGACCAACGCGGTCAACAGGGTCTGACCTCTTCATGTACTGTTGTGTCCAGTAACTAGTTATCTGCAGTAGAAGCCGATTAATAACATGACTGGTTTGGAGGGATTTCCATCCCAGAAGCCAAGGACCAAAAGCCAAATAGCTGTATATATCAGTAATCTTCATGTTAATATGCTACAACCCCGCTAAATGTATATGGTTTCTTCGGTAGCCATCAACCTTGTCTATTGTTGATGTAGCCTGTGGTCGGACTTGAGCGGGCAAATGCATATCCCGCTTTGGGCTATCTCCTACTAGTTTCATAGTAATGTTGCAATCCACAGACCTCGGGAGGTTACCACTGAGGTGTCATCCCAAATCTTAAGCAATACCTACTATCACTGCATTCACATGAAATCCATACTGTAGATGGGTAGCGTGACAGGCCCCTTGCTGATACTCCTTGATACTATTTATAAGTTATAATTGGCTACCTGAGGGGCAGTGATAATCACAATAGTTATACCCATCTGGTACCTTGTGTATGATATAAGATAACTGAAGGTAGGCAAACAGACCACTTGGCTTCAAACACCCTCCTGATCGATGCAGAGAGCTGGCCAAGCTACTCGGTAAGTACCTTGGTGTCGCGCCATACTGCCATGATCTGCATTTTTTCCCTATCAGAGCATCACATCTGTGACATTCCACCCAGTGCAGAACTGCAGATGACTGCATCTGCGCGGGGGGTTCATTGAATCTTATCGCGTGCGTGCCTCGGATTCATTACCCGGTCGGATGTGTGAACATTTTAATTCCGTTAATCCACGGTTAATTCACGATGCATGCAAGAGTTGAGGAGATGATAGTTAGGCCTAATGGAGCAATAGACAGCACCGTAACGGCTATAGCGTCGGGCTGGTCTCCACCTTAACGAGCTAGATTCTTTTGGGAAAATCTTGCGGCAAGACAAGGTAATTCTGCCCGTGTATGGAGTGGATAGGCGAAGCAGTTCTTCCCGAACCATGCGGAGTGAGTGGACGTCTCCAAGGGGGATGGTGACTCACTCCATTTCAAACAATTGGGGGATGCCTGCCAACAACTATTATAGGAAGTGTGGATAGGAGCTGACTGGCTTGGGAGAGGAGAATCCTGCAGGGAGGCTAATTCAAGGGATGCCATCCAGACCGGCCCTTGAGGGGGTAGAATAGTGAAATAGGATGGATGACAGACATCAAGTACCCCCTCACAGGGCTGTTGTGCTGGGCCCGATCGATGGAGAGATTGATAGCCGGTTACCGGGTATGTGGGTTATGTGACGGACATATACCACTTTGGGGTGCCATTCTCGTTATTAGGTAGTCAAACACTCCAGGTTAGCTAGGCGGGAAAATGACAGCCTGCTAGGCACACCATGATTGCCTGCGCGTCCAAGGTGCGGGACGATACTTTAAGTAAGAGGATGGTAGAGGACCACACCGGGGCTCGGTGGTAAATGCTCGATACGGTGAAATTGATGATGTGATCGCGCCCCGAGGCACACCGAACATCCGTCTTGGTCGTTTTTACTTCCCCGCCCGCCTCTTACATTTCCCCCACGCTGACTAACCCCCCTGCGCCCGCATCCCATCCTTTTACCGGCGAACTCAAATCTCATCCATCGTCCATATCATCTCTCTTCGCCATTCCATCCCTCCTGATCTCTCTTCCGTCTGTCTCCGACTCATTCTTTCAACCAATTTCCATCGATTTTGGGCCAGATTTGGTCCCTCCCAGTCTTTCCCACCACTCTGGGACACCATTCTGCCTCTCATCTGCAACCATGACCGACGCAATCAGTGACGATGTCCACCGGCGATCCTCGCCTTTGCCTCCGGCTCCGATGGACGACTACACCTTCCCGGAGCTTCGTCTGAAGCGCACAATGGATGACCCCGAAAAGACCCCGCTCCTCTTGGTGGCCTGTGGCTCCTTCTCACCCATCACCTACCTGCACCTGCGCATGTTCGAAATGGCCGCCGATTACGTCAAATTCAGCACGGACTTTGAACTGGTCGGGGGTTACCTATCCCCCGTGTCTGACGCCTATCGTAAGGCCGGTCTGGCTAGCGCTGAACATCGGTAAGACACTTGTATCCCGCCCTGCCATCCCATCCTACCGACCGTACATTCCGCACGATCTGCCTTCGTCCATGCGCTAACTGCAATGATTCTACTAGTGTCGCTATGTGCCAACTCGCCGTGGATCAGACCTCCGACTGGCTGATGGTTGATACGTGGGAACCGATGCAGAAGGAGTACCAACCGACAGCCGTGGTGTTGGACCATTTTGATCATGAGATCAACACTGTACGACAGGGCATCGAGGCCGGCAATGGTACTCGCAAGCCCATCCAGATTGCTCTGCTGGCAGGTGCAGATCTGGTCCATACCATGTCAACTCCTGGAGTCTGGAGCGAAAAGGATCTTGACCACATCCTCGGAAAATACGGCGTATGTTTTCTGCCACTTTTCATCCCAGTTCCTGGAATTTCCGCTAATTCCCTTCCCAGACTTTCATCGTGGAACGCACTGGAACCGACATTGACGAAGCGCTCGCTGCCCTGCAAACATGGAAGAAAAACATTCATGTCATTCAACAACTGATCCAAAATGACGTCAGCAGCACCAAGATCCGTCTGTTCCTGAGACGTGACATGAGCGTCCGATACCTGATCCCCGTCCCTGTAATCCATTACATTGAACAACACAACCTCTACAAGGACGACAGCACGACATCGACCGACAAGGGCAAAGGCCGACAAGAACCCGGATCGTCGGGGTGAATCACCTTCCGGTGATTTCCACTCCCCGCTTTGAAACGAACTATCCGAGTCGTCCCGCTTTCACCACCACAGGAAGTCTCGAGCACAGGCAGAAGAGAGAGAAAGAGAACAAATGGGCATCCATTGTAACAGAGTCAGCCCCGGTCGTCTCATGAACTCATTGAGATACCCAGTTCAAAGACCGCGCGGGATATCTCGGCCCGGTGCCAGAGTCATCATCACATCGCCCGCTGTAACATAGACCTCTTCTCTCTCTCTCTCTCTCTTCGTTCGTCATTTTGTTATCCTGCCTCTTTCAAAATGTGCTTGATAAACCACTCCAGTGACATCCGCGCCCCTTTGATTCCGACCGGGCACGGACACCACGGTGAAACGGGACATGAACTACCCCCTTCCATATTCCCCACCTGTAATGGTGGACGTCGGTTTGCAAAAGAAAAGAATTCAGGTCATGTTTTGATGCTATGTCCTTTGGATTATATCAGGCGTTCCGCAGTGCGACGAGTAATGCGTTGAAGATACCATAGATTAATATTTTGCCTCCCTCCTTCTTTTTCGGCCTGCTTTTTGTGTGCTGCTATCATGTCCCCTCGATGATGTTTATACCCTGTTTATTTTGCTTCTGACTCATGCGAGATATATGTACCGATACGTTAGATGATTACCTACAAAGATGATGGTAGAATTAGACTTGAAATCGGACAATTAAACAAGTTATCAAACTTCTTCTTTTTTTTGCTGTCATGATCGGAGAGATCGGGTATCTAGTATAAGTAGTAATGATAGTAAGTCATTCCTATAGTCAAACCAAAAGGAACGCGGGAATTTTGTATGTATGAAGGTGGGTATGGACATCAACAGGGTCCCCACAAGAATGGCAGTAATATGTAAGTGAAAAAAATATAGACAACCCGAATTGGATGAAGATTGAGAACATGCTGAGGTTGCAACATAATGACATACCCCACCAGCAGACAAACCCATTCCAGGTAGGGATTGCATGTCCCCAAAGCTATCTATTGTGGTTGAAACGGAATATTTATAAGACAAAAAGGCAAAAGGACACACAAAAATCAGGCATGAGTTCATATACATCATCAGGAGGTTCAGAGTGGGGAGGGGATATAAATATAATTTAGTCATCACAATCATTCCATAGATCCTCAGCTTCTATGACCCCGAGGCAGTGGTCGGGGTTGGTATCGTCCATAACGGCTACCACGGTCACGGGGGTGCCTGAGGATGCACCGGCCTCGGAGACCAGCCGGCGCGCGTCATCGATGGTGCTCGAGCTCGTAAGGCGGAACCAGTCCTTGCGGGAGACCCCGAAAGGTAGACCCAATTCAGTGAAGGCAGAAACATGCATATCTACATAGTTGCTCTGGGAGACGAAGCGGAGATGCCGTGGGGGCACGATTTCGGACGGTGAGAGATGAACCCATGACTTGGCGTTGGGGTGCTGGATTGCAGTGAGGAGAATGTCCAGAAGACGGACTTTACCCGAGGCAGACACCCTGGGAATTTGATCGAGTGACACGAGCATGTCACGGACGAGTGGACGCTGACTGAGTTTGCCATCTGACTGCGGGAATGAGTTCGTGGTCTGTTGGACCGGAATATAATCTGACGGGGCGGCAGAACTTGATGCGGATGACATGCTCATAGGCGTCAAAGCCATGGACGCAGCGCCGATAGCCCCGCCAGGATGGAAGCCCTTGAAAATCTCCGCTGGGCCTCTGCCAGGAGCTGTATGTAGCCGCCGAGCCGTAGCAATAGCCAGTGCATCTCCCAGCGATAAGGCTACCGTGGTGGACGAGGTCGGGGCACATACGCCGATCGAGGTCTCTTCATCCTCGTGGATCGGTGCCGGCAAGAGGATCCCCATGTTCGAGGGGTGGAAGGAAAGCAGAGGGCAAGTCGACGAGACCATATGAGAAGTAATGGCGATAACCGTGACGGTTGAAGGAATATGAGGAAGCATGAGCAGAAGCTCTGGTGTGCGGCCCGAGAAAGATATTAACAATAGTGTATCATGCTGGTGCATTCAGTTCCAGTCAGTGTGTGGTTCTCCCTCACATATAGGCCAGGCCAGGACATCCTTACCGGTCGTATCATGCCCAGGTCGCCGTGCAAGGCTTCCGTGGGATGCAGAAAGGCACTGTAGATCCCCATACTATTCATGGTGGCTTCCAGCTTCTGAGCAATCTTGCCACTCTTGCCGACACCGCAGCAGACCAATTTCCCGCCATGCTTGATGGTGCGTACGATCTGAGCCACCGCGCGCGCGAGGTTATCTTGAGCCAACAGATCGGTCTGGTAGATGTGCTCCAGATGCGCCAGAGCGGCGCGCTCCGCCGCGATAACCTGCAGGGCTGAAGCCACGGGCGCAGTGTCCTTGGTTCCCATTAGCGGGACTTCGGAGGGATCTGGAGGAGTCATCGGAAGGAGGAAATCATCGTGGAGGGAGGGGTTGGATTCCGGGAGGGGCATGGCGGGCGACAGCGGGATCGCGAATGGCTGCTTTAGGTGCCCCATGGTCATGAAACCATTCTGTGGGGGAGAGAGAAAGAGAGGGAAAGAAAGTGAGACGGCGCCTTTCTCCCAGGAGGTAAGCCTGGGAAGAAAGATCCCGGACGCGAACCTGGAGACGCAGTTGAAGAGGGGAAAGGAGGAGAAATCCGATGGTGGGGGGGCGAAACAGAACAAAAAAAGTGGAGGGGGGGAAAAGAAGAGAGGAGGGAAGGGAAAGTCCGGGTGGCTGATTTTGGTGATAGGATTATCTAGACTACGTACTACGGATACTACTAAGTACTAGAGATAAAGAAAAGTTGCCTCGGATCGGATATCCTTCTCCAATCCGCGTGCTAGAGCTGACCACCTCCCCGAACGATTAGAAATGAAATCTGTTCTTACTTTTGCACCACCTTCTAGATCCCGATGCATGCATCCTTCTACGCTCTTCTAAGTTCTAAACCCCTACTTAGTCGGTCTCCGCCCGGCCATTCGGAATCCGCCATCACACCATCCGCGACGCTGCTGATGTCTTGCAGATCCATTCCCCGCTGCCGTTCCGGACATGCTCAGTTGTCTTCCATGTCAATATTTGACTATCAATATTATTACAGTGGCGAAAAGATAATTGCTAGTGTACACTGTCTGAAACAAATCATCCATCCATCCTTTCAGTTGCCCCTCTTAAGCCTGGTTGAGCGGCTTGATACCCTTGTGGATAGCGGCAATTCCCCCAGTCAGATTCTCGAAGCCACGTCCCGGGATCATAAATCCAGCCTTCTGGATCATGCCGCGGAACTCCTCCTGGCTAGGGAACTGCTCAATACTCTCCACCAAGTACTGGTAGCTGTCGCGATCACCGGCCACCAACTGACCAATCATGGGAATGGCGCTGAAACTCCACTGCTTGTAGACCGCATTGAACAAGGCATTGTCGACCTTGCTGAATTCCATGCAGGCAAACACACCACCGGGCTTCAGCACACGGAACGCTTCGTTCAATGCCGCCTGCTTATCCGTGAAGTTGCGGATACCGAAAACAACAGTGTAGAGGTCAACTGAGTTATCCGGAATGGAAGGCATAGACTGCGCATTGCCCTGCATGAACGACAGTCGGTTTGTGTTGTAGTAAGGCGTCTGCACGCTGCGCTTCTGACCCTCCGCCAGCATGTCCGGGTTGATATCGGCGATCGTTACGCGGGTCTCATGGTCATTGTTGATGTTCGTCGCGTGGTCCAGCATGCGAAACGCGATATCGCCCGTCCCGCCGGCGATATCGAGAATGTTCCAACCACGGCCGGCCGTATCGTGTTCGCGAGAGGGAAGTGCGGATCCGGGGTTGAGAGAGCGGACAAAGTGATCTTTCCACAGGCGGTGGATGCCCAGCGACATCATGTCGTTCATCACATCGTAGGACGAGGCAACGGAGCTGAAGACGGCTCCCACTAGACATTGTCACAAAAATCAGTAAAACCTTTCTTTATCCAATCCTATAGATGCATAATATCCCAGATAAACCTACCCAACGACTCCTTCTGTGCTTCAGGGACATTTTGAAAGCCGAAATGGGTCATGCGATCATCCTGGTTGAACTTGGGCGGATCCTGGGCACGTCGTGTGCAGGAGAAACAGCGGTATGGTGTCTCCGAAACAATAAATCGTCTCCGGGCTTGCAATTGGAGGCTCCTCCAGACGGTGCGGGACGACATGATGGCTGGACTGAGGTGAGGTTGGATGAACGGTTGGTCGGCGGAAAGAAGAACGAGAATCCCAAATGCGGAATCCGTTCTGGATCTGGGATCCTCAGGCACCCGCCCGGTCTTTCTCCCCAACTCTTCCGCCGGCTCCACTTTCACTTATCAAGCACCTACTAGACTGTCTAAATGCCCAACTACGCCTTCAAGTTACACAAATAGGATGAGTTCTTCTTGTGCGCTATAAGAGGTATAACTCGCCAAATTCGTCACTTTACAAATAAACCAGCAAAATAAATCGCATCACAACTAGATATCCTTCGACAGATGAGCAGGAAGCTGCAATCCCTTCATAAGCCACTCATCAAATATCAGTTCTCCTGCGGCTGGTCTGTCCTTGGGTTCCCATGTTAATGCTCTGCGCATAAGATTCAAGAATGCTTCCTTGTCAGGTCCTTGGATATCAGCCGCCCGTTCCTCAAGTGTCATCTCCGGCACCGGTGCAAGGTCCTTCCATTTGCCTGAATGTAGATTTTAGCCGAGCTTCATGTCAAATAGCTGATTCAGTTGGCAACATACCATTCTTATCCCAAAATACCGAGCCTACTTTGCTTCGCTTAATGAAGTCAGTGGGAGGTGGTCCCACAATCGCAACCATTTCCGCAAGATGGACTCGATTATCGAAAATACCATCACTGTTTCTACCATCCAATAGTGTTCGGGTACAAACCATGTCCCAGGCCTGCATGAAAGTAAGTATAAGCTACATGAAGGGTGAACTTGATAAGTATAATCTCTCACCATCAGGGCAATGCTCCACACATCCACCTTGCTATCCCAATTCATCTTTAGCACCACCTCGGGAGCCCTGTAGAGATTTGGCATGATATCCTCGTCATGTTCTTCTTGGGTGAAGCGAGCTTCTCCAAAGTCACTGAGCAATGGTAATCCATTGCCGGGGACAACGATATGGCTGGTGTAAATTGTGCGCTCAGAACCAAGCACCTTTCTTGGCGAGGGTGCCTCAATCTCTGAATCTTCACGACCCGAGAAATTCTTTGGGTCACCCGGGAGTAGTAGATTCTTTAATTGTAGGTCTTCAAGACTGTCAGTCATGATGTACGATGGTTAGGATTGCTCGAAACTATAGCAGTATGTATGACCTGCGCTTCAGTATGTAGGAAATCGACTATACCTAATACCTGTCGCATGCAGGGCTTCACGGCGTCAAGTCTCATCACTCTTCCAGGAAAGAAATATAGGAACTGATCAACACTAAGGCCAAGTGGTTGATGCACGAGGCACATGTGACGGCCATGAGGACCTTCTAGGAAGAAGTGTCCCCATAGTTTACGAATAAGATTTTGACCCGCATGGTCTGTTTCAACCGCATCTATGCGATCATAAACATCAAGTTCGTGATTCTTTCCACGCCAGTGACATAAAAAATTTCAACGCGACATGCTTGGAATCACTGGGGGGGGTTGTTATCAGTAACAGGGTAGGAATTGCGAGAGGGTCGACCGAGGACATAAGAAGCCTACCTTAAGTCGCGACCGAGCCAGACTGTAGAAGTGACACCATATCCCAACTTGGCAACGACTTGATATCGACCGTGCAGAATCTCCCCGAGGCGAACGGGGTAGTATTTCTCAGCATTGTAGGTTGGTAAAGTCTCTTCCTCAATATATTCTGTTGGATCAAGGGCCCCAAATCCTGATGTAGAAAATACGCGTTGTATGGTTTGGTTTGTAGACGCGATCGTAAAATTTGGTCTGCATGCGACTGGATGAGACGAACTAGGTAGGGCTCTATAGCGCAATGGTAGATTACGTGAGGATATGAAAAGGCTTGCACGTATACTGGATACTAGACAAATACGTGACTGAAGCCGAAACATTTCTGGTTGTTGTTGATAATGGCAGAGATAAATGATGCCAAGGGCTCAGGGATCAGGCGGCCAGTCATGCAGCCAGACGTCCACATGCTTGGCGTCTGCCAATCACTTTCTCTATCGGCCACTGTTCCATCGCACTGCCACATATGTCGATGATAACTTATCGTCTGATACTATTAACTTAGGTGAAATTGCTTATTATTGAGATGGTACTGGGCACCGCTGCAGTTATTGGAGGCATCGCCTAGTTTATCAGGCTTCTAGGACGATTTGAAGTCACTCCCATATTATTGCCCTTGTTAAGCTTCATGGTAACCACGACTAAGCTCGATCAATAAATACTGCTATATCTCGAGCAGGCATAACGAAGGATTTAGAACGATACCCAAAATGTAACATGATAACAGCAACTACTTTGGCACATTCAACCAACCACCTACATTGACAATAGCTCCTACTATGATGGACATCAGGTGACGGAAATGATAAATAACTCCTGTCTCAAAATCCTGTAGCTGTAGCTGGCTAAGGTGACTTGACCCCAGACAGCTGGAGGAAATCAGATGGGTACATCATTCTCTGAATGAAAAACAGTTGTAAGTAGCCGACAAGCAGGCAGAAGGCAGAGATTTCCAATGAAAGACCATACTCACATCAAAGATAGGTCTTTGAAAATAACTGCCTTTGAGATGTTTCATTGTGACGCCACCTTCAGAGCATTAGATGGCATATTGTTTGGCATGCGGAAATGTGCTGTTGACCTACCTTCCCACTCCGCGAATACGGATATCATAGGAAAGAGATCGGGATTATCCTTAAGGCGTCGTACAAATTTCGAAGTCTTTTTGCTTGTTCCAATTTGGTAGATCATAAATACCACAGCTGCAGGTTTATCAATTAAAAAGATAAACAGAGAGGGTGTGCAGAACGTACTGCGACGGGGGTATCCAGCGAGCTCTAGCTTCCTGCCGCATTCGATGATAGCTTTCACAAATTCAGATTCAGTTCTAGACTCCGGGCAACCACCAATAGTAATAATTATAAGCAGCGGCCTATCAAGTCTCTGGAAACTGACTTTGCTGTAGACTAGCGGCTCGAGAATCCTCGATCTTAGGTTTGTGCCAATTGCAGTGTTGCCACCGGAGCCCAATGGCGCGGAATCCAAGATCTTCTTCACCTGGTCAACTGCGAGGTTAGGGGATATATCAACCTTACAGTTAACAAAACGTAGCCCAACACCTCTACCCGCAGGGAGCAGTTGGGTGGTGACATTGGCCAACTGCTTGACGAGTTCTTTCTGGACATCCCAACGATATTCGCGTCTCATCTCTGAGCTATCATCTAGAAATGGTCCCCATAGTTAAGCAAGCTAGATGAGCGATCGAAACTGGCAAAACTCACCGCAGTAAAACACTTGCTGGTACATGGACGTCTTGACTGTCAAGGCCATAGGCTTTTCGTAGTGGGCCTTCAGCCCGTGGCCGGAATACATATTCTCAGCCTTCTTCCATAAGTATACCAGGAAACCCCTTTTCGTTTTATCAGAGAAGAATCGTCGAAGGAATGCATCACACCTTAACATATTATCAATGTGTTTCACCAAATCAATATTATCTTCCACCAATTTCGCCAATTCGGCCTCAGCTTCTGCTGCCCTGCCTCCAGTCTGATACAGAAGTAGACCATATCCAGTCTCCAACACTGTTTGATGCCTACCGTCTAATTTCCTTTCAAGTGACCGTCTGCGTTCCGACAACATGGCTCTCCGTTGCCTGATTTTCTCCGCCCGGGTACTGGCATTCGCTGTATCATGTGTCGCTCTGCTGATCGTGTCGAGTAGCCGGGCTTTCAGCGCATTGCACTTTTCTATTTCCCCTTCTACGTCAATCAAGCCTGCCTTGGCAGTTTTCAAGGAGGAATTTATCTCCCATTCATGCTGGTCGAGATTGTCTGTTTCGTGGCGCAAATCATCTTCCTCCTTCATGACGTCCTCCATTTCAAGCTTAAACTTCAGTACTTCTAACTCAAATGTGGCATTAATGGTGACACTGGGCGGACTCGGCGTGGCGGCTAATATCACCACAAATATTTTCTGCATGTCGTCTCGTTCCACACTTGCCTGGATATTGAGCGTGCCGTCACTAGCACTTTGTTTACCGAATGCCTCCTCTCTCATAGAACCGGATCTCTGGGCCAGATCTTGGAGGGATGTGGCACTGGAAGATATCATCATGTGACATCGAGCCTGCGCTTGGGAGCCCTGCGTATCATACTCAAGCAACACCAAGAAGTCGCTGGAGTCTTCACCTCCAGAGCGGAACCGGGTCCAGAGCTTTTGGACAGCATGATCAGCAGGGTCACTCGATGTTGTAATAATAGACCGATCTTGCAACCAGCGATCTGGCGGCTCAACTTCAACAAGCATCAGCCCTGCTTCGATAGGGTCCTCGACGAAGAAATAATTGTTATAGCTAGCTGTCGGGGGTGTTTTCATATGTCGTTCGATTAGAATATGGACCGGCTGAGCTGGTGTCTTGGTCGCAATCGAGTCGTGGATCATTGCACGATGATCTTGTGGCCTAAGGTAGTACTCACCGGACGGGCTTTTCGAAAGCGGGATTGCTACAAGAGTGTTCGATTTTAACGGACCGCAGTTGAGCAAACCGAAAAGCCCATTTTTGTCTTGGTGTAGAGACAGATCGACTCGAACCAAGCCCCCTTCAATCTGGAACGTGCATGGAGACCTGGTCCCGTTCATACGCGGAACAATATTCTCACAACCTCGAAAGTCAGCGGGGGACGCGGCAAGTACACCGGCTGACAAGGTCTTATTATCCTTTGAATCATGCAGATAATGCTCCGGGCTGGATATCCCCCACGCCAGAATCGACTCATCCCTCGAATTTTTCATGATTTCTTGCTGAAGACGAGTGAACGCTCGATCGGCCCCTTCACCATAGATCATCGGCATAGTCACATCGAAGATTCCAAGAAGGCAATAGGCAATGTCTTCCGCCCGTTTTGTGACTCTGTTGGAGGCCCAGGACATACGTTGAGCGATGCTTGCCTCACTTAATGGGGTTCCTTGCAAGAACCGACGCGGTATTCCAAATTTGCGGTCAATGATACCTGATCTTTTCGCCTTCGTTCCGAGGTCGTGCCACCCTGAATCGAAGAAGCGAAGTTTATCAGGAGCCAGAAGCTCCTGTAGGGTCCAGCCTCGTTGGAACCAGCGGCATGAACTGAACTGAGTCAGTGGGAAAGGGTTATTATCCTCCATGGTGACATCGGCTAGGTAGGCATAGCAAACGGCAGCTTCATTATACCATCGGAACATGGAATTTATGGCTTCGCCGAGTTCGACTGAGTTGGTCTTGTCAATGCAGCATGTGTCAACCCATGCATATTGAATGCTGTCCATTTTTGCCTGTTCGCAGCATTTCGCGACCTTGAATGGTAAACTCTCTCTTTTGGTACTGTTCTCGGTGATATCGCGGAATGACAATTCCTCGTGATCGGCTCCCCATGTATGTGAGAGTATAGCATAACAGGGTTTTGATCCATGAAATTCCTCCAGATGGAGTTTATCAACATTGATCAGGCGCATAATGGTATCTGAGCCGTTGACTAGCCGGCAGAAGGCGTTCCTACAGGTATAAGAAAGTCAACATGAATGAACTGGAATCGACGAATGACGAGAGGTCTTTCGAACCTAACTATACAGCTAAGCTCGTGAGGATATAATGTGCCGGCCGTAATCAGGAAATGGATTCGAGGGTACTGTGAAAAAAGTGGGTTTTAAGAATAAGCTGATATCTTCGGCTTCGTTGGGCTGGATTAGCGGCGGGGTCAAGTGAGGGTGAACAACTGGCGCACAGCTGTCATATGCAAGTGCCCAACACAGAAACAGAAGGAATCTTTTCCGATGTATCGAGTCAGTTACATGTTCCCCCGGTTACTAGTCAAGCCATACTGTCAGTCTCATTCATTGCAGCATTACTTCAGATCGTCGTGGATTCCAATTCCTTCATATCGTGCGCTGGGGTATAGACTACGAGATAAGCTGCCTTGTCTTCAGGCTCATCATTTTGCAATGTATAAGACCAATAAACTGAGTTTAACAGTATGTAGTACTTTCTCCAAATTCGTGCCAACAAGCCTATGAGAAGAGATTAGTTCTATGGAAAAGGTTGTGCAACAAGCAAGCAGTGTGTATGGCAGGAACACAGCGTAATATGTCGATAAAATCTCGAGGCCGAGCGCAGAGGTACCTGCCTGGTACATCAAGACGTGCCACCCCTTTTGAGTTGTTGGTTTGAGGGTTCGCCACACGGATGTTCGACCTCACGCAGAGCATTATTCTTAAATCCAGCATATTTTAACAGAAATTTTCCAGTGCTACTAAATTATGCTGCATACGTGCTGGTTCGGAGACTTCATCAGGTTGACTTTACCCCTAACCCCGACCTATAACAGGAACACATAGGCATACAGGCCGTAGAAAGAGACGCGGGAGACAATGCGCGCCATGATTATACCCCATTAGGCTCATTGGAAAGGCCACGCAGACTAAACCTGCAGGAACCTAGAGGTGGCAAGTAATAAGTGGCTGGGGGCATTGACATAAGATGCGATCTTGTAGGCGACTAGCTAATTAGTTGTGACACATGTTTGGCTAATCTCATGCTCAGGGCCTATCTACCTTGCTGCGTTATTGTTCTTTCTTACGGTGATGCCTTTTGTGATACTTGATGCATATCTGCTTGCTAATCATGTGTTACGCATTACATGATGCCCAGGACCGTACCCTTGCTTCAAACGGTGTCGCACTTCTATGGCTAGGATCTTCGATAGCCAAACGGATTGGATCAAGATGATGATAATTTTTGGAAAAATTGGGATAGCGCAGTTTTTCCTGTTCTATGGTGCATAATTAACTACTGGTACGGAATAAGCTCAAATTAGGTTGATCGTGATCAACGGGAGACAAAGCACAAGTATAAAATTGCTCTCGAAATCTCGAGGACATGCCCTAACATAATTCATTAGTATGATATTGATCTGCCACAAGTAGTACCAATCGTGCACAAGCCCCTCGCTGATTCCGACTTTTCCTACTAGTTGTTGCATGTTTCTTTCTCTCTCGAAAGACACCTGCTCCCCAATTTTAGGTAAGTTGATATAATCACTAAGCCTTACCAACCGGCCTCTGTTTCTATCACCAGCTATCCGAACGATGGCAATGATAGCTGAACTTTGGTTTAGCTTTCTTTCTCTGGAGTCACGTATTGGCGTTTCGCCGGGGTGCTTTTCTCTCAGATGTAAGAAGGGGATTTTTTTCTCCAACTCTCTTGAACACTAGCTGATGCCCTAAGCATATGATTTGCCCCGTCTCACATTAGAACAACTTTGCGTTCTTTGAGCTGTCGCAAAAGTCTCTCTCGATATAATTGTTGGAGATATTAGAACCCTGTTTACATCATCTTCGCAGGTAGTCATTAAAACCGAAAAACCGACTCTGTTTTCTCTGGGTTCGTTTTCACATACTTTCCTGAAACAGGCTCGTTATCCCCATACAAGCTCCCAACACAGCCGCCTTGGCTGCTGCGGGTTTGCTCAAATCCTCGATTGCGATGGTCAACCACAATTATCATCATTTTGAGTCTCGGTTCCTCCATTTCAGCGGTTTCAGTGAGTAAGGAAGATCATAGTGGTGTTGATGACAGCATAGATTGTCATAGGGATTGATTCGAATGTTGATAAAATAACAAACGTAGCGGAACCAGCTCTACCATAGGGAAACAGGTAACCCAGAGCCGCTCTAGAATATTTGCGAGGCCAGGCACTCATTTTCATCGAGAGTCATTGGACAATAGTGGAGAATTACTGCCGTACCAATCCGAAGCTCAATCGTCTGTCTTGAGATGTACATTATTCGGGTTGTCTGGCGTTCAGTATGGATTGTTGCACCATGCTTTTCAGACTCTTAGCACTTGGTATCAAATTTCGCTTTGCATCTATTATTCATGTGCCTTCTGATGATTACCAGCGCTCTGGCTTGGATCATAGAGTTGACCACTGTATGGATATTGTAACTGTCATGCGTCATCAATCATGCGGGTTAGCAAGGAACTGAACACAGCAGAACATCGATCGTAACTCTACCGTCGCTATCCGAATAACCGCCTCAGCTCCACTTTTGGCGCAGGAACTGCTCGGTACCCACGTCAAAATCACTCCAAGTGCAAGTCTCTAAATCCGAACGGTCGACAGTATTGAGGGTCATGACTGCCTGCATCAAGTATGATAGCGTTTTGCAACATCAAGGTAGTACCGTTATAAGCTGGCTTTCCACAAGGCTTAAGGGACTTCATTTGGAGGTTGGCGAGGAGAAAGAAGAAGCAAGTTGCGAAGGTGGGATCGAAGGGATTAAATACCGGATTGGGAGAGGTCAATACTAAAGACTGCGAATGAATAGTGCAGTGTAAAAGGTTGGAGATTTATCTTCAATATTTACTTCCACAAGTAAGGCTCGCCCTTCTCTCGTACCTGGCCGAATTCTTCATGGTATGGCCTCATTCCTGTAAGTGTATTCTCAGCATTACGGGAAGCCAAAGCACGCCGAAACTAAATGATTAGTCGCCAAAAAGAAATACGCTATATTGCCCCTGGGGAACCAGAGATAGGATTCATTGGTTTATATTGCGGCAGCAAGAGGCTTACTGCTTACTCTGCGTCCTTGCGCTTCCAATCAAGAAGTGCATTGGTCCGACCTTGACCATTGCGCTAAACACGCCAGCCCGCTGTTGGGACTTGGGAGGCATTCAGGGTTGCCCGGGCGGAGACCCGAGCGAAGGCCGATGCGGAGATAGTCCGACCCGGCCATACCCTGCGGGTTGTGCCATCGGCCCCTTGAGGCGACAATGTAGGATCTGGTAAATAGAAAATGTGAATGATTCATCACACTGAGGTTATGAAAAGAATGATGATAGATATACAGAATGTAAAAAAGTGTCACTGATGCAGCACTCGCTAGGAAACTGCTTTTCTCGTCGTTCCTTTCCACGCCTGTCCGCGGCATCGCATTTGTTCCTGAGCCAGAACCCTAGCTTGAGCCAAGATGTAACCAATCTATGCCACTCCAGTCTAGCTAGTAATTGTCTACCCCTCCTTTGCTGCAGATCAGTACTCCCGTCGACCACTCGCCATCCTCGAGCATTTAGCTTAATCTTGCCTTGATATTAGCCGATTAATTCCCTCTTTCCCCGCATAGCGTGAGACATAATTTGCTCTGCTCCTGTTGCCTGATACCGTTGCCGTAGTGCCATAAGATCGTCTTCTTTCCTCTTTCGTCACGGACTTATCCCCGTCTATGCGTCCCACACTCCTGCTCCACTGACTAAGTATTTGCTTCGGTGTGTCACTGCAAAGATTGCGCAAGTAGGACTGAACTCGCGTTCGGCTCCTGCTGTCGCATTTATATGCTTCAATGATCCCTTGCTGAGTACTTATTCAGGCCTTGCTGTTCCAGAGCAAATCGTATTTCTTCCAGCTGCACGCCATGCGCCAAGGCATCGGATTAGCAGCGGCCCTACTAGCGTCAACCCTACCTGTAGCGCTGGGTCAACATGTTCAAGATCTAAGCAGTGTGCAATGGACTCTCAGCAGTCGAGCCTTGAATCGAACAGTTCCTGCTGAATTCCCATCGCAGGTTCACCTGGATCTACTAAGGGCCGGAGTGATTGGTAAGTACTGTCGGAGGTCAAGTCTCTCTATTATACAACTGCTGACTACCCAATAGATGAACCGTAAGTGATTTGATCTGCTACGAATCTGAATGAGACACTAAGTACTGTTGCAGATACCATGGATTAAACGATTTCAATCTTCGCTGGGTCGCCGCCGCCAACTGGACTTATACCAGTCAACCCATCAAGGGCCTGTGAGTAGCAATTAGTTCTATGCATTAAATGCGTCAACACTAAAGCTCAATAGCCTGGATGATTACGACTCAACTTGGCTGGTATTCGACGGACTCGACACTTTTGCAACCATCTCGTTTTGTGGACAGCAGATTGCGTCCACAGACAATCAATTTCGTCAGTATGCATTCGATGTTTCCACAGCTCTAGGGTCCTGCAAAGGAGATCCTGTTCTGAGCATCAACTTTGGGAGCGCGCCGAACATCGTCGATGCTATCGCCCAAGATCCTAATTCGCAAAGTAAGTCCAAAGTGGGAGACTAGCAAGGCCAGGCCATGCTAATTGTTTGTAGAATGGCCTGATAATGTCCAGCTCACTTATGAATATCCAAACCGGTGGTTTATGCGCAAAGAGCAGTCCGACTTTGGATGGGATTGGGGTCCAGCATTTGCGCCCGCAGGCCCGTGGAAACCTGCATATATCGTTCAGCTAGACAAGGAGCAAAGCGCCTATGTCTTGAACACAGACTTGGATATATACAGAAAGGGCCAAATTAACTACCTCCCGCCCGATCAAAGCCAACCTTGGGTTGTCAACGCTAGCATCGACATTCTGGGTCTACTTCCTGCAAAACCGACCATGTCGATTGAAGTGCGCGATGCTTGCTCTGGCACGATCCTTACTTCACGTACTTTGAACAATGTCACTGTGGCTGGCAACTCCATAACCGGTGTCACCGTTCTCGATGGGATCACTCCGAAGTTGTGGTGGCCGCAAGGTCTCGGCGATCAGAACCTCTACAATGTGTCCATTACCATCAATAGTGGCGCAAACCAGACTCTAGCCAATGCGACCAAACGGACGGGATTCCGCACCATTTTTCTCAACCAGCGCAATATTACTGAGGCACAGCGCGCACAAGGAATTGCTCCTGGAGCAAACTGGCACTTCGAAGTTAACGGCCATGAGTTCTATGCAAAGGGATCGAACCTCATCCCACCAGACAGTTTCTGGACTCGCGTCACAGAGGAGAAGATGTCACGGCTGTTTGATGCTGTCGTAATAGGAAACCAGAATATGCTCCGTGTGTGGTCCTCCGGCGCATATCTTCATGACTACATCTATGACCTAGCCGATGAAAAGGGCATTCTCTTGTGGAGTGAGTTCGAGTTTAGTGACGCCTTATATCCCTCCGACGACGCCTTTCTCGAGAACGTTGCTGCTGAGATAGTGTACAATGTTCGACGAGTGAACCACCATCCCTCCCTAGCTCTATGGGCGGGCGGGAATGAAATTGAATCTTTGATGCTCCCACGTGTCAAGGATGCTGCCCCGTCTTCATATTCCTACTATGTGGGAGAGTACGAAAAGATGTATATCAGTCTCTTCTTACCTCTGGTCTATGAGAATACCCGCTCCATCTCGTACTCCCCTAGCAGCACAACTGAAGGGTACCTCTACATTGATCTTTCTGCTCCTGTCCCTATGGCTGAACGTTACGACAACACTACCTCCGGCTCATACTACGGCGACACCGACCACTATGATTACGACACTAGTATGGCTTTTGACTATGGTTCCTATCCGGTAGGCCGCTTTGCGAACGAATTTGGCTTCCACAGCATGCCCAGCCTCCAGACCTGGCAGCAAGCTATTGACACTGAGGATCTCTACTTCAACAGCAGTGTGGTAATGCTCCGCAACCATCACGATCCCGCGGGCGGCCTCATGACAGACAACTACGCGAACTCGGCCACTGGCATGGGCGAAATGACCATGGGCGTGGTAAGCTACTACCCGATCCCGAGTAAATCTGACCACATCTCCAACTTTAGCGCCTGGTGCCACGCCACCCAGCTCTTCCAGGCAGATATGTACAAGAGTCAGATCCAGTTCTACCGTCGAGGAAGTGGCTTGCCTGAGCGTCAGCTTGGCTCCCTGTATTGGCAGCTCGAAGACATCTGGCAAGCGCCATCGTGGGCAGGCATTGAATATGGGGGAAGATGGAAGGTTCTTCACCACGTTATGAGAGATATCTACCAGCCCGTTATTGTCTCGCCTTTCTGGAACTATACTACAGGATCACTGGATGTCTATGTGACTTCCGACCTGTGGAGCCCTGCAGCAGGTACTGTGGACTTGACCTGGTTGGACCTGTCAGGCCGCCCTATTGAGGGTAATGCGGGCACGCCGAAATCAGTGCCCTTTACTGTTGAAGGGCTCAACACCACTCGTGTCTATGGCACAAACGTTTCTTCTTTGGGCTTGCCGGATACCAAGGATGCCGTTCTTCTGCTCTCGCTCTCGGCTCACGGACGTCTTCCGAACTCAGACCAGGCCACCAACTTCACTCATGAGAATCACGCTACGCTTTCCTGGCCAAAGGATTTGAAGATTGTTGACCCTGGACTTAAGCTGGGATACAACTCGAATACGACAACTGTCACGGTGGAAGCTACATCCGGTGTCTCACTATACACGTGGCTCGACTACCCGGAGGGTGTGGTGGGATACTTCGAGGAGAACGCGTTCGTCTTACCACCAGGGGAGAAGAAAGAGATTGAGTTCAAGGTTCTCGAAGACACGACTAACGGGGCATGGGCTCGTAACATCACTGTGCAGAGTCTTTGGGATCAAAAGGTTCACAGTTGATTATCAACAACATCCACATAGTCTCAATACCAAGCTTGTACATGTCATCTCACTACTTGTTCTTTTTTCTCAGATATCTTCCGATCCGCATGATTGACTGCTTTACTCCCAGGAGGAAAATACTCCCTCGGCTCACCAAGCCTGATCACCTTCGTCAACATGGAGTAAGCCAAGTCAGCAACAAGTCTAAGGCATTCATCTGCATATTTGTAAATTGATCAAGCTATGCATTCACCTAGGGCACAAAGGCCCCCTCCCTCCCCCCACGGAGATCCTTCCGCTTGCGGGTCTGAATTTCCTATGGATCCCCGTGGTATACATGTTCTACTGCAAGAGTTGTAGTCGATTTCTTGAGTCCATCGGGGCTTTGCTTTCGACTGAAAGCCCGTTTCTTTGAGAGAAGAAAGAGGCGCACCATCTGCATGGGATGTGTTTAAGCATAATATTGGCAAGATGTCTGATTGAGTACATGCAATGGGGATCCTGGAGCCCCACAGTGGGTTGATACTGGCAGATAGTCCGTAAATTCATTCTGCTCGTAGGTAATATCTTATTAAAGAGAGTAGCTTCTGTGTTGTATTAGACGACGCCTTATGCTGCTTATCAGTTCCTCCAGCCTGGCCAGTCTGTATTTACCATTCGTTCTTCACACACATGCAGAAAGTTAATCATTGCTGAGTTGTCCGAAAGAGGGTAAGTATATTAAAAGACTTTTCTCTTTCTTTTTTTGGGGGAGGGGGGATTCTGCCAGGTTAGATGCAAACCGACGAAAGTAGTAAGACACGGCGCCAATCATATACAGCTACATGGCCACCTGACTCGAACCTTGCATAAGCCGTTCAAGGCAGCAACACATGGCGTATACATAGCGGTACTGCGTTTTCCAGCAATTTTGAGAGATCAGCCTTTTTTCTATATAACTATTTAATAGCGTTGACATGGGAGAATGTCGATTTTAAAGGTCAAACATAAAACACTTCTTAGACGGTCTAACCCTATGAAAATCAGAGCTGTACTGTGCATCCTAAAAGTCCACAGAAAGGCAAGCGTATTTTCACACAACGAACACACCGCATGAATCCTTAAGATAGGTATACGCTCCCACAATTAGACAGACAACAAAGGTGGGTAGTACGGTGCGCAGACACAGAGCAAAAGCCGAGATCTGGGACTTCTTTTCTGTCTGGGGATACTATGCATGTGCATGCGTATTGCGTTAGACACCCTTATGCTTAACTCTGATAAGATTCGCAAACTCACCTCATAGACCCACCCGTCGAGACCTGCAACATGCGTCGTCCACCACATGTAGAAGGAGCTCCAGGGGTATATCATCCAGTTATATCCGGTTTTAGGATCGATGAACCACTGCATAGATCATGATTAGCTGGTGCTTGGAAACGCAATGGGAGAGTAGCAGAATCAACAGCGATGGTCAATCAGTTAGGGTAGGAGTTCCTTACACTGCGGCATGTGTTGTTAAACACTGTGTTTTTCAACGCGGCCTGCAACCGCTCGTTGTATGCCTTTTCGCTCGACATATCGGGTTCCACGGAGACAGCTGATCCGGCTATTATCGGTCTGATGATCCTTATTATGAGGTCGGTGTAGCTATTTCACGGTTAGCAAGGTTTCCTCTCAATGGAAATTTTGATAGGATAATTCATGGCCTCAAAATGTCTACTTACTTCTCAATAGAGAACACTGCAGATGTATGCCCGCGACCGGAATTGGGGCCCAGGATATAAAAGAAGTTAGGGAACTCAGACATGCCGATACTGTGGTAAGCCGTGATATGACCGGCTTCTTTCCAGTATTCTTGTCGACTGCGTCCGCCGCGACCACACAGTTCGGTGTCATATTGGGTCAGGGAGAATCCGTTGGCTAGTATAATTACATCTGCTGGGTATTTTGCTCCTGATTTGGTGGATACGGATCGTTCGCTAAGGGCGATAACCTCGTCGTCGGTAAGGCGAACATTATCCCGATTTAGTGTTGAGACGTAACCTTCGTGGTCGAATACCCTTCGCTGCATCGGGAATTTATCAGCCTATATGCTTTGTAGAAGTTACTCCAAATTATGTACCTTGCATCCGACTTGATAGTCGGCCAGTAGGAGCGGCCAGTACTTCTCTGCAACTTGAGGTGAGAGTAGCTCAGACGACATTCAGAGCGTAGCTCACCTGGCGCATTTTCTTTGACGTAACGCTTGCTTATTTCAGCCGTTTCTCTTCGCATATTCGCCCCAGTCTTCGTCAGGTTGAACTGGAGTGTTGACGTTTCGAGGTATAGAAAGATAAGGAATCTGACAGCAAGAAGTACGCCGGGTACGTAGCGGAAGATACTTTGCCAAAAAGGGCTTATGGCGGCATTACTTCCTCCTGGGAGAAAATATTGTTTTGACTGAATATGACCATCACACATTAGGAAGTCACCCTACAAGAGCAGGAAAGTAGAGAACTAACTCTCATAAATTGAGTGATCGACCGAGCATCTTTCGCCACGGCTGGTACTAGCTGGGTTGCTGAAGCTGAAAGGTGTCAACTAGTGATTGATTTTCATGATGCACAAGGCAGCTTACCTCCATTTCCAAGCACGATTACATTCTTGTCCCGCAGCGACACGCTTTGATCCCATCTGGCAGTGTGAATAATGTCTCCCTGGAAGCGGTCAACGCCGGGAACTTCCAGCGAATTAGGGTTCGTCAGAGCCCCAACCGCCGATACTAATATGTTGCAACGTTGTGTATACTCCTTGCCAGAAGTAGTACTCCTCAGCTTAACCAACCAGGTCTTATCGTCGTCTTGCCAGGATGCTCCTACCCATTCTGTGTTTCCCACCAGGTGACGAGACAAGTCGTACTTTGAAACTACACTGTTGATGTATTGTAGAACTTCATCACGCTTCGGGTAAAAATTCGAAAAATTTGGGTTGGGCGCAAACGAGAGGCTATAGAACGCAGCTGGGATATCAACTCCACATCCTGGATCTGAGGATCTCAGTCAGCGACCGCGTTGTTGGTCAAGAGAAACTGAAAGTATAATTGACAATACATTTGTTTGCTAGCCACGTCCCACCAAAGCCGTCGTCACGATCATAGATAACAAAGTCATCGCACATTAGCTCTCGTTTTAACTGGCATGCCATTGCGAGACCGGAAAACCCAGCCCCGACAATGATAACCTTTGAGGAAGAGAAGGAGGCACCTGAAGCCATAGCAAGAAGAATATTCCCCTTCTCAAGGGATAAGAGAGCACTTGGAAGTGATATGATACTAGCATGGAAAATTTCCAGGAGGAAATTGCATGAGGTATGCGGATATCAATATTTAAACGATTTTGGACATTAGGCTGCGTGAAATCATGGTGGTAGTGGCAGTTACTATTTACTAGTCTAGTAGGGGGAAAGAACAGATTTTCTCAGCTACCATAGAACACCACTCACAACGGCTCGCAATAGACTCTCTTCTTTGGGAATAAGTCGAAGTATCCTGGGATTACGTTTGCTATCGGAACTTCGTGTTGCTTACAGCTGATTAACTTGATTGGGCTGGGACCACTGCTTAGCGCGCCACGACATCCCACCGCAGTTGGCCCCCAAAAATCCATACTCAAGCTAATCAGTTTGTCTACTCAGGTATCGGCTGCGATACTGCTATGCCTTATGATAAAATTCATAATGATGAATTCTAATCTAGGTGATATCTATAAGGGCACGGTCAGTGGTGGGAGGGAGGGGGAAACGGTATTGAAGCACTCTCAATCTACGCCCAATCTTACTTGGTTTAGTTGATTCCAGAACACAATCATGATTTGAACTGCTCACCTTTCACCCAAGTTGTATTAGCATGGCGGGGAAGCTGGAGCGACAGGATATTTAGATCTCCGATGCAGCCTCCATTGTACCCACGCATCGGGTTCGACTACGGGCACCAAGTCGATCGGCACGAACACTCACTCGCTCCACTCGGTCATGATTGAGGGGAAGGCATCTTGGTAACACAAATTGGGTTCTTGCTGTGATAGGGATTATGCTGTGTAACCCAGTGCTGAGCAAGGGACACCGCCAGAACGAACTATCCGTCCAGTCTCACGCGCACACTTACGTGTTGTCGATGCAATTATTTGGAAAGCTGTCATCTTCCCCGGAGTCCAGATGCTGACAGCATATGGCCGACTCGCAAAGACTTGCCTTCTATGAACCCGCGGACATTGATAGGAGTCTATACAAATTGGGCTGTCAGTGATGTCTCCCAACTCATTGGACTGCATGATGCATGTCGTTTACGCGGTGTGCGTTGTCCGACACACTCTCCGTGCCATGCTTCCCATCATTTTGTCATTTGCTTCAAACATTTGAGGATGCCTTGCACCTTGTATCCTAAAGTATCCATCAAGTCATGTTCCACCAATACGCAAGGTCCTGCGAAATGCACTTTGGGTGGCATCAGTCAATGAATGTATTTCAAACCTCTAATATGGGCGTATAACATGGAGACAAAGGTAACTACCTATGTTTGACATCTCTACTAGCCTTTGTTCATGATCTAAGTATGATAACTCCGACATTTGGTGAGTCCATACCGTAAGGTGTAGGAGGCGTTTTCTGACCATTTAGAGCTGCCGACGTGTGTACGCTCTTTACTAGTTGGATACAGTTGTCATACCCTAGTGGCAAATGATACGGAAAGAATCATTTTAACTGGCCTGTAGGGGCGATGGTCCTCCCTCTTGCTAGTCAATTAATGTGTATTTTCCAGCTGCAAGGCACTGATCTACACGAGAGTGAGATTGCGATATTCTTTCCTTGGCAATTTATGCTTGATGATGTTTGGCAGTCTGGTCGCGGGCTGGGGCCTCTGAAAGTATTCAGCTCAACGTTGACCTATGAATGACTGCTTAAAGAGAGTTTAACGTACTTCAGTCGGTTTTATACCAACCCGCTTCAGACCTCTTTCGACTAGTTAGCTCTTTGTCTTCGTTCATCATCTCGTCGGCATCTTTTGTGACATCATGCTTTTCAAGAATCTTGTGTATTTGGTGTTCGTTGCAACATGTCTGATCTCGAAGACAGATACTGGACTGCAAGAGATCCTCGGATGCTTAGTTTTTCTTGTGGTGGCTTGCATCCTATTCCTTTTC